GTCAGAGGCTCTTTCCCGTCAAGAAGAGAGAAGAGACTCCACTTCCCGATAGTCACGATCCAATCGTGTTGAAATCCACGCCCCCGGCCTTTCCACGTCCTACCTTCCCTACTTGCATCTCGCATTTTGTGGTTTCCTTTCAAACGAGGATTTGTAAATTGACACTATATACACAATCTCCGTATACATCATTACTCGGCAATTCTCCGTAGAAAGCGTTCTATCATTCCCATGCAATAGTATATGTACCATGACACAATAATGAGAATTTACCTCTTTCGTGTTAACGCGGCTGCGACAGCTTACAACAGGTCAATATAACCCTACGGGGTAGTTAGGCCGTGTTAATCATACTCATACCAGAGGAAAGAGGAAAAGTCCGAACAAAGAGGAAGCCCGACGGTTAAATACTCCCATACAGTAGTACCAACGTACCTGCAATAGCACGTCGAGTAAGATCGATCCTATAACCACTTTCACCGTCCGACGCCCTCCGTTATAGTCGCACTGCATCTGGCCTCCTTTGCGCAAGTCAGTCACTGCAGGGACTTGGGAGAGAGAGGGAGAGAGACAGAGAGAGAGGGCGGCACGGGAGGTGACACAGATAGGCAGGTCCCCTTTTCTCCTTCCTTCACCTCACTCTCTTCCATCCCAATTTGCCCCTCACGAGTATCACAGCGTCTACGTAGTGCATATAAGTCATACCCTTGTTTTCCCTAAACCCCCTCTGCTCCCCACGTGCTCCATTTTTCTCTCTCTTACGTCGTAGCCGCCCGGAGTCGGCCGGCGAGAACCATGTAGGATAATCATGCTTGAATTATAGACAACTCTTGTTCTCACGGTCCGAAATTGGCTGGCACACCAGGATGGCGATGACGTGAGCGGTCCTGTGGAAAAAGGGCCAGGCAAAGTGTGGGAGATGAAGAGTGACTGCAGGGCCAAGTTCTGACAATCCCTCTTTCGTGTCCTTTTCTTGGGTTTGGGATATAGCAAGCCTCGTCTGGCATTGACATATTCACGCCAATTCTCCCTCTCTGCTCGCACGTATGCATATCTCCCTAGGTTTCTCTCTGTCCATACGATATATTATAGATATATCCCTGGGACATGCACACACACCCCCTCGAAAGAAAGTCTTGTCTTTTATTGCGCTGCTGCTCCAATGATGAAGAGAGAGAGAGAGACACACGCGCGTGCACGCGTCATTTGTCTGTTAACGCGTAAATGACCATTGGACATGTGGGATGCGACATTGGGGACGAGGGGAGCGTGATAGCTTGGAGATACTTATTGTTCTACATCATATACTTGTATTACCAGCTGGTTCATGACAATCCGCCCACCGTTTGTCCCGCGCGCGTATTGTATGGTAAACCCTGCGCCCTTGTCCTCTACTCAGATCCCGAGAGCAGGGGTTTAACCCATTTAGCAGCGGTAATTAATATAGGAGCTAAAAAAAGAAGAATGCATCAATCCGTGTCCCACTTACGGCCGTCGCCTTGCGGGTCTTCTTTCTCCTATCCCCCCCCCCCCGTCTCTCCGAAATCGTGGGTAGAAAAAAGATTTTTGCGGGCCTGTCGTGTCTACCCTCTGCTCTAAGACTATATGTGGTAATGCTGTCTGTCTCTTTTTGGCAACGCCTTTCTTCCCCTTGTGCTGCCCTCGGTGTGGAAAATGGGCAGTACGACATAAAGGGAGCTGTGTTCAAAAGGGAGAAGAAGCGCGCCCCAGAAAAAAAAAAGGAAGCCAGTTCGCGTCGTGTTCAATCTTACATATACACGCTACTACCGCTACAGCGCGTTCACAGTGTTTGAGCGACTGAACAAATATTGTGGCGAGAGAGAGAGAGAGAGAGAGAGAGAGAGAGAGAAACTAGAAAAGAAACGAGACGGATGAGAAAAACAAACATACACACACACACGTATCAGCAGTGATGGAGTAGCAAAACAAAGCCAAGACGCTACGTCGGTGGGAGAAGGGGAAAAAGAAATGCCAAGAAGCCAAGAACTGAAGCCTGTCGGGGCGAGAGAGAGAGATAAAGGCCGCTGCTATGGACCCGATGGGATGCAGTCAAAGAACCTGGAGCTTGCCGGGAAGACAAGAAAAGGTCCGCAGCTCTACAGAACCAGATTTCTTGGCTTGACCCTTCCCCCCCCCCATCACACTCTCCTCCTCCTCTCCGGTCCGGCCCCCGGCGTGGTAGTCTGTAGTCTGTATACGGTCGTGTGGTGGCAGTGGTGGCAGTGGTGGTGGCGGATGCACGTCGCCCTGCCCACCTACCAAGTCGGCATTGTCTATCCGCCCGCCCACTCTGATCATTTTTGTTCTCCCTCTTTTTTTCCTGGACCTATGTACATTTTACTCGTAGTGGTACGTCGTCGTACATCGGTCATGACGGTACGCGTTTTGTCTCGTCGTACGACGCATTGGTAGGAAAACCGTAGTACCGTTACGCCCCATATATAGAGAGGGAGACATGAAGGTATATACTCGCGAGTATAGTTCTGATTTGACAGAAGGCGAAAAAAAAACAATGAGACAGAATTATTACTAGAGGGCGATTGACGGTGACACGGCAGTGATTTTCAGACGTTGTGCGTGGATACACAAACCATGATCGCCTCTCCCTCTACCCCTCGGATGTTTCTGCCTCCCGGGAGTACGATCGTATGTACGACGTGGGATGAGCTGTGTGTCTCTCTGTTATTTTCCAAGTTTGACCGTTGTGTGTGTGTGTGTGTTCCTAACTAGGGATAGTATATGGATCTTGAGAATGGAGTGATTGGAAAAGGAAAAATAGCCCTCTGCTGATGAGCTGGGCTGGGCTGGGCTGAGATGGAGTTTGGACTTCTCAGTTACGCGGTTGTGTTTGCTTCGTTTGGTGGTAGTGGTGATGGTGGTGGTGGTGGTGGTGGTGTGGTGTGTTTTGTGGGGCAGTAGGACCAAGCCAGGTGTGTGCTCACCTTCTAAAGTCTACGGATACAGGTACAGATTGTGGGACGGTCTACAGGTACGACGAGTACAGAGAGCCAGCCAGAGTAGCATCACTTCAAACCTGTACGAGTACTCTATAGAGAGAGGATGTATCATGTGTTGCATGACAGACGACGAGCCTGTGCCTCTCTGCGCATGCACTAACAGATAGGTACAAGTTAACTCCATACATGTAGGCCGGGGAGTGTCCCGTGCCCACGCTGTCGAACATCGTGGACACCGGGCCTAGGCTCTGGGCCATATGCGTGCAACGTTCCCACCCCGGTCAAAACCGTGCACCTACAGGACCATGTAGTCTAGTATATGGTACAGGTTTGGTCGTACTTTTACCGGCACCGAGGCGTGTCAAGGGCTCAGCATGGTCCATCGCTTTTGAGAAATACACATAATACACAGAGAGAAATGGAGAGAGAGAGGGAGAGGGACAGAGAGAGAAAGAGAGAGAGCCAAGCTTGTTGTGCTTGTGCCCCTGCAGTCACCTGTCACGCATGTCAAAAGAAAGGAAGATAGAAGGAGAGTGCATGTATATATTGGAGAGTAACGTGTAAATAAGACCAAAAGGATACTTGCCTCTGTGGCATCATCATCGCCATCACACCAAAACCTTTCTGTGCTTCTCTTAGGTTAACGCCACACCCCACTCCTCCTCCTGCTCCTCCTGCTCCTCCATCAGTGCTAAGCCAATGCCACGCCAGCTGCCCCCCCCCCACCCCCCCCGGCCCCAGGTATCCGGTGAGCAAACTCGAACTTCTGGCCATACTCGTAGGTAGTGGTGGGGCTCCCATCCTGAACTTACACACACACCCCTCCCTCTTCCACCACACATCATCACCAACTCGCACGCCTCCCCTTTCTCTTCCCTGCCCACCAAGGGACGGGCACTTTAGAAGTATTACCTGAAGACTGTACGGAGTACGGAGTAGTAACTACATGTAGCAGTAGGACGGCGCTCCAGCTCCTGCTCTAACGGGGCGAATTGGCCACACGCACATGGACCTCTCGCCCCCTTCTCAGTAGCGTTACCTTACAATCACCCCAGTCCATCTGTGCCCCCCCCCCCCTCCCCCTCCATCTAGTCCATCCCGTACGTAGGTAGCTTTGCCAAGAGAAAGGAGGCCCTGCTTGATGAGAGAGAGAATCCCAAGCTGGGTTGCTGTACGACACACAACGAACGCACTCCCCGGCCATGTTCCCCTTGGCGTGCGAAAAAAAAAAAAAAAAAAGGCTTCCTAGGCTGCGCTTGTTAAATCGGACCAGAAGAGTACGTACCCACGGAGTACTCGTACTCACGACTGCCCTCGACCCACGCCCGTCGCCTGCCAGGTCCCATGTAAATCTCCCTACCATCGGATCTATTGACTTCAACTCACTTACCCCCCCCTCCTCATCCACTTCCTGCTTCAACTCACCCTCACCCTTCTTCTATACTACTCACCTTGACCTCAGGAAACTCGTCCCTGATTTCTTCCCTCCTTGTTCGCTTTTATTCCTCCCTTGAACTTGTCCACCCCTCCTTTACACGACAACTTGTCATCCTAGGACAGCACCGAGACCCTTCAACCCACCCCGTCGACTTGTCTCACTCTCCCCCCCGCCGACTGTCGAAGTCTATACAGTTCCATCTGGCCTCACATCTCTGATCGAATCGTCACCCTTCGCCCCGCCCTTGGGATATTTGGTGCCCGGATCGTCGGTTCCCTTTGAATCTTTCGGTAGTGCTTCGCTCTCGTTGAAAAGAAGAGGCTGCTGCAACCTCATGCTCAGAGATCCTCGTCACTCATCTCAAGATACCTTCATCCTACCAACTCGAGTCACTCTTTTTGCTTGCCTTCTCCTAGACACACACGCTCTTTGAACCTCAGTTCCTTCCCGGAAAGCTTTATTGCCTTCTTCATTCCTTCTTTCCTTCTGCTGCCTTCTCCTATCTTACAACGACTTGCATCTGCTCTTTCGCCGTTGCACACAACCCAATCCTGGGGACGACAGACGCGCACGCAACAAGAGAGATGGATGCCTACTCACAGGGATGGGCTGGCATGCCCTTTTCCGAGGTCGACGATGCCTTTGCCACATACCCTCAGTACCCTGCCACCAACTACAACGCCATCCTAGCCAGCTCCATGGAAGCCTACCAGGCTCAGCATCACCACCTAGTCCACCACCAACCCATGTCCCGCACCACCGAGTCCAAACCCCGCCTATCCAAGGATGAGGTCGACACTCTAGAGAAGGAGTTCCAGAAGAACCACAAGCCCAACAGCAGCACCAAGAAGTCTCTCGCAGAGGCTATGAGGGTTGAGAATGCCCGTATCAACGTGAGTTCTGACCACTGCAGACCCTCCCCCCATCTGTGCAACGCAAACTGACCCCGGATACAGAACTGGTTCCAGAACCGGCGGGCAAGGGAAAAGAAGGAGAGGAATATTCGCGAGTACGAGGCCAAGCAGAAGCTTGAGAGGGAGCAAAAGGGCTCTTCCCACCCCGGAGGCTCATCTAACCTTCCCACCCGCGGCAGCCACCTGGTGGCCTCGAGCGCGCCTTTCCCCAACGCCCCCCATTCTTCATCATCGCCCTCGGCCGCCGCCAGCCCCGAACAGTCTCCCATTCTCGACCATGAGAGCGACGCTGCCGGCTCGGATGACGCTGCCGAGACTCATGCGGCCACTGACATTTTCCGACTCCCCGACCAGCTCTTCAGCTTCGACATGCCCGCCGCCACTCAGATGTCCTACGAGTACTCCGGTACTTCCCCTTCCAACGGCACTTCGGAAGTCAACGAGCCCGTCATCACGACCGATGACGACGATGACGCCGACTACTTCGTCAACACACACAACAACCCTTCCATGCAGCAGTTCCAGCAGCTCTTCTCCCACAGCATGCCCAAGAGGAACAACGCACTCGCATCCCCGCCCGCCATCGACATCAACTCTCGCCGCAGCCGCAGCCGCCCTGCTCCTCTGTCCATCGGTGGCTCGTCGCGGAGCTACTCGCTCGGCGTGCCCCGCACCGCCAGCATCGACAACATGAGCTACAGGAGAGGATCCGACATGATGTGCCGCCGCGTCATGTCTTCCTCGCGCATCAACAAGCTCAACTCTGTGCCGCGCAGTCCCTTTCCCGTGAACTGGTCCCCCGCCTTTGGCCGAAAGAGCAGCAACAGCAGCAGCGATACTGCTCCTCCGACCCCCGAGACGCCCATGGCCGATCATAGCAACATGGCTTCCAACAACGGTGCCGACAACTTGCTCATGCCATCTTCCGACCTCCACACCCCTCCCACCACACCCGGCATCAGGCGCAACCTCTACAATAGCAACAGCAATCTGAACTCGTTCTACGACATGTCGATGCCCACAACTGACGCCAGCGTTGTTGCTTCTTCCATGGTCAGCTTTCCCGGATCCACCAGCAACAGCAGCCTGTCCATGATGACTCCCAACTACCTGGCCAACAGCATGAGCCAGCCTCAGACGCCTTCTTTCGCATCTCCCATGGGCACGTCGCCACTCACCGGCCCCGAGTACACGTGGGCGGCAGGGGGCATCATGTCTGAGAGCTTCTCGCCCGAGGACCAGCACCAGTCTGCTGGCCCTCACTACTACAGCATGTCCATCCCTACCTTTGGCATGGAGACGTGAATTCATTCACGTGTCATCCTTACATATTCTGCTCTCAACATATATCTTGTATTAGCTTTCGGTGTTTTTATCTCTGCTTCTGTAGCGGCGTGGCTAGCGAGCCCTACATGTATTCATGCTATTTTTTTGGTCTTTTCTTTTCCCCCGAATACTTTGGTTCTTATTAATTACTTTTCCTTTTTTTTCCCTTTCCCTATCGTCACATATATATATACATTTACAGCGGCCTAGCTACATCACAAGGTTTTATTTTTTTTAATCTTTTCATCCGTCTTCTTGTCTGATATGTCTTTTTTTTTCTCGTTTTCCATTTTTCTCCGACTCACTGAATTTCAGTGTTTTTTCTTGAGAAATGTCACAAAAGGATGGATGGAGATGGCGCTATGGTTATTCATAGGTGGATTTTGGATATTTGGGTATGGATGGTGGGGGGGGGGGGGCGGTTGCGTTTCTGGGACTCGGGAGTTTCTTCTACTATTGCTTTTTGATGTATTATTATATCAATGGAGGTGAAATTGGCGACTTCTAAATATACCGCCCTTTTTCCACACTTGCAATGGTGACTCGCTAGGATACTTTCTCCATAATGGCAAGAGAAGTTGTGACTGGGATTATGCTTCTTACATGTTGCTATCGTTGTTGTAATAGCTAACACCGGTTCCAGCCTAACCTTTCTGGGCTATCACCGGGTGGATGCTTCTCGCTTCGGTCGAAGGGGTAGCGACGACAAGTAAGACCAGAGAAATGATATAGAGCTGAAATCCACTCAAAGCCCTCAATAACAGCCATCCATCCGGTATGGTGTAGTGGCTAACATTTCGCGCTCTCATAACCTGAGGGAAATCATTCCGCGGAGCCCAGGGTTCGATTCCCTGTACCGGAGTTTTATTTTTGCCGCTTTTCAGGATTTCATCATCTCTTTCATCTCGCCTCTGTTTTCTTTTTCCCTACAATTATTTGAATTTCCTTTGCTCCTATTCCAACGAGTTTGCCCCTTTTCTGTCTGTCTCTCCTTTAATCAAGGGGCCTACGGAACTTTTTTCCCCCTTGAAACATTTCCGTCTTTGTACTCCTATGCACAACTGGGTGCAAGTTAGCGGTAGTGGGGCAATGATATAACAAACCGGTGCGGGTTCCACGCGCGTTGCGCTCAGCAACTATTTTCTTCTCTTTCTTTATTTCCATCACTCAACTCAACTCAACTCACGACAGAACATCCCGTATAACACATCATACATAAATGTGCGGCATTCACGCTGTAATATCGACGTCTGGCTACGCACCTCCACCGCAGGGCTACGTGCGACGGTGCCTTTGCAACAGGGGGCCAGACTACGTGGGTACTGTCCGCGCGGAGGCGGACGCGTCGCTGGTGTCTCTCACGCTCACCTCGACGGTGCTGTCGCTCCGGGGAGACCACGTTGCCGCTCAGCCGCTGGTCGACCCCGCGACTGGGTCGGTGCTGTGCTGGAATGGCGAGGCGTGGAGGATAGGCGGTCGGGACGTCGAGGGGAGCGATACAGAGGTTGTCATGGGGCTGCTGCTGCTGTCGTCTGCGAATAGCAGTTCAGTTGGGCAGGAAAAATCTGTGCTTGACGCGTTGCGCTCCATTGAGGGACCGTTTGCTCTGATCTACTTTGACAAGCCGGGGAGGAGGGTGTACTACTGCCGTGACAGGCTAGGACGACGGTCCCTGCTGGTCAATAAGAACGACGGAGACACGGTCGTCCTGTCTAGTGTGGCTGATGCGGAGCAGGATGGCTGGGTCGAGGTGGAGGCTGATGGGTGCTATACTGTCTGTTTAGACGACCTCGTCATATCTAGACATGAATGGGTTGATGATGCCTCCTCGGTAGGTTTTGACTCTTCATCACGCGAAAAGAAGAAAGAGAGAGAGGAAGAGAAACAGACAAAAAAGAAGGAAGAGAGAGCGAAAGAGAAAATCTACTACTTACCCTTTTATTCTTTAGGTATCGGGCATAGGCATCTTCTGTGAGAAGATGCCCGACACGACGGACGACCCCCCAAGTCTGTGCGAGGACTCCCCCTCTGTCGGGAGACTGCGCGACCATCTCATAGAGTCCTTGAGGCTGCGCGTCGCTGGCATACCGCAGCCGCCGGAGGGGACCGAGGACAGCGCAAGGCTGGCAGTGCTCTTCTCCGGCGGTCTGGACTGCACAGTCCTCGCACGCATGGCGGCCGATCTCGTACCTCCCGGCCAGTCTATTGATCTGGTCAACGTCGCGTTTGAGAATCCGAGGATCGCCGGCCAGAAACCCGGCTGTTCGCGGGATGAGTTATTCGAGCTTTGTCCCGATAGGATCACGGCGCGGCGGTCGATGGCCGAGCTTGTCAGGGTCTGCCCAGATAGGCTCTGGCGGTTCGTCACTGTAGGTTTTCCTCTTCTCTAAATAAGAAAACAAAATCTCCTTTCAGGGTGATAGTTTGTCGACTGACCATGTTACAGGTAAATGTTCCTTATACGGAGACATGCTCTCACAGAGAATCCATCATCCGCCTTATGTACCCACACAACACGGAGATGGACCTCTCCATCGCCAATGCGCTGTACTTTGCCGCCCGGGGCCGTGGTCTAGCCTCGATGCCGTCATCAGCCCCAGCCGGAGAACCCTACTGCTACACCACCACCGCCCGCGTCCTCCTATCCGGTCTGGGCGCGGACGAGCTGTTTGGCGGGTACATCCGGCACAAGACGGCCTTCTCACACAAGGGATACCGCGGGCTCCTGGACGAGATGCGGCTGGACGTCGGCCGCCTGGGCAAGAGGAATCTCGGCAGGGACGACCGCGTCATGGCCCACTGGGGTCGTGAGGTGAGGTTCCCGTTCCTGGACGAAAGACTCGTCAGGTGGGCTGTCGAGTCGCCCGTGTGGGAAAAGTGCAACTTCGCTGACGCTGCTGCCGAGGATCCCGATAAGAGGGTGTTGAGGCTGGTGGCCGAGTCGCTTGGGTTATTGGGGGTTTCACGGGAGAAGAAGAGGGCCGTGAGTTTTCTTCTCCTTTGTCTTATTTCTAACCAACACCCCCTCCCCCCCCCCCCCCCCCCCCCCCCCCCCCCCCCCCTCCCCGCCGCCTAAGCGAGGATTCACATGATGTCAGCTTAAAGGCTGTCAGTCCCCCCCCTCTCCTTGACAACCTTCGTTTTGAATTGTGTATATGCTGACTGCCGATCAGATTCAATTCGGCGCGAGGACGGCCAAGATGGAGAGTGGAAAGGTCAAGGGAACAACATTCATAACACCATGAAAGCAAGTGCTTATCTGGTGAAATCAAAACCAAAGAAAAGAAAGAGAGAAGGGGAAAAGAAAGAGCAACACGATACTTTGGCAATGATGATTTTTCACAGATACTGTTGAGTTCTTGACTCCATCAAGATGGCCAAACCGATTTCACCAAATCATCACTTTGGGACGACGGGATGCGGTTCTGCGAAGACTCGTGTAGTTGGTCTTTTGCTGTCTCTATATAGGGGTCAAAGACTAACCCTTGTCGTCTCTTCCGCCCTTGACCTGAGTGTTGATTTGGGGGAGATTTGGGAGGGGAAGAAGCAGGACGCTGACGACTTAAAGGCAAGTCTGAGCCAAATACATGTTGTATTTACACACGGGGTAAATAATTTCCCCCTACTTTTGTAAACAGATGGAGGTTCTAGGAATACACAATATTGCTAGTAGAATACAGATACGCGATAGAAACAATGATGCTGTGAATGCGCATTTGTCAGAAACCTTCCTAAACCGGATCAACCATCTGTCTCCCCATCTTGTTGACAAAGAATTGGCTAAACGCTTCTTCATCATTCGCATCAGCCAGGAGGGAGCCATCGTCCGTCTCGGGCGCAATCTTGGCATACATGCCCTCACCGGGCCTGGGCCACGTCTCAGGTAGGACATCCACCTCTTCGTCTTCTTCCTCTTCCTCGTCGTCCTCACCTTCATCTTCATTCTCCTGACCTTTGTCCACCTCATGGGCTAGATGAGACCTCTTGAGCGGCGACTTCACCTTGTTCTTCTTGGTGGCGATATTCATCGGTCTCCTCGTCGTCGTCACCCTCCCCCTGTTCTGTCTAGCCTTGGAGTTCAGAAGGCTATGGCCGTGGCGCGACCTGCTACCCAGGGGAGATCGTCGACGATGCAGAAGCTGCTGTTGCTGTCGTTTCTTCTGCTGTTCGGTGATCGAGGCTGAGGCTGAGGCTGCCACCTCCCAGTCTGGAGAGTTGAACATGGGAAGGTCAGGATGTCGCTTCGAGACGGACACCATGATGTCCACTAGGAGTTGGGGCTTGAGCTGGTCGCAAAAGGATAGTACGTTGAGGACGTCTGTCTTTTTCATCGCGTAAAAGTACTCGGTCCTCTTTTGTTTTGTGTCTCGTCAGCTTCTCCTACAAATTCTTTTTTTTAAGGGGGGGGGGGGTTTCCGGTAACTTACTGCTGCATCCGATGCCGCACCGGGGCGGAAACCGACCAGTTCCGGCTTGGCCGGTGTGGCGGGTAGACTCTCCAGATGCCTTTGGCGAGCCCTCTCAATCTTCTCCAAACGGTGTACGTCGGGATTTGGATGGCGGTGCATCGGCTTCTTGGGCGGTGGTCGGGGACGAGGCGGCGGCATGATCATTGTGTTTTGTGTAAAGTCAACGGCTGCCTCTTGTTTCTTGTCTTCCATCCCAAAATCACAATCTTCCTCTCTCTTCCGCTTTATAACAGGTTTTTCTTCCTTGACCACTTCCTCGGCAGTAATGCGGTTTGATAACGTTGCTGCTGCTGCATCCGATGAGGCCTTGCCATCTTCAGCAGTGTTGCTGCTCACCATACTCCGGACGAGTCGGCTCCGCGCATCCTCATAGGCGTCCCTGTCTGGACGGGGCGTCGATGCGGAGGCGTCCGAGAGCGCCGAGTTGAACCCGCCCTTGGTGCCGGCCTTGATACGGTCCAGGATGAGGGCGGTCGCGGCCGAGAACTGAGGCACGTATGGTGGCTGGGAGGCCGGTGAAACGGATCTTGTCTTGCCTTCGTCTCCATATGTGTGTATTTCCGTTGCTGTTGCTGTTCCCGTGGTCGGATCCGTCTCGTCTGCCTGCCTTGCGGCGTCATCCCGCGTTGCCGTCCACGTTGATGCATGTGTTGATGATGCCATTTCTTGTTGCGGCGTGACACAACGCACAACCCGTGGAGGGAAAAAGGCCTCCTTCCCCAGTCCAGTCCCGAACTCTCAAAAATTATGACAATTGATAAGGTTCATAAGCTTCCGCGAGTTAGACCGTATAAAAAAGGGATATATGTGAGCTTTTTGATGGACAACGTTGAAATCGACCGCCACGAGTGAAAGTCATGAGTAACTCGTCTCGTGTCACGTGAGCTTGTGAATACCCTGCATCGGATGACCGTGATTTTGGGTCCGACAGTAAGTCACCCTCCATCATGAATGAAGCCACATTCCTAATATTCTATTCTTTCCCATGTATCCAATATGTGACTCGTATCTTGGGAACAAAGAGGGAATGCTAACATCTACCGAATGACACCTTGTTCGCGCAACGCCGCAATCTCGTCCTTCCCCATGGCCAGGTCCCCACCCAAAATCTCATCCGTATGCTGACCCAGTGTCGGTGGGGGCAGACGCACGCGCGGCTGTTCCTCAGAGTACTTGACGGGCGTGTTGACCATCTTGATCGGCCCGCAGCTAGGGTGGTCGACTTCGATGACCATATCGCGGGCCTTGGTGTGTTCGTGGGTCAGGGTACCCTGTACATCGTTGACGGCGGCATAGGGCATGCCGCGACCCTCAAAGACCTCGAGCCACTCCTGTGTGGTCTTCTGCTTCGAGACGTCCTCGATCTCAGCCTCGAGACCGGCGCGGTTGGCGACCCTGTCGGCGTTGGTCTTGTATCGGGCGTCGTCCTTCCACTCGGGGCGGCCGAGGCCGTCGCACAGCAGGCCGAAGAGGCGGTCGTTGCCGCCGCCGAAGAGGACCTCGCCGTCCTTGGTCTTGAAGGCGCGGTAGGGCACGATGGAGGCTGGTCGGATACATACCAGAGTTAGCACGTGTAACGTGATATTGCCCTTCTGAGACTGGGGGAAAAAAAAGAACGTACGATGAGCTGTCCCCCAACGTCCGGTATCCTTCTCTCCACTTATCAGACAGCTACTGGCGATGTTGGCCAGCGTAGCCGTCTGGCAATCACTGAGGGACACGTCAAGGTGCTGGCCCCGGCCCGTCTTTCCCCTCCCCAGCAGCGCCGCCATGATGCTGTTGCTCGTGTACAGCCCTGTAGTCAGGTCGGTCACGGCCACACCCACCTTGACAGGGGCGCCGTCGCGCGCGCCAGTGATGTGCATGAGGCCGAACTCGGCCTCGACCATGACGTCGTAGCCCGCGCGGCTCGAGTAAGGGCCCGTCTGCCCATACCCCGTGATGGAGGCGTAGATGAGTCCAGGGTTGATGGCGCGCAGCGTCTCGTAGTCCATCGAGTACTTCTTCAGCCCGCCGGGGAGGTAATTCTCGACGAGGATGTCGCAGCTGGCGACGAGTTTATGGAGGAGCTCGACGCCCTTTCTGTGCTGGAACGAGAGGCCGATGGACTTTTTGTTGCGGTTCACCTGCGCGCGTCACGTGTATCAGTGCATGTTGATCGGGGTGGGAGGACCGTCATTCTTCACGTACGCCTAGGAAGTAGGCCGACTCGCCGGGCCCGTCGTGTCCCGATTCCGGTAGGTAGGGTGCGTACGGCGGCCCCCACGCTCTTGTGTCGTCCCCGCGGACAGGGTGCTCGACCTTGATCACCTCGGCTCTGCGGTGTCGGGGGTCAACATCGATTTTCAGAGAAATTATAAAAAGACAGCTTACACAATGTGCTACATTGTGGGAGGCTAGTATCTCACCCGAGGTCGCCGAGGATCTGAGTACAGTACGGCTAGCAGTCGCCCAGAGTCAGTATCACAATCACATTTGGCGAGGGGAGAGCGTATCAGACTCACACCGGCCAATACCCGCGTCATATCAAGAACACGGTAGCCATCTAGTGGCAGCGAGTTTCCAGCACGAGGGGCTGAAAGCCGGCGACGGGAGCCGCTCTGAACTAGCGGCGCTGCCCGTAAGGCGTTGACCTTGCCGGTGCACCTGCTAGGCGCCAATACGGCATGAAGCGTTCGTGACTTTAACATGACTTGAGTGTGCCAAGTGATGATGCTGATGAAGGAATGCAGTGGGAATGTAGAAGAAGCGGTAGAGGAGACAGGGAAAGGACAGGGAAAGGGACTCGGCCGAGGACCGGATGTATGTCGCAAGTTACCCCGTACACCCCCCGGACGGCAGATTAGTAGCCGAACGCATGCCCCGCACTCGGTTGTAGACGACGGTTGTAGTTGTAACATGAACGACCATCGTGTAATGGATGCTATGGAGTTCAACTTCTCTATGTATGGCCTCAGTAGCAGTAGCAAAAATACCTGTTCTTTGCCTTGTCAAGCTATTCATGATTCTCTGTATCACGTGACAACTTTCATCGCCCTCACGGACGCAGCGTGCAAGTCTCAGTCGCACACTCGCAGGTACATGTATCGCAGGTCGCTTATATTCTATTCTTGTGGCAATCTATATAATCTTCCAGCTCCGGACCGGTCTATGGGATCCAGCCTCCCTGTGTTGGTCCTGAAATATACCCGTACGTGCAATCCCGTCTTCCCACCAGACCGATAGGTTTCATGGTCTAGGTACTAGCCCTCGCCTTCGTATAAGGAACAGCCATCCTACTGTGAAACCGGCGAGAAGAGGGGAAGATGCCACAGAAACGCACTTTTGGTATACATACCTGGTCAGTCTTGCCGCTCCCTCTCCCCTGTACGACTCCCCGTCACGAGGTTGCGAGTAACGTCTCACGAGAAGTTGAACCCAACAAATCACGCCTCACCTTACTATCTATACCGCCTCGGCAGGGGAAGAAAAGCAGGCAAGGAAGATGATAAAGCAGAGTTGGTTCTCTACTCGCGTCTCTCTTCTTTCATACCTCCGAAATTCCACTACTTACTCTCTCCTCTCGTTTCTTCTTGTTCGCAAATGAGAACATAGAAACAACGTCTGGTTTTTCTGCCCCCTCTAAAAATGTCCAACATACAGGAGAACAGCCCCTTCCCGAGAAGAAACAGCATAAAAGATGGACTGATCGTCGCCCTGGCTGTTGCTCCAACAGTCTTGGTCGTCACCCTCATAGTATTGGTCCTCCTCCACCGGCACAAGCGTCATCGAAGACGGAAATACGGCATGCTCTCGGAACCACCAGATCTAGCACGGTCACCTACGAGTCCTACGATCAATTCAGCGGAACTTCAGAGGCTAGGCATGATTCGCAAGTCTCTGGCGGGCAGGTCGCCACCCAGACGGCAGCGGTACCAGCAGAAGCAGCAGCAGCAAGGTCACAGCAAGAAGGGCGGAGGTAGTGTCGACGGCGGTGATACAGATAGGGCCATAGGCTCACCGGGGATCGTAAGTGATTGGAAGGTATTCGAGGAAAATCTGTACAGGCAGCGGCTCGCCCTGATGAAAAATCACCCCGTCATGGTCCGAGGGCAGCCTACCTCGAGAGCGCCGACACCTCCCGCCGTCGTGATACAAAGGACACAGCCAACTTGTCGGTCACCCCCGCCGGTCTACCAGAGGCATGGAGTCGCACCAACAGCTGCCATTCTCAAAATACCCCCTCCGTTGTTCCAATAGAAACGGTGGCCCCAAAACGGATACGAGTGACACTGTCTCCAGGATCGACAATAGGATATCGAGAAACACATGTGTTCTCGAGGACGTGGCTTGGTAAAATTGCGTAATCATGGTAATCCATGCTCCATGCTCATGTCCCCTCTTCTTTCTGCGGATACACCAACTTAGTATTTAATATTTGAGCGAAGCAGAAGACATATAGTTTCAGGCTGACTCGTTGATCTCATTCGTGACCTTGACAAAGGCCTCCCACTGCTTCCAGGCCTCGCCGCTCTTGAGAGCCCATCTGGCCCTTCTGACACCCTCCTTCCACCTCTGGCCACCGGGGCCACGCTCCTCAACTACCTTGCCATCGTCGCCGGGACCCATCTTGCTAGAGTCGGCCTCACAGATACCCGAGACGACAAAGAGAGCGGCGGTGTTGATGAGGATGAACTCGAGGAGAGGGTCATTGTCGGGGAGCTCGTTGTGCAAAATACGATTGAGGATCTCTGCATTCTCCTCGGGCTCCTTGCCCGACGAAACCTCGTCAAGCGGGTGGTTACTGACTCCAAAATCACGGGGCTCAACGATGAAATGTTCAGTCTTGGTCTCACCGGTAGCAGGGTCCGTCTGGAGCATCCAGCACAGAGACCTGCCTGCACAGCTGACCTCGTCAAGCTCCTCCTCACCGCATACAATCAGTGCCTTTTTGCAGCCAGCCATGCGTAAAGCCTCGGAAAATGCAGGGCCTAGGTCCTTCCGGGCAACGCCAATAACGCGGGCCTCGAGAACGGCCTCGACAGGGTTGGACAGGGGGCCAACATTGTTGAAGATAGTCCTCCAGGGGAGCTGTTTGCGAATAGGTGCGACGTAGCGCATACCGGTGTGGAAGACGGGGGCAAAGAGGAAGCTGTAATTGGTCTCTGAGTAGATCTTGGGCAGACTCGAGGGGTTGACAGCACTGATGACGGGAGCTCGGGGCTGCATGCAGTTCACCAGGTCGGCACTACCTGACTTGGATGTGCTAGCCTTGTTCCCATGCTTGGAGACGAGGAGAAGGGCTGAGGCAATAATGGACGCTGTGGTGCTTACATTGAAGGTGTTGTACGAGTCACCTCCAGTACCAACAATGTCACACTGAGAAGGAAAGAGTCAGCACAGGAAGCCGGTTATAGGAGCTACTATGGGAGCAAAGTTGATGAGGGCTAAGAAAAAAATAGAGGAAGGAAAGAAGAGCTCACCAGTCCACCCGAGTACTGCCCCTCCTTGCGTCCCCTCTGCTCGATGACACGGCGCATCTCTTCAACGGGAATGGAGGCAGCGGCCTTTTGCATGGCTGCAGCGGTTCGGGACAGGACATCGGCCTTGAAATCCAGTCGGGTAAAGTGGAGAGCGATGAGGAGCGAGGCGGCCTGGGCCTCAGACACCTGGTTGGTGAAGAAGTGGGAGATAGCATCGGCAATATCATCAGCCGTGACTGCTGTCTCGACCGGCCACAGCTTGGAGAGGAGGGGCTTGATGTCGACGGGCGGAAGGGCCACGTCGTTAGTCGATTGGGAAGCCATTGAGAGTGCCCAAAGCAGCTTATCCTCTCTGTGTGCTTCCTCTAGCAAGTCAGATGAGTGTTGTCTTATAAGCCGTGGTGGGGAGTGAAGAAGAGGGGTGCGAGAATGAGAGATACCACGTCCAAGAATACATGCAGCATTGAGCAGGCACAACCGACTCATCAACAAAGATGGAAGGAGCGTTGAAAAGAATCTGCACCGAAAACCGGCTAGTGCACTAACAGTTTTGTATGGGGACCATGGTGATCATCTGTTACGCTGTTCAGACCAAGGTTTTGGTGCCCCGCCCCCACACTCAGATGTGCCATTCTCCCAGGAACAAGAACATTCACATTGACGTACCCGTCTCGTCTGTAATCGTCAATACGGTGGTATCGGTTCCTTTGAACTGAAGACGACGTCGATACTCATCATATAATCTCGGGCCAAAGAGGGAGAGCAAACATAGAACACCATCGAGGAGGGCTTTCAATCTCTAAAATCTCTAATGACGACTCTTCGTCCGGGTGCCCCTCACCAGCGAATGGACGCAATGCTTCGACGACCGTCAGCCCATTTAAGAACACACAATACAAACACTGGGTCGCAGATTCAACACGGTCCGAATGCTGCCTCTTGATCAAAACAGCTTGACTGGGAGCTGCACAACCTCGATAGTTCGTCGAACCTGCATTCACACAGAGCCTCGTGGAGCTCGGAGCTTAGATCCTCAAGCAGATACGACGGAATCGAAAGACCGGCTACTCTACCCCGGACGTAGCTCAACCAGCTACGGTCAAGTCCCTTGCGAATCTGGCGACAGTGACTGACGCGCATATATAATGGGTAAGCTGCAGGCGGATGAGCGTCTCCTTGCTGTAAACCGCGCCGTGGTACGACGCCGAGTTCGGGACACATTAATACTTTGCTTCATGTCGTGGCACGAAAGAAGAGATAGCAGTCTAATTATTGTCTGGCAGATGCGGAAATCTCGTCTGGTGTCACGCCGTTCCCGTTAGCTTCCATGGTTGAAACTAGTAATATTAATCACGTTCTGGTTCCCTGCAGTTTTTCTCCTCAGATGACCTCAAGTGATGGAGGCTGGCTGGTTCCTGTCTATCGCAGACGGTCAAGAGGTCAAGAGCCCCTCCCACCCCTCTCTAGGATGCGGAGTTGGCCTTAGCCGCATGCAATCTAGCCTCAATATGCCTGTCACTTGTTCCGACTAAATGCCTTGAACTGCCTTTTTCAGAAAGCATATATATTTCGCAGCGGAAACCCCTGTCGAATGGAGTCGTCATTTTTGAATAACATGTGCTTTTAAAAGGCTGATGAATGTCCCAGTCGACGGTGGGCGGCTGGCGCCATCTACCCGTCATCCCTCCTCTGCAACAACACAGCCGTGAGACATCTTGCTCCTCCCGAGATTCAGCTTATAACATGACTGCTGCCAATCAGACGTTCAGCAGGGAATCCCTGGCACCCTTCCCCTCTAAGCCACGAGTCTTCATCCTCACAGACATCACCAATGAGCCGGACGATGCCGAATCCTTCTGCCGTTACCTAACGTACTCGAACCAGTTCCAGACCGAAGGAGTTGTAGCTACAACGTCAACATGGCTAAGGAACAAGGTAGCACCCGAGAACGTGCTTCAGATCGTCGAGGCATACGCCAAGGTGGTAGACAACCTCAATGCTCACACCAACCCCGACTCACCCTACCCAACTGCCGAGTATATGAAGAGCATCGTTCTTCCTGGAGCGCCTGTGAGAACTTGCATAAAGGATCTTCCCGGCCTCAACCCGATGCTATCAGCTAACGCGAACTAAAAATCAGGTATACGGCATGGCTGCAGTCGGAGACCACATCCCTCTCAGCCCCGGAGGCGAACTCCTCCTAGAGCGCCTCGCCTCGAGCCCGGAACCACTATGGGTTCTTCTGTGGGGTGGCTCCAACGTCCTCGCCCAGGTACTCTACAGGATCCGCGGCCGTTCCAACGCGGCCGAGCTACGATCAAGGCTCCGTGTGTACGCCATATCGGACCAGGACGACACGGGCGCCTGGATCAGACAGCAGTGGCCCGAGATATTCTACATCTGCTCCGTCCACGGATGGAACCAGTACCCCAACGCCGCGTGGATCGGTATATCGGCCCCGGGCCTGGCTGGGGCGGACGACTCCAAGATCACGAAAGAGTGGGTCAAGCAGAATGTCCAGCTGGGGCCCCTAGGTGCCGAGTACCCGGACTTCGAGTACATCATCGAGGGCGACACCCCGACGTTCCTGTACCTGATACAGAACGGCCTCGGCGACCGGGAGCATCCTTCTTGGGGGTCGTGGGGCGGGCGCTATCTGCCCGTCAACGTCAGCGACAGCGGCCTTCCTCGTGGCCACCACGCCGACGTGGCTGACGAGGTGGTGGGCAGTGACGGTAAAAAGTACAGCTCCTGCCAGGCTACCATTTGGCGATGGCGGAACACTTTCCAAGACGACTTCGCGGCTCGCATGCAGTGGACCCTCACGTCGGACTTTACAAGAGTCAACCATCACCCCGTCGTGGCTGTCAACGGGGATTTTGGCTGGGAACCTCTTCACATCGAGGCTGATGCTGGGTCTGTTGTCTCCCTCGACGCCTCGGCCACATATGACCCGGACGGTGACGCACTGTCGTACAAGTGGTTCCAGTACCGCGAGCCAAGCGCTATACAGACATATCATGCCTTTGAGGTGGTTGAGCTAGATATCAGGCCCGTGCAAAGTTCTGGCCAGGCCAAGGTCGATGTGGCCATCCCGCCTCCAGAGGTATCGTGTATTATTGTAAGGGAGGGAACGCCTCTGGCCCGCGGGTCGCCGCTTCATATTATTCTCGAGGTGAAAGACGATGGGACGCCAGCCTTGACGTCGTACCGGAGAGTCATTATCCATCCGATCAGTAGGGGATTCAAGGGAAACTAGTAGTACACGATATCTTTTTAAAGCCACAACATTCGAGGCTATTATCAATCTGTCCCCAAAAGGAGGAGTCTAGGAGCCTTACAACCAAGCGGAGGATGTGGCGGTCCATTCCGAAACCGGTAAATCACCGTAGCAGGCTGCCTCAGCTAGTTGGCACCCCCGCTTTCTTACCTTGTATTCAACGAGACTGTTCATATCTACCATTAGCCCATATGGCTTTAACCTCCATAGGTGGTTAAACCTTCCATATACGGGAAGGATAGGTCTCATGCGCAGAGCCATCGACAACGGACATGTGTAGGGTTCATTTGGGTTTCTAGATCATGGCTTCTGTCCCAAAGTACACGCCTCTCGCTGGCACCCAGACCCTCGTACTTACATGCGTTCACTCACACGACTACGAGCTATGATTTCCCTCTTGGCATCACCCCACCATAGCCGACCTGACAACATTGTCGAGGGGAAGAGGCACATACGTACATACAGGCCGGGGGAACAAGTGTGGGGCCCGAGGAGAAGTTGGGGGACAAGGAAAAGTGATAATATGGGGTAATTATGCGGGGCCCCATGAACAAGGGAAAGAAAATGGCCGCGGCTGCTAACATCCAGAAATAGGTAACTCGAAGCACTTTACAGCTATCACGACCGTCATTTATAGGCATAGTAATACGGAGTAATTACTCGGCGCCCATGAACCAGCAGGAATCGGCCACAGCTGCTGACAACCATGAATAGGTAACTCGAAGCGCTTTGTGACCATCATGGCCTTCACCTACAGCCGGATACCGAACCAGGATGCCCCCACGGGGTTCCAAATTCTGGGGTCGTCGATTTTGAGCCCATGGCCTTGCATTGTATATATCCACCCGTCCAGACCTAGTATCTGCCGTCTTTCTCTTGGTTTGTTTGTCTCTCCATCATCCATCTCTCTTTTTCTTCTACGATTTGTTATATAGTATATAAGCCCTGGGATAGATCATGGCTACCGCAACGCATCATGACAATGAGCACATCATGTCAGAGAAGCCGAGCGACGTGCACATTGAAAAGCTCAGAGGCGACGACAAGACCCAGCTAGCCTACCTATCTGATCGGGAGGACCACGACACGGGCATCGCCGCCTCTTTTGTCAGGTACCCCTGGGCATGCGCGTGGTGCTTCTACGCGACGTGGTGCGTCACTCTCCTCAGCTTTGACGTGCAGGCGTCGGGGAGCGTCGTGGGCATCCCCCGGTTCCGACGGGACTTTGGGTACGAGTACCAGGGGAGCTATGTGCTCCCTGCCGCGTGGCAGTCGGCCTTCGGCGGAGGACCCATCGCTACGTGAGCTAGACCTTTCTGTGTATTCTCTGCATGTGCACCTGCTGACACGTCGTCGAAGTGCCGTTGTGGCTTCGCTCGTATCAGCCCAGCTCGCCGACATGATCGGTAGGAAGAAGGTGCTGATAGGGAGTCTGGTGATTTCGTTCGTCGCCGTTGCCATCGAGTTTATCGCTACGACGAATGCTGTGTTTTTTGTGGGCAAGCTACTCAACGGCTTCATGGTGGGAACTGTCGGAACCATTATGATTTCCTACATTGGTGAGGTATGTGACTCTACAAGTATATATATATATATGTGTGTGTGTGTGTGTTGTGAAGTTGCTGACTCTTGACTGGAAGATCTCTCCCCTCTCTCTACGTGGAATATTTACCTGCGGTGTGGGGGTGTCGTACGGCGTCGGACCGCTGGTGGCATTCATCGTCATCAACTACACGGGGGAGATGGACTCGCGGTGGGCGTATCGCACGGTGTTTTGCACACAGTTTGGGTTTGCGGGCGTTGCCGCCATCTTTTGCCCGTTTATGCCCGAGTAAGTTCGATCGAGAGCGTTTGCTCATATGCCGTGCATCAGGTATTGAGATTGTCGATGCTAAACGTTCAAAAATGGCAGATCACCCTGGTGGCTGATGTCCAAGGGACGCACGGACAGTGCCCTCAGGGCACTGCACAGACTAGGCCACACGGGCGAGCAGGGTAACCGGAAGCTGGCCCAGATCGAGCTGACGCTGAGGGAGGTGGCCAGAGAGACGGAGGGGGCCACGTACCTCGAATGCGTGCGCAGGTCCAACCTCCGGCGCACCATTGTCAGCGTGATGCCCATGTGCATCCAGTCGCTGTCGGGCATCGTCTTTGTGGCCGGCTACTTCACGTACTACCTCCAGCTGGCGGGCTACTCGACGTCGACGAGCTACCGCATCCAGATTGCGCAGCCCGTGCTGTCCATCGTGGGCAACCTAACGGCCGCCGCTGTGATTGACCGCGTGGGGCGGCGCAACCTGACCTTTTACGGGCTCGCGGTCCTCACGGCTCTGCTGCTCGTCACCGGCGGCCTGGGCACGGACACAACCTCGCGGCCCGTTGTCAAGGGCACCGTCGCCTTCATCCTCATCTACAGCTGGTGGTACAATGTGTCGATCGGGTCGTCGGCCTTCCCGCTCCTGTGCGAGGTGTCGACGGCGAGGCTGCGCGTCAAGACCATCGCCATCGGCTACGCGCTACAAAACGCCATCAACGTCATGTGGCAGTTCGTCATCCCCTACATGTTCAACCCGGACCGGGCCAACCTGGGGGCGAAGATTGCCTTCATCTTTGGTGGGCTGTGCTTCTTCTGCCTCGTATACCTGTGGCTGTACCAGCCCGAGACGTCCGGCCGCTCGTACCAGGAGCTTGATGAGATGTTCATCAAGGGCGTGCCGGCCAGGGAGTTCAAGACGTATAGAACTGAAGTGCAGGAGAAGGATGAGGCAGCCGCGGCTGTTGACGGACTCAAGAGTGTGTAGTAATGGTTGTCGTACATGGATGTAATAGTGAGTGGAGGAGGTTTATTTTTGTGTGCAGATCAAACGCAGAAAATGTGGACGTACAGGGGGGGGGGTTCACCTAGAAGTTAGACGTCAGAACTTACTATTCAGGAGATGTCTGGCAAGACTTCTCCACAAGTCGACATACGAGTGTACATGTACATCCTGAGATCCACCAGCTATTCATACCGGGATGAAACCGTATAGATTCGTGTAATAAGAATTACTACAGTATGTGCCTTTTCTCGTACGCTTGGACACATCTGTAGATCCCAATGGAACACTGCATACTTCTGGCATTATCTCGCGGTGCCAGGTACGTCTTCAAGCCACATCCTTGGCATTTCAAGTAATACTGGTAGCACGTGGCTGGTGAGAGTTTAGGGTAGGTTTATGTGGCGTATGCTGTGGTCCCTGAGAACAGTAGCCGCACATCCATGTTACCTACCTATAGACTGCAGCGATGATCTTGGGGCCCGCTGACGTCCAAACGCGGCTATACGAGTACAGCAAACAGTATACCCTCGTCAAATCCATAGATGGTCAGAGCTGCAAGCGATGCTCCTACATGTACGACGTGGTACTCCGTACTGCAATACTGCAATACGAATAATAGTCATCTGTAGTAGCTTCTAGCTCCGGAAGGGTCCAATCATAGCCTTACCAATGGATGGGGGGACAAATATCCGTCATTATGTGTCGGATGAATATCCGGGGCTCTATAATTCTATATTAGTGGGGTGTAGAGTCGTCATGACCAATTGGAAACAGGAGACGGAGGACAGGGCCCCGGGGTGGGAGGGAAGACCACCCCGATACATCGATTGTTAAGGGTTCAGGCCTATGATGTGTCAAATCGTCTGCCCTCCGCCTTCCCTTTTCTTGGAAGACTGTTGACAGGCAAGAAAGAGAGAGAGGCAACGAGGAAGAAGAAAAACATTCATAGGCTGCAGGCGACTTGGGTACGAATGCACACCGGGTTTCAAAGTTATAAGTTATACCTCGTGCCTATCTCCTTTGGGTATTCCGAGCTGGGCCGGGCCATGTTGTGGGTCAGAGCATCGCCGACTGTTCCCAGCTGTCAACTGCGTAATACCGCCCTCTCCCCCCCCCCCACTACTAGTAACTCCCCTCCATTCTTTTTCTCTCTCTCTCAGTGCTGTGAATATCCCCTCATCTTTCATCGTACATCCCCTCGTCTCCCCATACGCAGATATCACAAAATGGCTCCCGACCCTATCATCGCGCCTTCCATCCTCGCGGCCGACTTTGCCAACCTCGGCCATGAGTGCTCTCGTACCATCGAGAACGGCGCCGACTGGCTGCACGTCGACATCATGTAAGTCGAATCTTCGAACCCACTCCCTTCCCCTCCCCTCCCCTCCCCTCCCCCTACCATCGGCGCACAGTTGCGGTGCTGAGACGATGGATAAGGGACGGCCACTTTGTGCCCAACATTACCTTTGGCCCCCCCGTTGTCGCAAAGATTAGGGGCCACGTCGATCAGCCCACCGACAAATTTGGCCGCGGCACGTTTGACTGCCACATGATGATTGCAGAGGTACAACCCCAAATCCAACCCTTCAGGTCTCGGACGTTTCGCTCTTCGACTGACATCGCATGAACCGCGCATATAGCCCAAGCGCTGGGTCAAGGAGTTCAAGAGCGTCGGCTGCGATCTCTACTGCTTCCACTACGAGGCCGCCTTCTCCACGGCCGCCGAGAGCCCCGAGGCCACGAGCGACAAGAAGACGAGCCCCAAGGAGCTCATCCGGTATATCCACGACTGCGGCATGCTGGCCGGCATTGCTATCAAGCCCGACACATCCGTCGACGTCCTGTGGGATATCCTGGCGAGCGACGATGAGAAGGACCGCCCTGACGTATGTGCATACACACCCATCTACTGACCCCGTTACATCCAAAACATGCCATGCACGTGCATGCGCAGACGCAAAGCACACACATCAGACGTGCATAGCGATATTATCCAGACTTTATGACCTTACCGCTGATACGCATTCCCCCCTCCCCCCTGCTACATTACAGATGGTCCTCGTCATGACAGTCTACCCAGGCTTTGGTGGCCAGAAGTTCATGGCCTCGGAGCTGCCCAAGGTGCAGGCACTGAGGGCCAAGTACCCCGAGATGAACATCGAGGTGGACGGCGGCCTGGGCGTCGGCACGATCGACCAGGCTGCCGATGCTGGTGCCAACGTCATCGTCGCCGGCAGTGCTGTTTTTGGCGCCAAGGACCCGTCTGAGGTGATTTCTGTGCTGCGCAAGTCGGTGGCAACGAAAGGTGGCAGGCTGTGAGCTGATGGTGGCGGGCGGGGCATCGATCAATTGGACGAGGGGAAAAGAGAGAAACTTTACCAAACTGCTTGGTATGATGATTCCCGCCTACCGATGCGAAAAAAAAAAACCAAGAAATGAACTTAGAAAACACATACACACATATTTTTTTAGCGAAAAGGAAAAAGTTTAGAGCGTGTTATTTCCATTAATCTGAGAATGGGTAGTGGTACAAGGGTGGACATGGGGAGTTGAGGGTAGTTTATCAGTAGAAGTTGCGAGAGAGAGAGAATCTAGCAGCAATCGAGAACCAGAAAACATCTACATTGTGGAATAATTGGTACACCACTATCTATTGCAGAGGATATCATACGGAATGAGAAAACCGTGCGTAATATTCCTACAAGTGACCTGCGAGTGACTGTCCGCGATTGTCTGCACTACAAAAATGAGAGTCACGTGATGAAAAAATATGCCCCAAAGCCAACCAATCAGAGACATCAGCCCCAGAATCATCTAGTCTGCTTTCGCAACCCGCGGCGCTTTTGTTCGCTGCCGAACCTTTCCTGTCTCTCCACTGCCATTTCTGTCCCATCTGCCTTCACACCCTCCCTCCACCTACGCCCACTACCACCGGGCTCTTTCTTTCACGAAACGACCAGCCCTTTTGCTGATTTATTAGATGACGCTTGATGCTGGTCGCTTATTATTAATGACTTGTGAGTCTCTTGTTTATGAATCCTGCTTTTTTTCCCCTTCAAAAAAAATCCTCTCCCCCCCCCCCCCCCCCCCAAGTCACCAGCTTTTTTTTTTCTCTTTCCCTTCCCTGTCGCCTGCGCGCGCCTTGTTCGGCCCTGGGCCCTTCGACCGGGTCATCGACACCGATATATACGGCTTCGGAAGGGTCAATAAGACATCGTAGAGGCTCTTTCTTGATGGATTTAGATGCCGCTGTTGATCCCATCATGCTCATCACGTCCAGATGACCGAAGCACCTTACCTCCTACCTCAATCGCCCTTTTGTTCCATCATCCATTTATTTTGTTTTCGCGTCTCGCCATCACCAGAGCCTCACATACACACACCCCCCCTGATGCGACATATGCTATATCTTCCCTTCCCTGATCCCTTTCGTGTCCTCTTCTGCCTGATCCTGGTCGCTGCACTTGCGTTATGAGGTGGCCGCTATCCTCGTCCTCTTCACCACCGCTCATCGAACTCTCCCCTCTCTTGATGTTTTTCTGACCTTGTCGTCTCTCCCCATCACCGAATAGGCAACCCGCATACACAGCGTCCGTAATGTCCACCCCTACTGAGGGGGTTTCTAGGAACGGACACTCGTCGCCTGATCGCTCCATCGAAGCAGACACGCTGGCAGAACGACACCGTGCCGACAGCGATCTCTCCGACGTTCACAGCGACCTCTCCGACGCCGACCGGTCCCCGCTTGCCGGTACCGGCCAGGAAGAGCTGAATGGTATAGACCATGATGTCGAAATGGACGAGAGCGACGTGACGAGTCAGGATAACGCGTCGGATGATGGCGACTACGACGCTCAGGGGAGTCCGCCCCCGAATCACGACGACGACGACGACGACGTCGACGTCGACGCCGACCAAGAGGAAGACCATGTCGCGGACGAGGAGCCCGCCAGCTCCACCGACTCCAACAGGGTCCCCAAGCGAAAGGCTGCCGCTGTTGAAGAATCCTACATGAGGGCTAACCCAGAGCTGTATGGTCTACGACGAAGTGTATGCGCGATATAATGCTCACCCCATCAATCACTGTCCCTTGGCTAACCGTCCCCCACCAGACCCGTCCTCGAGAACAGAGGAAAATTGTACGCCACTCCTCACGGCTGACCCGTTTTTCAGTCCCGCCCTACCCTCTGATACTGGTGCTAACCTTGACTGCTTCTAGGTCGACTCGGATGATTCTGAATCCGATGCTCCTCCCGTCAACCGCCGAAACACGAAACGTCGCCGTGTCGAGTCATCTACGGCCTGTAAGTCGAAGCGACCTTGCCTTCCCTCACCCGGGTCTATCTCCCTCAGACGAAGAGACCAGAGCTGATATCCCCTCCCTCTCAGCATCCAAAAGGGACACGCCCGTTCGACAACCGTCGTCCAACGATTCGGACTCAGACTCGGACGTCTACGGCGGAGCTCGCGCACGAACCCAGCGGAAAAAGGCCCGGCAAAGAAAGGTGGCACAGCCCGAGCTTGTCGAGAAGCGATGGTCAAGTCGTCGTGCTGCTCAGCAGGTACAGCAGGGTGCCTACGAGGAGAGTGACTTCGAGGAGGAGGAAGAAGAAGACGTGGTGGTTAGCAACTACGTTGCCGACTACGTCGACGACTCGCCCTACATCGAGAAGGTGGTCAAGCACCGGTTGAAAGATGGCTTAGAGCTGGCTTATGACCTGGAGCGCACCGACTTCGAGTACTTCATCAAGTGGCAAGGCAAGTCTCATCTGCACGACACATGGGAGTCCATCGACTCTCTCAAGTACGTCCGAGGCCTCCGCAAGGTCGATAACTACTTCAGGAAGTGCGTCGAAATGGAGCTTGAGATGCGTTTCGGCTGGGATGTGCCGCCCGAGACAAAGGAGCAGTTCTTCCTTGACCGGGAACGCGACTTGGAGGCCTTTGAGGACTTCACCAAGGTCGAGCGTGTCGTGGCCATCAGGGATGGCGACGGCGGGGACGAGTACTACATCAAGTGGAAGGGCCTGCCTTATGACGAGTGCACGTGGGAGCCTGCATCGGAGATTGCTCCCATGTTCCAGGACAAGATTGATCAGTACCTCGACAGGAGCTCACGGTCGTGGCAGTCGGATCGCAAAGAATCAAATCTCAACACGCGGTCTCGCATGACGAAGCTCGACAAGCAGCCCGACTACATCAAGGGGGGAGAGCTCCGAGAGTTCCAGCTCAAGGGCCTCAACTTCCTGTGCCTCAACTGGACGCGGGGCAACAATGTCATCCTCGCCGACGAGATGGGCCTGGGCAAGACTGTGCAGACCGTCTCGTTCCTCAGCTGGCTGCGCAACAACCGTCACCAGGAGGGACCCTCGCTGGTCGTCGCCCCGCTCAGCGTCATCCCCGCCTGGTGTGACACCTTCAATACCTGGTCCCCCGACATCAACTACGTCGTCTACCTGGGCCCCGAGGACGCGCGCAGCATCATCCGCGAGAACGAGCTGCTTATTGATGGGAACCCTAAGAAGCCCCGCTTCAACGTCCTGGTCACGTCCTACGAGTACATCCTGCAGGACTGGCAGTTTCTCCAGTCCATCAAGTGGCAGGCCCTGGCCGTCGACGAGGCCCACCGTCTCAAGAACAGCGAGTCCCAGCTGTACGCCCGACTCCTCTCCTTTGGCGTCCCGTGCAAGGTCCTCATCACGGGCACCCCCATCCAGAACAACCTTGCCGAGCTGTCGGCCCTGTTGGACTTCTTGAATCCCGGCAAGGTCGACATCGACGAGGATCTCGACTCGTTGTCTGCCGCCGACGCGCAGGAGAAGCTGCAGCAGCTGCACAGCTCTATTGCGCCGTACATCCTGCGCAGGACAAAGGAGACTGTCGAGTCGGACCTGCCGCCCAAGACGGAGAAGATTATCCGCGTTGAGCTGTCGGACGTCCAGCTGGACTACTACAAGAACATCCTCACGAGGAACTACAGTGCCCTGTGCGATGCCACAAACGGACACAAGAACTCGCTGCTCAACATCATGATGGAGCTGAAGAAGGTCAGCAACCATCCGTACATGTTTGCCGGTGCCGAGGAGAAGGTCCTGGGCGGAAGCGTGCGGCGTGAAGACCAGATCAAGGGTCTGATCGCCAGCAGTGGCAAGATGATGCTCCTGGACCAGCTCCTTACCAAGCTCAGGAAGGACGGCCACCGCGTGCTCATCTTCAGCCAGATGGTGAAGATGCTCGACATCCTTGGCGACTACCTCTCGCTGCGTGGTCACAAGTTCCAGCGCCTGGACGGTACCATTGCCGCCGGCCCTCGACGCATGGCCATCAACCACTTCAACGCCGACGAGAGTGAAGACTTTTGCTTCCTGCTCTCGACACGTGCTGGCGGCCTCGGTATCAACCTGATGACGGCCGACACCGTCGTCATCTTCGACTCGGACTGGAACCCCCAGGCTGATCTCCAGGCCATGGCCCGAGCCCACCGCATCGGCCAGAAGAAGCCCGTCAACATCTACAGACTGGTCAGCAAGGAGACGGTCGAGGAAGAGGTCCTGGAGCGTGCACGCAACAAGCTCCTGCTGGAATACCTGACCATCCAGGCCGGCGTGACGGACGACGGAAAGGCCGCCTTCCAGGCTGAGCTCAACAAGAAGGGCCTCAAGACGGACGCCGCGTCGTCCAACGAGGATATCCAGATGGTGCTCAAGATGCGCTCCTCCAAGATGTTCGAGCAGTCCGGTAACCAGGAGAGGCTGGAGCAGCTGGACATCGATTCGATCCTGGAGAATGCCGAAGTCACCAAGACCAAGGTCGATGACAAGATCAACCTCAGCAGCGGCGGCATCGACTGGGACAATTTCATGCAGATCACCGACGTCAAGGTGGACGACATCAACCTGGACTGGGATCAGATCATCCCGGCCGAGAAGCTGGCCGAGATCAAGGCGGAGGAGGAGAAGAAGAAGCACGACGACTACCTGGCGAAGGTGGCGGCCGAGAGCGCCCCTCGCCGAGCCACGATCAAGGGTCGTGGCAACAACGAGACGGATAGGGCGGACCGGCTGAAGAAGCGCCGGAAAGAGCAGGAGCAGGAAGCGGCCGAGAAGCGGGCGGCCAAGGCCGACCCGCGACGGCCGCTCTCGGTGACGGAGCAGCGCGTGCTCATCAAGGCCTACTTCCGGTTCGGATCCATGGAGCACCGCAGCGACGACATCATCAGGGAGGCCAAGCTCACAGACCGGGACCCGGAAGTGATCAAGTCGATGGTGGACGAGTTTGTCAAGAAGGCGCAGGACGCCGTGGACGAGAACAACGCGCGAGTGGCCGAGGAGGAGATGAAGACTGGCAAGGCGCTCAACAAGAAGGACCGCAAGGCGGTGCTCATCGACTTTGGCGACCTGAAGAAGGTGAATGCCGAGACGGCCATCGAGAGGCCCTTGCAACTGCAGCTCCTGCACCAGGCCATCCGCGCCTGCACCGACTTCAGGACGTTCCGTCTCCCGGACGCCACCAAGGGCGCGAGCTACAGCTGCCCGTGGGGTGCGAGGGAGGACGGCATGCTCCTGGTGGGCATCGACCGCCACGGCTTCGGTTCCTGGAGCAGCATCCGCGACGACCCGGACCTGGATATGCAGGACAAGCTCTTCCTCGAGGAGGGCCGCGTGGCCAAGAAGGAGGAGCGCAGCAAGGCAAACGACAAGCAGAAGGCGCCGGGCGCCGTGCACCTGGTCCGCCGCGCAGAGTACCTCCTGTCGGTGCTGCAGTCCAAGAGCAGTAATAACAGCTCGGACCGCATGCCGCACAGGACGGTCACCAAGAAGTCGGCGGCCGCGGCCAACGGCCACCGCTCAGGTGGGGGCACAGCGTCGCCCGCGCCCTCTAGCCTCAAGAAGGTCCGCGACAGGGAGAAGGAGCACGGCCACCACCGCTCGCGCAGCAGCCAGCTCGACGAGCGCGACCGCGACCGCGACCGCGACCGCGGCACGCCTCGCCCCGACTTCAAGCGCAAGCAGTCGGCGTACGACGACGGGCGCAGCCCGAAGCCTCGCAGGCCAGAGGACGGACGTCGGACGAGCAAGCACGACGACGACCGCCGGCGCCACCGTGACGACGACCACCACCACCACCGTCGCGACGACAGGCACCACTACGACGACCGGCACCGCGACGACCGGGACCGGGACAGGAACAGGGATCGCTACAGGGAGCGGGAGCGCGACAGAGACAGGCACAGCCGCGACGACAGGCGTGATCGCGACCGCAACCATCGCGACCATCGCGACCACCGCGACCGCGACCGCGACCGCGACCACAGACGATCGATGGATCACCACGGGAGTCACGGCGGCGAGCCGTCCTCGTCAGCTGCCCGCGTGCCGGACGAGCGCAAGGCCAAGGCCCTCCGGCGGCTGGACGAGCTCCGGCGCATAGGAGACGATGCCGACCAGCGCGACAAGGACAATGACGCTCTCATCTGGTACCTCCTCAAGCCGGTGCGGGAGAACTTCGAGAACATCCTGTCGACAACCAAGGACACGGTCAAGTCGAGTAAGGAGAGGGCTTCCATCTTTGGCGGTGAGCTCACAGTCATTGGGGAGTTTCTGGACAGGAACTTTACCGGGGCGAACGATACTATGAAGAGTAATTTCTGGTGGGCTTCCCTTTTCTTCTTCTTCTTTTCTCTCACTCTGATTCCTCTCCCCCACCTCCCATCTCATCCATCTATTCATGACCTCGCCGCCAACGGAACAGAACTGACTACGAAAACAGGGACTTTCTGGCTGCTCTGTGGCCGGTAGATGAAACATCCAAGAGTGTGACGGGCAAACGACTGAGCAACATGTACCAGACATTGAGTGCGCGCAAGAACAGAGCGTGATGTCGACGTCCTTCCTCGACAGGCAGCTTCAGCCTCTATCTTCTCCTTGTCCTGTCCCTCTTGTTGAGACTGATGAACTTTTGTCTCGTCTCTCCCCGGAGACATGTCATGTTGGACAAGATTTTTTTTCCGCAGATTTTTCTCGGCTTGTGTTGATTAAGAGATCTTGATGACGATGAAGGGTGTGAATGGTGGTACCTTGTTACCTTTTTTTTTTCTTTCTTAATTCTTTGATATTCTTTTGCTCATCTGCATACTTGCGGCGTTTGGTTGTACGAAGCAAAGAAGGGGGGGGGGGAGGAGATGATACTAAGGGCAACGCAATACCCCCCCACTGCAAGTTTGCCTGAATATGCATGAGAAGCATAAGAAAAAAAAGGGAGTCTAATGTCTTTTGGGAGTTTTATCATTATTTCATCTTGAATCATTCTATCATGTCTGGGTTCATCTTTTTTTTTTTTTTTTTTTTCATAGCCTTGCAAGATGTGTCAATTTCTGAGGTTTGATGTACCGTTCTTCTATAATGAGTGATGCCCAAGAGACTGAGTTTCATGAGCGACGAGTCGAATACTCGCTTCGACCGGTTAGTGGGAAATCATGAAGCCTTTTGGAAGAAAGAAGAGAGAGAGGAGGGCGTAGGAGTGATGCTGGCTAGGATGGGCTCATGTCAGATTTCCGAGCCGGGCAGTGCAGTCATATTGAGATGCGAAACCACCCCCCCTCCCACGTAGTTGTAGGGAACAGAACTGTGCTTACACTGCGTGGAAAATGTACATTTTTTGTGTGTCCCTATAGCTCAAAGGGTACTTTTTGTATAGAAGATAGATGTCTATACGTATGTATATATAGAGGGAGAGAGAACGAGAGAGAAAAGTCAGCTGGCCATCCCAAAAAATTGTCAGTTTGTTGGGTCACGCAGGTCAAAAAAAAAAAAACCAGAAGTGACCTGTTCACATTGAAGAATTCTGCCTCACTGGAGCTTGGGGGCTGTGTCTTCTTTCTGTCTTCTTTTTCATTATTAATGAAATAAAAGTGAAGAGGGAGAGTGAAAAGCAGAGGGTCTCTCTCATTCACACGACATTCTTCACATCTCTCTACATTTCTCACACAATAAATCTTCTTTTTTTTTTTAAAAAAAAAAACAACAACAAGACACAACACAAGCCTCTCTCGTTTTTCTCTCTCTTTCATTCAACTCAGCTTTGCCCCACCAAATGAGCAACACAGCAACAGCCCCGCGGCGAGAGAAGTCCAACATACATGCTTCACACAACACCATGACATCTATCACCGACGACGACGCCTATGAACGTGAGCGTTCCGTGGCCGAGGCTGCCGTCCTGCGCGCCGCCCTCCTCACCAACAAGGTGCAGTCGTCGGTCAGGACCATATCCAAGGAAGACAAGTCGCCTGTGACGGTGGCCGACTTCGCCGCGCAGGCTCTTCTCATCGCCGCCCTGCGCCAGGCCTTCCCCGACGACGGCTTCTTGGGCGAGGAGGACGCCGACCAGCTGCGGCGGGACCCGGGGCTCGTATCGTCCGTCTACGGGCTCGTATCTTCCCCTCCTGCCGTGGCCCGGCCTGACGTGAACCGGCCGGGCGGGAAACGGGACGGGAGACGGGAGGGGGAGGGGGAGGGATCGCTCCTGCTCGCCTCCCCGACGTCGGTGGAGGATACCCTCTCCCTGATCGACATGGGCGGGCGCGGCGAGGGAGGGCCCCAGGGTCGCTTCTGGGTCATGGACCCGGTCGACGGGACGAAGACGTTCCTGCGCCGCCAGCAGTACGCCGTCTCGCTGGCCCTCATCGAGGACGGCCGCGAGGTCGTCGGCGTGCTGTGCTGCCCCAACCTGCGCGTCGGGGACGACGGCCGCGTCCGGGAGGACGCCGTCGACGAGCACGGCCTGGGCGTGATGCTCTCCGCCGTGCGGGGGAGGGGCGTCTCCGTGCGGGACCTCTCCACCATCGAGCCGCCCAAGGCTGAGGGCGCCGACGCCGACGCCGTCGTCGTCTACGGTCTGCCCGCTCCGGAACCGCTCGCCAGGCTAGTCGCGACCGAGGACGTGAGCAGGCTCCACGTCGTCGACTCGCCGCTCAGCACCGCCATCCGCCACGACGTCGTCCACCGCCTCGCCGCCCAGGTCGGCGCCCCGTACCCGGGTACCGACGTCTGGTCCTCGCACATGCGGTACGCGGCCCTCATCCTCGGCGGGGCGGACTGCCAGGTGCGCGTGCCCGCCGAGCGCCGCAACGCCGACGGATCCCCCGCCCCGCCCCCGAACGTCTGCATCTGGGACCACGCCGGCGCCCAGCTCATCTTCTCCGAGGCCGGGGGCGTCATCCGGGACCTCGACGGGCTCCCCATCAACTTTGGCGCGGGGAGGTACCTGTCTAGCAATAGGGGTATGGTCTGCGCTAGGGAGGGGGTATACGACAAGGTCTTTGCCATGACGAAGCATATACTCGAGAAGGAACGAGAGATGTAGAGAAGGGAGAGCCAGGGGGAGACGGAGAGACGGAGAGACGGAGAGAGAGAGAGAGAGCCAGCCTTGCATCTGCTTTTTGTTCTTCTTTTTTCTCCTTTTATCCCCCCCTTTTTTATTTTCATTTTTCTACATTGCTACCTCGAATGTTTCATCATAGACTCAGCGAGATACCAGACCAAGAAGAGGCATAATTGAGATTTTACGAAATAATCAAAGACAAGGAAAAAAAACAGTTCTGCTGAAAAAAAAAAGAGACAAGTTTCGTGCCGAAACATTCAAAGATCAAGTTGCGTCATTCAGTCATTACACGTCTTTCGTTCATGCATGCATCCCTTTCGTTAGTCGTATCCAGGAAACCACATGTACTTTCCTTCACTTTCCTCCGGGATTGCGTGGGACCCCTTGTCTCTGCCCCCCACCTCCCCTCATACGACAGCCACGGCTTGTCCATTCGATATGGGCTTCTTCCTCCGCAGACCGAAGAACCCCCTCTCGCCCAGCCGCCTGACGTCCCACGTAGAGCGCTCCTGCTGCTCCTGCTGATGCTGCATGGCCTGCAGCGTCTGGGTGCGCTGGTTGATCTCGGTCAGGCGGCGTTCCCGCTCCCGGCTCTCGAGCTGCTTCATCCTCTCACGCTGCAGGTTGCGCATGCTCGTCGAGTCGTACCGCATCCTCCTGTTGCGCCAGCCCATCCGGTCCTGCACCGAGATGTAGACTAGGCTGAAGGTGACGGAGATGGCGGTGCGGATCCACTCGCTGAATGCGATGGATAGAGAGAGGATGATGACGGCGGCGGAGATGCCGACTTCGCAAGGTACTCAGTATACTGTCTTTTTTTTTTTTTTTTTTTTCGGTGCAGAGGGTACGGGGAGACATGGAAGAAAAAGGGGGGAGATCTTACACATGTATTTAAACTGCGTGCTGAGGGGCGTGAGACCGTCGTTGCTGAGTTCGATCGCATTCATGCCAAAGACAGAGCTGACAAAGGATAGGGGGAGCTATTGTATTGTTAACTATAAAAAGAACGTGCCATGGTGTGTATATATCAATGGAGGTGAGAAGACGGCTTACGAAGAAGATAGTCACGACGGTGAACACGACAATGGATCGCCCCTGGAGGACAGATTCGTCTGCACGCCGGATAGCAGCTTTGGCCTCGATGATGTTGGCTTGCTGCTGCTTCATGTCGAGAAGTTCGCGCACCTTGTTGTGCCGCACATGTCAGCACGTGGTGCAGCTATCACATTACTCTGCCACAACAACAGCAGCTGAAAAGTCCTTGGAGGTGGGGGGCAGATACCTGAGCACGAGTTTTCGTCTGCAGCCTCTCCATGCTGGCCAGCTCCTCCCTTCTCTGATCCATGTCGGTGATGACCGACTCGATGTCCTCGCAGGCCTTGAGGTGATCCTCCAGGGCCTGACCGTCATCCGCAGGGTGGAAGGTGCGGTTGGTCAGGGAGTTGAGGGCCCTACCTAGATCTCGCATGACGGACATCTGCTGGGTGAAGATCTCCTGCATGATCTGCAGCTCGTCAATGACCTGCTGGGCCTCGGCGAGGATGGCCCACTCGAAGCCGATGTTGAGGGACCTGCGGAGGAGGTGCTCGGCTGACTGGAAGTGATCGATGCTGATGCGGCTGACGTCGCGGCCGAACCCCTCGTACGCAATCGTCTTGTTCTCGGCCTGGATAACGGGTAGCGATCAGGGTAACGAATCAGCCCATGGTGCTCCTAGGGGAAGAAGGACCGGTCATGAGTGGCATCAGAGTCAACGTACAATCTGGGATATGGCAGAGCTAAACAGGTCCACAACCTCGGGACGCTGGTCGAGAGGCTTCGTCTGGTCAAAGAAGACCTTGGAGCACTCATCAATCACAATAAAGGCAATGTCGTAGACGCTCTGGATCTCGTCATCGTCGAGGGACCCTATGCGATCTCGGATGCCACGATGGACGGCAGACGGATCGGGCTTGTTGCGACCCCACCTCCTGGGGAAGCTGGAAATGACGGTATCTATTTTCAAATCTTAGCGTCTCTGATCCACCCCCTTCCCCTCGAAAGGCCCGGTGCAGAGAGAGGGGATGAGGTGATGGACATACTGTCATCCAGGATCCATAACCATAGCTGGTCTACCATGACTAGACGCGACGTGGCCTCCGGGTCCGGATCGTCGCCGTGATGCTTGGTGGCCCGGCAGGTAATCTGCTCCCTGTCCCTGTGCTTGGTGTCCTCGGCGGTCCAGTAGTAGAACTGCTCCAGGGTCCTGCGCATGTGAAGCGGGGGCGTCGAGTAGAGGTGGTCCTCGATCAGCCTGCCGTCGGCGGCCTCGTCAATGATCTGGTGCAGCTTTGCCGCGTGCCAGATGTACTTTGCTAGCGGTGTCTGAGGCCGCCACCTCTGGCTGCCAAAGGCGGCGATGGGTTCTGTCTCCTCAAAGCCCGTCATGAGCCTGGGGGCCTGGTGTTGCATATTCTGCGCCACCTTTTTCTGCGCGACGTTGGCCATATGGCCCCTGTGTCCCGTCGTGCTGACGCGGCGGAGACGGTCCTCGCGCTCCTTGCGCGACTTGGCCATCTGGATGAACTGGTTCATCCGCTGAAGACGTTTCTCCACTTCCCAATGAAGGTACGGCATCTGAGAGAAGCAGTCGGTCAGTCAATGGGAAGATGACGGCTTTTTCCCTCTCTCTCTCTCTCTCTCTCTCTCTCTCTCTCTCCCTCCCCCTCTCCCCCTCTCTCTGTTCCGCCGAAACAAGGGATGGAATGAGTTGAAGAAAAAAAAAACGTACAAAGATGATGACGTCCTTGGAGGAAGAAGGCGTTTCGCGACGACTCTTGTGCTCGGGCGGCGCCGAGGGCACAACAGAGCACCGCGCCCCGATTTGTCTAGCATGCACGGGAAGCCCCTTGCCCCCGCGCTGCTGGCCGCGCCACAGCTCGTTCCTCAGGAGACGCTGCGAGTTGTGCTTGAGGGCGTGGGCGTTCTTCCCGTCAAAGTTGACGCCGTCCTCACCGTAGTATCGGGACATGGCCTCCTCGACCCAGCGCATGTTGTTGGCGGGTAGGTGGAAGTAGCGCAGGCGGTCCTTGCGCGGGGAGCGGCGGAGCGGCGTGTTCTCCTTGTTGTAGAGGAACTGCTGGATCGAAATCTTCTGGTGGGGGAACGACCCCATGACGAGCGGGTGGTCGATGGACACGCGGCCCTTGCCCTTGTCCCACACGGCCACCCACCCGTTGTACCCGTAGTCGGGCTTCTTGGGGTCGTCGGTGGTGCTCGCGGCCACCTCACCCTCGCTACCGAGGCCGTCCATGTAACCCCCGGGGCTCATGGCGTCCCGCGCGGCCGCATAGTCCTTGGACTTCCAGTCCTGCACCTGCAGCAGGATGTCGCGGTTGCGCAGCAGCATCGGGGCCTCGCCGTACCTGTCAATCTCCCGCTGCACCCTGGCCAGCTCGTCGGCCGCCCGCCGCTGCGCGATGTCGCGCCACTTGGTGCGCGAGTCGTCCAGCAGTGCCACCAGCGGCAGGCTGTCCTTCGGGAACACCCGGTAGTCCTTGAAGTGTGCGCGGAAGTACTGGATGCGCTGCACCTCCTTGCGGATGTGCTGCTGACTGGGTGGGTCGAGCCCCTCATACAGTCCGCGCCGCCGGGCTATTCGCGTCCGGAGGAACTCGGCCCACACGTCGGGAGCCTGGTCCGGGTCCACGTAGACGTCCTCCACATTGTAGTCGTACTTGTACGCTGCCGTCGACGATGAGGCGCCGCTGGTTCCATTGGTAGGCTCGGTGATGCGGAGTGTCGCCAGCGGATGCCAGTCACGACCCTGGTTCATACTGCGACCATGCCAATCAATCGACAGCAACCGACAGTTGACAGCAAAGAAAGAAAGAGAGCAGGAAGGGCAGATGCCTATATATATATATATACATATATATATATATATTGAATTGCGCGCACGGCGGTGAGACGGACACACTGAGCGGGGCAGAAGCAAGTAGAAGAATTTCGAGGTATGAAAGAGAGAGGCAACCAGGGAAAAAGAAAAAGAATACCCTGGGGGTTGGACTCGAGTCTCACCGAAACTGGTAATCGCTTCTCCTCTTGGCTTCCTGGTATCTAAACAGTCGACAAACATCCCTGCAAGTGGGTGTCTCGTACAGCTCCGCTTCATAGTACAGAAAAGCGTGGCTGCTCATTATGCCTAAATGCTTATGCCGGCTGCATGCATGACTATGGCGTCCCGCACTACCGAGTGTGAACATGATGTTGGAAACCTCTTGAAGGGGGTTTTGTTTTTTGTTTTTTTGTTTTTTTTTTGTATTCAATCGATTCAATCGTTATCAAGTACATGCATGTGCTTGTGTATGTGCGTACGTGTATGAAGCCAAAACAGAAAAACCCGTTCCCGACTTACACGCCATGGTATGATATCCGGCTATACAATCAACGTCTACATCAGACTACTACGTCCTCCAATCTCCATGCTGCCCTGCCCGTCCTTCAGCTGCCCGCTTCGCCCTACGACGAACTCGTGGTAGATCCTGCGGAGCCTTGTGAGCTCGTCACGACTGATGCTCGCCCTAGTCGAGCTGAGAGCCCTCTCGATGTGCTCGGGGCGCACGACCACCTCTTTGCTGTCGACCGCTCCCTTGTTACCGCCGCCGACGTCAGGGTTGGTGGGTTCCCTGGCCCTGCGACGGGCTAGCTTCATGCCTTCGAGTTTGGATATGATGGCTGCCCTTTCCACGGCCGAGGCAGCCTTGCTCTTGGGTGCCACAAGGTCGGTAGCTGTGTTGGCCCCATAGTGGAATTGTACGAAATTGGACGACGACGACGCCGGTCTCCCAGAAGCGGCGGTCGAACGTTTCGTGGTATTGTTGTTGGCAGCGGCTGGCGTCTTGTTGTCAATGGCGTCATGTATGGCCTCGAGCTGTGAGTTGGACACGAGAGCCTGGATGTCCGCGCCGGAGTAGCCCTCTGTGCGCTGAGCCACGTCGGCAAGCACATCGCCGACGTCGCCGTCCAGCCTGACCTTCTGAAGAAGAGCCTGGAGGATATCAAGCCTGTCCTCCGCTGAGGGCAAGTCGCATAGCAGAGACTTGTCAAGACGACCGGGACGCAGAAGCGCAGGGTCAATGAGGTCAGGGCGTGAAGTGGCTGCCAGCACATAGACACCCGAGAGACCCTCGGCACCGTCCATCTGCGTGAGGAGCTGGTTGACCACGCGGTCCGTCACACCTGTCGAATCGTGGCCTCGCTTGGGAGCGATCGAGTCGAACTCGTCAAAGAAGAGAACGCACGGCTTGGCCGCCTGCGCCCGGTCAAATAGGTCACGCACGCTCTTCTCCGACGCACCGATGTACTTGTTGAGGATCTCGGGACCCTTGACGCTTATGAAGTTGAGCCCGCACTCGCCCGCCACGGCGCTCGCAAGGAGCGTCTTTCCGCAGCCGGGATAGCCGTAGAGTAGGAGACCGGATCGTAGTCGTAGAGGGCACTGCGCGAAGATGGGGGCGTACTTGGTCGGGTACTGCAGTGTCTCGAGGAGCACCTTGCGCGTCTCCTTCAGACCTCCGATGGACTTGAACGTCGTCGTCGAGCTCTGCAGTGACACGTTGCGCAGGGAAGCCGGCGTGAAGCCCTGGAGCGCCTTGTCAAAGTCGGCTCGTCCCAGGGGCACTGGACGGTCGCTCGAGTCGGCTCGGTCAGAGTCAAGCGAGCGAATGATGGCCTCATTCCTGGCCCGCGACACATACACAGCCAAGTCGCCCGGCATGTAGCCGTCTGTGGTCCCTGCAATGTCGAGAAAATCGACATCATCCTCCAGGAGAAAACCTCCATTCTTCTTCCTGGGTGAAGCATCGAAGCTGGCTTCGCTGCCACCCATCCAAGCGCCGCTGTTAGCACCCGCACCGCTGCTACCATCGGCCGTGGTTGGACGGCTGCCTTCGCTGGTACCGGGGCGGTAGAAGTATGCGTCATCATCAACTGCCCGGGCAGCGTCCTTCATGACAATCGACTCCATGATCCGGCGCCGCACCTCTTTATCAGGTGCTGCGAGCTCGATAAAGTCCCGTACCACATGTCCGCCAACGACGACGTTGTTGAGAGAATCCTTGCCCTCCGCCGTTCCAAGGAGCACAACGCCCTTCTCGGCTGTGCAGTACTGCCTCACTACGGAGCAGATTGTCTCACTGACCTGCCGGCTCCTCCCATTGTCATTGCCGACCTGCAACTCCGTCTCCACCGGGCACAGCTTATCCATGTCGTCGAGGACGACAATGGCCTTGCCACCTAATCTGGCGCCCCAGCTTGCAGACATGAAAATATGGTTTAGCGTGTCTTTGATAGTCGATATTCGAGTTTCGTCCGTCACCAGCTTGCGGCAAGGGAAGTAGACAGTATAGAATAGTCCGTCCTCCCGCAGCCTCTGCGCGACGTACTTGGCCACAGACGTTTTTCCAGACCCCATGCCACCCGTAAGGAGCAGGGATGACATGTGTGAGAGTTGCTTCTGGACGCTGCTCAAGAGTGAGTCGATGCCCACAAGAATGGAGTCGTGTGACGGCTGCAGGTCGTGTAGTTCCGTATCCGTTTTGATAGAGGGCGGCCTCGGCACAGGTTGCTGGAATTCTATGGGGGTTTTGCTGTCAAGGCCGAGCAGCCAGTGGACTGTGTCTTTGCTCACGTCCTGCGTGGAAAAGTCTGATCCGTAGACGAACTTGACGAGGCCGCCCTCCCAGCCGGTGGGTGCTTCCAACCCATCAAAGACGCCAAGAATAGCACCATCCGTGAGTGGGCCCTGAAGCAAGCCTGGAGCTGCGGCGGACGACCCCGAGTAGATATTCTTGAGTTGCTTGACAGACTCTTCTTTCTCCGCCTTGGATTCGCCCCCGAACTTGAGGCCGCCCTGGCCCTGCAACGTCGCGGCGAAGGGATACACCATTATTTGCTGCACCTGCGCTGTGGTGAGCTGTTGGGGGGCGGGCTGAATCTTGACGACACCTCCAACCAAGCCTGAGCATCCGACAGCTGCGCAGAGCGCCGAGGACAGTGCTATCGTCTGGCCGTTGGGCGGTTCCTCCCACGGTCTCAGATGTGCCACAATCTTGGATGACGTCGGCGTGGCAGCAGCAGCAGCTTCGTCCTCAGGTTGCGCCTTTTGCAGGCCGGCAGGCCTCATGATATCCACAACAACATAGTTGACGTCCTTGAGAGCACCCGAGCGTACGATGTCACTATCAATCCACACACTCGTGTCTTGCACAGGAGCATCCACATCGAACCACTCAGCCAATACGGAGCGGTCCACTCCGCGGAAAAACAAGGCAGGCTTGCTCTCTTCCCGAGCCCCCCTCCTTCGAACAGTGCTACCGCCGCTACGACGTGACTTGGAGGTGCTAGCGACGCTGCGGTGATCACCCATGCCTTCGTGGCTCTTGGCTCGTACCTTTGGCGCCACGATGACTTCCGCATTGGGAGACAGCTTGACAAAGGGAACGTCAGCCGCTGGCGCAGGGTCGAGCGACACCACCTTGATGTTTGCTGTTGATGTCGGCGACAAGTGGAGTGTAAGTGTGTGCGGGGGTATCGGTATTCCGTCCGAGGCGTGTGTTGGGTTCGGTAGCGCGCGCACCTGCGATTGCAAGTTAAGCTCGAGGAATGTCGCGTGGAGTTCGATAATCTCCCAGTCTTCTGGAGTCAAGGGCTCGATGTTGATGGTGTGCGCCAAGGGCGGGTCGACGTGGACAGTAGCCATGACCCGCTGACCGTCGAGCAGACCCAGCGATACCGCCAATGTCGCGTCCATCTCAACCAGCGGAGAATCCTGATCCCGTGACGAGCCCCTTGCTCCATTGATCCCATCCCGTCCCACAGGCGCGGCGGCTTTTCGTTTGCTCGGCATGCCGGTCCATCCTACAAAGACGGAGCGTTGCTGGGACCCAGCTTGCGCGCCGCCAGTGGCCCGGAAGCTGAGCTCGACAACGACATTCTGCGCAGGCTATGTATAGGAAGCATCAAGTCAGCACTTGAGCACCCATGGGGGAAAAGAAGTGGAACGGACGTATGCATACCGTGTTGACGTTGACTAGCAGAGACACTAGATTCGGCGGGAGGTTGACAAGACAGTTCTTGAGGTGTACGAGCGACACCTCAGCCGCAGTGGACTGCGCGTTCTTCCTTGGTGCCATGAAGCGAAATTGCGTCTTGCATTTGACTGCATGGATAGGATTCAGAGAAAGTCTGCCTGTCAAGCAACGCAAAAACACAAGAGGCAATGTTGTTCGTCACAAGCCCCCCAGAACTTAATCAGGACCGAAGCCGATTGGAATCCTATTCCCCAGTTTTGGTGTCCCCTCCAGAACCGAGGTTTTTGGTACCTACGTAAGCTACACGTGCTGATTTACGTATCAAGCGGCAAGCCACACACCACCCAACCGGCTCCCCCACAATCCGAGATTGAGCCACACGGTACTTCGGTTTATGTACTTATGCACGTTAAATGGATTTCTCTGTGGCTCAGGTGAGAACGCGACGCGAAAAGACGCGCGCTTTCCGTGATCCACCCTTCGTCCTCCTCCACACCCCCCTGCAACGGGATGGCGGCTCCCAGCCCACGAATTTGCGCCCGGCATCGTTTTTGCCATCAACCGTCCATAAACCCCGTCCCATACTTCCTTCCCCTCCACGCCCCTTCTCCTCCATGGGCATCATCCATCCACCTTTCGCTGGACCATCGAACTCAGCAGCGACGACTTCACTGATAATAAGGCACCAAAATGGCGCTTCGCGAGTTCAAGGCGCCCGTGAACTACGAGTCGCAGCAGAGTATGTTGCTTTGACTACGTGATCCTCTGCTTTGCGACAACGCTGACATCTTTACTTCGTTGTTTTCAGATGCGCTCGAGAGTTTTTTGAAAAATTACAAGACATCCCCCGAGCAGACTATCACCACAGCGCTTGGGGATGTCACCATCAACGAGGATGAGCTCAGCGACGAGTACGATTTTATGGACGATGACGAGCAGGTTACCGGCCGCCACCAGCAGCAGAGGCAGCAGAAGCGCGTGCCTGAGCACAAGTATTTGGTTCAGCTACAAAAGCTGGCCAACCGCCAGACGCACGAGATTACCATTGAGCTGGATGACTTGGTTTCCGTATGCACTGCACACCTACACCGCAACACTAACCAGTATTGTGCTGACACTCTTGCAGTGGGAGAAAGATCAGGATGACGGCTTGCGGCTTGTCGACTCAATTGAGATGAACACGAAGCACTATGTTGAGATTATGTCGAGAGCTGTCGACAAGGCTATGCCGCAGCCGGATTCAGACGTCACGTAAGCAACATGTTTGCCCCCCCCCCCCCCCCTTCACGGCTTTCCCTGACCGCTTCTTGAAAGCACAGGTTCAAGGACGATGTTCTCGATATCCTCAACGCGCGACGACTGGAGCGGAATCGGCAGTGGTCCGAGGAGCAGGAAGACGACCCTTCCGCCGAAACCGATCAGTTCCCCGCAGAGCTCACTCGCCGCTACACCCTCCTTTTCAAGCCCCGCACCGGCTCTATCGATGCGCCTGCGAAGACCCTGGCCGTTCGGCAGGTTCGTGGTGACCACCTCGGGCACCTCATCACCATGCGTGCTATTGCCACGCGTGTGTCAGATGTCAAGCCCGTCGTCCAGGTCAATGCATACTCGTGCGACCGCTGCGGCTGCGAAATCTTCCAGCCGGTCACGGACAAGCAATTCGGCCCCTTGACGGCCTGCCCCTCTGCCGATTGCGCAACAAACCAGGCTCGTGGACAGCTGACCCACTCAGTCAGAGCGTCCAAATTCTTGCCCTTCCAGGAGATCAAGGTCCAGGAGCTGGCCGAACAGGTCCCTATCGGCCAGATCCCCCGAAGCATGACTGTCCTCTGCTATGGCAGCATAGTCCGCCAGATCAACCCGGGCGACGTTGTCGACATCTCGGGCATCTTCCTCCCGACCCCGTACACCGGCTTCAAGGCTATGAAGGCCGGCTTGCTGACCGACACCTACCTCGAGGCTCACCACATTGTGCAGCACAAGAAGGCATACAGTGAAATGATCGTCGATTCCAGGCTAGTACGCAGAATTGAGCAGTACCGCCAATCTGGACAGGTGTATGAGATGCTTGCCAAGTCGATTGCCCCCGAAATCTTTGGTCACTTGGACGTCAAGAAGGCCCTCCTGCTTCTCCTTATTGGCGGTGTCAATAAGGAGGTCAAGGACGGTATGAAGATCCGTGGTGATATCAACATCTGTATGATGGGTGATCCCGGTGTGGCCAAGTCCCAGCTTCTCAAGTACATCTCCAAGGTGGCACCTCGTGGAGTCTACACGTCTGGCCGTGGTAGCAGTGGTGTCGGTCTCACGGCTGCCGTCATGCGTGACCCCGTCACCGACGAGATGGTCCTTGAGGGCGGTGCTCTCGTCCTGGCAGATAACGGCATCTGCTGCATCGATGAATTCGACAAGATGGACGACAATGATCGTACCGCCATTCACGAAGTCATGGAGCAGCAGACCATCTCCATCTCCAAAGCTGGCATCTCGACGACGCTCAACGCCCGCACGTCGATCCTGGCTGCCGCCAACCCCATCTACGGACGATACAACCCGCGCATCTCGCCGGTGGAGAATATCAACCTCCCCGCGGCACTCCTGTCTCGTTTTGATATTCTCTTCCTTCTCCTCGACACGCCTACCCGCGAGACCGATGAGCAGCTGGCCAAGCACGTCGCCTATGTGCACATGAACAACCGCCACCCTGAGACTGTCACCTTTTCCCCCCACGAGGTGAGGTCTTACATCGCCCAGGCTCGTACCTACCGCCCCGTCGTGCCTGAGTCCGTGTCCGAGTATATGATCAAGACATACGTCCGCATGAGGGAGCAGCAGCAGCGTGCGGAGAAGAAGGGCAAGCAGTTCACCCACACGACACCGCGTACGCTCCTCGGTGTTGTGCGTCTATCTCAGGCCCTGGCACGTCTCCGTTTCAGCAACGAGGTAGTGCAGGACGATGTCGACGAAGCGCTTCGTCTTATCGAGGCTAGCATCGAGAGCCTCAACGCTGACCTGGGAACGGGAGGTCGCCGTCTCAACGCCAGCAGCAGGATCTACAACCTCGTCAAGGGCCTGTCCGACTCGGGTGCCTGCAGGGCCGAGGATGCTGCCGGCGACGACGATGGCCTCGGCGTGGAGCTGAGCATGCGCAAGGTCAAGGAGCGTGTCATTGCCAAAGGATTCACCGAGGACCAGTGGCTCACCGCGCTGGAAGAGTACACCACTCTGGACGTAAGTTTACAGGCTCTCCAACTGCACAACAACCGTGCCACTAACAATCTATGCAGGTGTGGCAAACAGCTGGAAACGGATCAAGGTTGGTGTTTGTTACGGCTGATAATGATGACGGAGAGGACGACATGGATTTCTAAGGGAGGTGATTGCTGGATTTGGCCATTGTTATTTGATGATATTCAATGGGATGGCGTTTATAGGTCTATGACAGAAAAGGCGTACAGCTCAACCAGTTTTTTTTCTATCCATCTCCGTCCAAGCAATGGACGAAGGATGCATACCCATGATTTTTCAGCAGAAACGATATCATTTCTGTCTATATATGGTTTAACAAAAAAAAGGGTTACAAAAGTTTGACTTGTTTTTTTTTCTGAGTACAGATGACAATATATGATACAAGATGGGGAGGATGAGTCTACACTGGGGGGTTATGCTTTTCTTTTTGTCTTGTCAGACTCGTACAGTCAGGAGAGATGCCCTCTCCATCTCGCCGACGAGGCCGTGACCTCCGAGGGCCCACTTCTCCCAGACGGTGCGTTGGTCGATGCGGGCACGCAGCAGGCCGCTGGCACCCCAGTACTCCATGAGGGCGCGGGCGTCCTCCTTTGTGACGCCGTCGAGGCGGAGGACGGTGGAGTTCTTGAGGGAGTCGTAGACGCGGTCGTCGTAGCCCTTCTTGTAGGGCTCGGGGAGGGGCACTTCGCGGCCGGCCTGGCCGGCCTCGAGCTGAGACAGGACGAGCTCCTGCGAGGGGTGGCGATGGGCGTTGTTGCCAGAGGTGGCGGCAATGACGGCGCCGCCGTTGGGCATGGCCGTCTTGCCTGACAGGGCGTCGACGAAGGCGCCCACCAGGGTCAGGTCGTGGGCGTGGACGCGGTTGAAGGACGGGTCGCGGTACTCAGTCACCTTGCTGATGTGGGACAGGCCGTCGAGCGTCAGGAGAACGGGTGGGCGACCGGGAAGCGTCAGCTCGGTCCAAAGGGCGCTGAAGGTGGGCCACGCCCAGTCGGCTTCCTTGGCGCTCAGGATCAGCTCCGACAGCGTGCCGCCCGCCTGCTTCTGGTTCGTCGTGCTCGTCCAATCCTTCTCCTGGCGGAGCTTGTCCAGCTGCTCCCTATTGGCGTTGTAGATGCTCGTCAGGAGCTTGAGCGTGTATGTCGGCTGGGCGAACTGCATCGGCTCGCCGGAGTCGGCGATGGGGGAGTACTCGGTGTTGCCGTTGGTGAGGTCCTGACCTGGAAAGGGGGAAGTGAGTAGAAGAAGTTAGTTTCGATTTTTTTATACACAACAGAAGCGCAAAGGGTGATGTAATGATAGGAGGTGGAGAAAAGGGAGACGTACCCTCGGGAATGTTGATGACAACCCAGTCATTCAGGAGACCGTACGTCATGGCCTGGAGAAGAGCAATGCTCTTACCCGAAAGCTTCGCACCTGTGAGCACCAGACGCTGGGCCTTCTTATCGGCAGCCGAGGCCTGCAGGCGGCTCACGAGGTCGACGACCTCGCTGCGCAGGAGTACGTGGGGCCTGCGGAACAAGGACCAGGCCTGGGTGGGCTTGAAGGCCTCGAGCGTTCGCAGCCTGTCCTGGATATGGTCGGGCACGGCGAACATCTTGCCGGCGTTGGCGGGGTCAGTCATGGTGCCGGCCTCGAGCGTACCGAGCCCGGCCACCTCGAGCGCGTTGTTGTTGCTGAGCTGGATGCGCTTCCGCGACGCCTTGCGCTCGCCCGGGTTGGGCTTCTTGGCCGACGACGCCGCCTTGATCTGGTTGTTCTTCTTGGGGACCTGCACCTTCTTTGCAGGCGCGTTCTTGCTGTCCTTGGCCAGGAGGCCCATCGTCGTCGAGAAGGGGGCTGCTGCCGCTGCCGCCCCTGCTGCCGCTGCCGTCACCATCATCGGTGGTATTGCTGTCGTGCCGCCCATGTGTTGCTGCACCCGTCGAGCCATGGTGCTGGGCCGCACCAGCGACCGCATTGATGAGGTTCCCGGTGCCATGGCTTGAATTGTCTTTTTCTTTCCGGGGACGTTGAGACTTCGCTTCTTTTTGTTTTTTTCCCCACGTTTATTGTCGTCTATCGCCGCATTGGGAGCAGGAAGGTGCGTCCCTGGCAAGGAAAATCTCAAGCTAGTACCTGGGTGATTATGTAACGGTACCAACAGCCCCGGAAAAAATCCAGACCCGGGCACGCTGACAGCAGTATTATATTATAAGCTATCTAAGGTTGCTTATCGATTATCATAAGAGAAAAAAATGGCGGCAGAAAAGGAAAAAAATATATATAATTTTTTACGTCTAAATACTACTGGTACTGCTCCATACATCTTAAACATAACACATTCACCAAATAACAAAACATACACACACAAACACACGCACACATACGCACACATACGCACATACACGCACTTACAATGGAGGCCATTGAAACCAAGGCCAAGCTGCCCGTGGCAGTCGACAAGCCCACGCCCTACACCTTCGACCTGGGCAACCTGGTAGCCGAGGACGCCAACCCGGCCGTCATCGACCCCTCCGCGCCGGAGCAGTCCCTGGCCGAGATCGCCCGCGACGGCGCCCAGGCCCTGATCAACCAGCTGCTGACGGCGTGCCCTCTGGCAACGACCAAGGACGGGGTTCTCATCTCCCTCCCGGAGCCCACGACCCGCATCCCCCGCGAGAAGCCGGTGCCCGAGGCCAAGCCGCCCACCAAGTGGGAGAGGTTCGCGGCCAAGAAGGGCATCAAGCCCAAGACGCGCGAGCAGCGCCGCAACCTCGCCTTCGACGACCAGTCGGGCGAGTGGAAGCGCAAGTGGGGCTACGGCGGCCTCAACAAGAAGGGCCAGGACGACCCCATCGTCGAGATCGACATGAAGGCCGAGAGGGAGCGCAAGGCGGGCACCTCGGTCCACCGCGACTCCAGAAGGGAGCGCAAGGAAAACCTCAGGCGCAACGAGAGGAAGATGAAGAAGAATGCCAGGCAGGCCATGGATGGGAAGAAATAGACGAAACGACGGGGGAAAATATGTTGACTTTCGGGTTTGGGGGGGGGTTCCTTTTCGGGAGGATTGTTTTTTCCCTACAATAAGAAAAGCATCGGTCATGGCGTTTTTTTCTCTTGTTCTCTAGCTCTTCTTTTCTTCTTCCTTTTCCTTTCCTATCTTACTTTCTTCTTTCAAATGACGGTCTACATGAAGTAGGGAATGATATACAATGTATTCTGAATTCTGTCAAATAGCACCAATGATTCTATATCACGCAAGTGCAAACATATTGTAAGAATCCCTTCTTTTTTTTCAACCCGTCTGAATCAAAAGGAAAATGAATATTACTACTCGCCTCCTTTCCAGTTAGACCCCTCCATCATATCAAAATGCAATACGCCCGGCTTTTTTTTTCTTTGCAAACCCTGCAAATGCAACAAATATGGCCGAATCGAATACAAGATAGGAAAAAGAGAAAGATTCGCATACCAGGAAAAACAGAGCTTGCCATTGATTTGTCTCGTATTCGAAAACATGGAGAAAAGTTTAGAGATAAATGATGTGAATGCCCCCTTCCAAAAGACATGAAAGCACAAGACTGAGGCGAAAACGCAAAGATAAAAAAAAATAAGAATAATGAAAGAGGGAAAATAAAGACAGAAACTAAATGGTAGGCTCTCAAAGAAAGGAAGGGTATAAGGCCGGACAACAAGGAAAGACAAGAGGCTGTGTTTGTTATCGGAATGATGAGGCGATGCAAGCATCGAGTGTCAAGAGGAGGTTTGGTGCCCCCGCATTCGAGGGCGGTGGATGATATCATCCGAGGGGGTGACGAAGTCGCAAAAGGAGAGGGTGAGTGGAACGATAAGCAATGCGCGGAGAATGGGTGTCGTGAGAGGCATTATGTCGTGAACTCGGCAGTAACGCTCAAGAGGCTGTTTCAGCAAAGCAAGAAATTACTCGAGAAAACAACGTGTTCTACAGTAGGGGTATATGTTTCTTCTCTTCCAGTGAGCGTGCGAGTTCGGTGATAAAGATATATATGTCGGCGATGGGTGATTGCATTGCGGTTTGCTCGTTCCCCCGGGTCGAGAATGTTTGATAATGGTGGTCGAGAAAGGACGCTCTAGAATCCGAGAGGCGACAACGGTTCGATGGGTGACAGTCGTCGAAGGGCGGCCGTCTTGGTCAGTTTCGGGGTGGTCGTAATTTCTCGGTCGCTAGAAATCGGTCAGTCAGGGCTCCGGGGAACTGGTGATGAGGTCAAGCCTCGTCGGGGATGGAGTACTGACCTGTTCAGCGATGCTTGTGTCTTCGGCGTCTTCCAAGCGCTTGCCCCCGTACTGCGGTCGCTCGAAGTCGAGTTCTTGCTGCTGACGCTGCTTTCGGCGTCATCGTCGCCGTCGGACGGTGGTGTCTTGGGGGGTCTCTGCTGCTGTCTCTGCTCCGGTGGCTTCTGTTCGTTGAAGGTGGGCTCCTGTACTGCGGCCAGGCCCAGGCCTGGGGGTGGTGGCTGGTCGAGAAGGGCGTACTCCTCCTCAATGAAGGCGCTCTCATTCTTGCAGCCCTTCCAGCAGTCTCTCCAGTCGCAGACCAGGAACTTGAAGCAGAAGACATCAATCTTCATGCACGGCTGAAAGCAGATGCACAGGTTCCTAAAGTCCATCTTGTTCTTGTCTGAGTGGGCTAGAAGTAGACTCAGGTGGCACGTGATTGCGAATAAGAGGTAGTACTGGAAAGGGGAGAGGTTAGACAGCTCGTCGATGAGCATCTGGGGCACCTCCTCGGAACCGGCGCACTCCCGAGAGATGCGCTCCTGGGCCGCCTTGGGGAACAGCTCGTCCGGCAGCTCACGCAGCCAGGCCTTGAGCATGGATCCGATGATGTTGATGTCGTATAGGTCGTCCTGCTCAAACAGGTCCACGTCAAGATCTGCAAGTAGATGAATTCGCGTCAGTTGCTGCACACTCCACGCACCAGAGTCGGCAGGGCCCAGAGCCCCGAGCAGGCTCATCTCACCTTCGTCAAACCTCCGCTGCCACTTCTTAATCTGTGGGCCACTTCCCGGCACACGGTAGAGGCCTTCGATCTCGCAACCTTTGTAGTTGAGATAGTCGATAGCCCTCCAGGGGAACGAGGGCATCCAGAACTCCGTCTTGTCTCTCGAATCCTCCAGGCGCTTCGAGATGCGTGTCTTGCGGGCCTGCTCGGCGAGGGGCAGGTTGAGCACCTTGATGACATAGTGCTCGTCGTCTAACGACTCGCGGTCGGATGCGTGAGCGCTGCGGAGGCCCCTACCGAAGAAGCGGCTGCCAATCATTCCTGCCGCCTTGGTCGACGAGCTCCTAAGGCCACTGAGAAAGCTTCCATTCTCTCTCGACACGGGCGGGAGGTTGGGGGTCTTGTTTTCCCGAGCGTCCTTGTCGCGGTGATGGTGATGGTGCTGATGGCGGTTACTGCTGTTTTCGCGGCTGCTGGACGAAGTGCCTTCCCTGCTGTTGGTGCTGTCGGCGTTGTTGGCGTTTTTGGGTGCGCGGTCCTCGGATTTGTTGCGCTGCGAGGACGAATCCATCATATCTCGGAATGAGCGCTCATTGGCGGCTGATGCGGTCTTCAAGGCGGGTGAGCTGGCGTCCTTCATGGGTTGCAGTGCGGTCGGTTGAGGGGCGAGGCCTGGCATCGGATCGCGCAGCTCGGTTGGGCTGCTAATCTCCCTATCACGCACCGACTTGTTTCTTGCAAGGAGCCCAAACGACTTTGGCTTGTTCTTTCTGCTGAGGGGGGCCAGGCTGGTATTGTTGGATTCGCGATCACCGGTAGACAGAAGGGACAGTTCGGATCGTGATGACCTGAGCCTCAGGGGGTTCGAAGACTTGACGGGCGTCGGGGCAGCGTCGATCTGGTTGGGATTGCCTGTAGACGGAGGGTGGAAGGGAGGAAGGAAGAGAGGATCAGCATACGAGGCAGAGTGATTTCGAAATCCGACAGGTGGCACCAATCCGAAGCAGCGTGTTTGAAGGGGTTGTGGGGAAAGGGGGCGACGAAATGACAATGCGCATTGTTTCCAATGTGGTAAACGTACCTTGGATTTGCGCTCTGAGCGGGACCAAGGGTTCCGATTGCTTGTGAGAATGGCCCGTCAACTGATTGGAGGTCTTTGATGGTTTGCTGAAATGGAAGCGTCCGGTCCTAGGTCTGCTGGCGTCTGGCTGAGACGAGGACGCAGGGACAGGCTCGTAACGGGTCGACACGGTCGTGGTCTCGAACTGGGCGGAGAGTTGTTGCTGCTGCTGCTGCTGCTGCTGCGGCTGCTGCTGCTGCGGCTGTTGCTGGTCGGCAAAGGAGTGAGAAGACGAGGATTCGCCGCCTGGGCGTGCCGTCTGAGGACGTCTGTTTTGGGAAGAGAACTTGGAGGTAAAGGGAGATGAGCGGGGGACCGTTGCAGATACGGGCGATCTGGAGGAGTCTGCGGCGGATAGAGAAGTTGCTGCAGAAGCCATGTTTTCAGGGCCGGTGCTGCTGCTGTTGTCGCCGCTACGCACGGCTGCCGTAGGAGAAGTGGCTGAGGCCTGCAACGTGAGCGGCTGGGGAGCCGGCTTCTTGCGTCCCATCGTCTGAGACCGGTGTAATAATGATGTTCGTACTTGCAAAAACAATAAATTTAATAGAGGGTTCGCCCGCCACCCGTGGGATAAAGTATATATAGTATATAGAGATATATTGTATATATATCAGGGCCTGGAACCGTGTCAGGGAATGCCCCGGATGGAAGAAACCGAAAAGGGAGGCGTGGTTGAGAAACAGAATGCGTTTGCGTGTGTGGTTGGGGGGGACCACAGATTGATCGGTGGGGACCAAGGAGAGCAGTGAGTGTGAGAAGGAGGGGGGGGGGGGGAGGCCGGGGATAATAATAGTGCTAAAAAAAGTTGAAAATAGCGCCAAGGCACAGAATTGTACGAGTATGTCGTAGTAGAGACAGTGTCTGCCGCAGGAACTGTAGCAGAGATAGGACGAGAGGGCAAATGATACTCGCTATCGATATTCGCAATTATCCGTTCAACCTGGCCGACGCACTCCAAGGTCCGTCCAAGGTCCGGTCACTCTGATGTGGTGGGAAATTAATCTCTTCGGCATTCCCTCACGACGCTATCAGTGTTTGGAGGAGGGTTAGTCTGTCTTGTAGAGAGATTGAGCCTTGGGTTAAGGGGCGCAAAGGAAGAGACAGAGGGAAAGACACGCACACACACACACACACACAGAAAGAGAGAGAGAGAGAGAGAGGGTATATGTGGGGGGGTGGGAAGCTAGAGGGGACAAAGAAGAGGAGGAGAAGAAGAAAGAAGAACAGATGCAAGCTAGGGACTGCAATACGAGCCACTCTCTTCGTGAGGCTTGTACGAGTATAGGCGTTCGTCGTTAGTGTGGTGGTGCCTGCTTTGCCGGATCTCTGATGCTAATCTCATGGGATGTTGAACAAGTGTGTACAGGGAGTACCGAGTACGAGTTAATAATACGGAGCAAAAAAAAAAAAAAGAAGGGACTCGTGAGGGAGAGAGAAGACAAGAATGGGTGACAGGAGGGAGGGGCTCTCACATTGCTAGCGTCGGATCGGCAAACAGAGAAGAGCAGATACGGAAGCATGGAGGGTCAGTCCAGTCCAGTCCAGTCCAGTCCAGTCCGGTCCGGTATTACTACGCAGAGGATTAATTACGGAGTAATACTACTAAATAGAGAGCGGTATTAATTGCTGGGGAGGAGCCCGAGGGGAACGTTGAAAGGAACATGGAAATGATGGAATTGAGGAGTTCTGGGGGAGGGGGGGGGGGGCCCACGAGTATGAAGCACAGGAATGACAATGACGCAGAAATCATCAGGAATAAGAGACAACAGCCATGATGCCTGCTGGTGGCCACGACAATGTCACAATGGTCTTCTGCACGCTGTGTAATCTGTACATGCGTCGTGATAGTATTACATGTAGTAGAGGTATTGGCGATGATACGAGTTTAGGAAATCTCCCCTGTCAAAATCGTACACCGCAACATCGGCCAGCAAACCGTCAAGTTGGAGGACGCGCGAGGTGCAGCTACCATCACTCCGTGCTCTATCACTCCTTGCTCCAGTTCTAATACCACTCTTGAACGCCACCTCACTCGCAGACCACGTACATATATCACTGCTCATAGAGCCCCTCAGCCCCTACCTACCATGATCACGGAGACTTTTCAACGCTACGGGGAATTTTCAAGTTGCTACTAGCATAAAGCATCTTCAAACTCTTTTTTGCCCCCCTCTCTCCTTCCATACATATGATGGTACGTGCAAGGGCCTCAGTTTGCCATACGAGTAGCCCGTAGTAGTCGCTAGTTGGCCGAATCATGGCTAGCATCGAGCTAATATCACGCTCCGCTGCCATCATGACTTGCCATCACCCCACCGCTCTCACTATCTCAGAGGAATAATAATAATACTAGGTGCCGATAATCAAACCCTGCACGGGGTCTGTGAAAATTACATGCTAGCAGTACAGATTACATGTGGTACTATTGCAGCACTGCTGATGATATCACTTGTATGCTAGCGCTAGAGTCTAGCAGACACTCATACACTACAAGTACGAATGCCTTCTCCCGCGCACTTCTCGTACCCGTACACTTCAGTCACTCTCACTACGAGTATTACTCCGTATATGTGATATACCGTTCCTCTGCGCCGTTCTGAAACGAGCAACGGCGCCAGGGGCAGAGTCGTGGGTCTAGCCAATGGCGCCCGCCCGCACCTGTCCCATTACGGATCCCCCACCATCCCCCAATCAGGGAGGCCCTGAGGAAAACCCCGAGGGGTCCTGATGAGGCGACCTAGAGTTTGAGGGTGCCGGCGTGTACGAGCGTCGAGCATGCGTGCAGCATTTTGCCATCCACGCATGTGTACGTGTGCGCACACGGTCGTGCCGACGCTCATGTTGGCAGTAGCAAGTCTATCGGTGTTGTTGACCCCTTCTGCCTGTCCGGCCCATCTGCTCCTGGCTGAAGGATCCGTTGGAGATTTGGTGAGAAAACATAGGTAGGGAGAACCCCGAAAGTCCGGCACAAGCCCGCCCGTCGTCATACCTCGAGGCTGAGACTTCACTCCTGTGGCCCGTGATCACTCATGGTCCATCGAAAACGACGGCTACTCAGTGAATGCTGGTAATATATGTTGGCAGTAGGCCAATATAAAAAAGTGTACGTACTCCTGCTATTCACCTACAGGTTGACAGCTAGTAATATCGCTACTAATATACATCTAAGTGCTAGTCGTACTAATCTGTACAGAGTACGGGAGTGATTCTGCTGCAGGTGATAATAACCCGTCTGCTCTACCCGTATCACGCTGTATTGCTACTTACTACTACCCCCTGAACTAGCACATAATACTCGTCATCGCCGTCGGTTCCGACATGACGTCGCCACCCGACAAACCTGCCGCAGACTTACAATACACCATACTCGTACAGTGACCTGGCGGTAAAAATCAAGATATTACACCAAAACAGTGGATTTCATAGAGTTACAAGGCAAGGGTGGAACATACTCGTATCCCTTTATCACTTGTTTTATTTTCCATCGACTGTGCACACCACTTACAGATTTTCATGACCGACAGAACAGGCAGACACTTCTAGCATTAAACACGTGCTCCATCCACGCACACGACGAAGACAATGTATCTGTAGTAAGTACGGAGTAGTAATATTATATGTAACACTCCCTAGAAGAGGTTCAATGACAGGGCGCCAAACCCCAACCCCAACCCGAAGGGCACGTAATGGTTACATAAGCAAATTACAGGCCTGGGTCCTCCTATTACCTGCCTTGTCAGTGCGCGTTCATCAACCCCTCCTCTAAACTGTGCGGACCCCTCCAACGCGCTTCGTCAGTCATGGCCCAGTCTGCTACCCAACAGCTCGAGCTCGTGGCCGATGCACATGTAAGATATGTGCAGGGTCTGGACACCAGAAGGGATCAGCTAGAATACTGGCTGACCGAGCACCTGCGCCTGAACGGCGTGTACTGGGGATTGACGGCCCTCCACCTGCTACGGCGACCCGACGCTCTTCCCCGGGAAGAGACGATTGACTTTGTTCTGTCGTGCCAGCATGATAATGGAGGCTTCGGTGCTGCCCCGGGCCACGACGCCCACATGCTGTCCACAGTAAGTGCTGTGCAGATACTCGCCATGGTTGACGGCTTTGGCGACCTCGAGGCGAGGGGTAAGGGCAAGGCCCTGGTTGGCAAGTGTACGAGATCCCATGGAAAAAAAAACTGCGCGCGCTGCTTGTCCCCCATCTAATGCGGTTGATATGAGGAACTTCAGTCATTGCCGACCTTCAGAACCGCGAGACCGGTATTTTTTACGGCGATGAATGGGGCGAGGACGACACTCGCTTCCTCTATGGAGCTCTGAACGCACTCTCACTACTTGGCCTCCTATCTATAGCCGACGTCGACAAGGCTGTCCAATACATTGCCTCATGTGCCAATTCTGACGGCGGATACGGCAACCGGCCCGGTGCAGAGTCTCATTCGGGCCAGATCTTCACATGCGTTGCCACCTTTGCTATCGCTGGCCGCCTCGATCTCGTCAACGTAGAAAAGTTGGGCCAGTGGTTGAGCGAGAGGCAGCTTCCGTGTGGCGGCCTCAACGGCCGGCCCGAGAAACGGGAGGACGTCTGCTACAGCTGGTGGGTTCTGAGTAGCCTGGTCATCATCGGCCGAGATCACTGGATCGACCGCGATGGCTTGATTCGCTTCATCCTCCAGTGTCAAGATCCTGAAAGGGGTGGCATTTCGGACAGGCCGGAAAACACGGTAGATGTGTGGCACACCTGCTTTGGCATTGCTGGTCTGAGCCTCCTCGGGTACCCAGGGCTGGACAGTGTAGACCCTGTCTACTGCATGCCCAAGGAGGTTGTCCAACGCTATGTCAACTGAACCCATTCTCTCGACCTGGACCTGGCCCATCATGCTTGGAATCAGCACCCCCTGGGCTGCGACCAAAAGGGCCGCCCTCTCGCAATCTAATAACCCGCTCAACAATATGCGCTGTGTTAGCCGGGATACAAGGCGAGAGGAGATCAAGACGCGGCACAGCTTAACTCTGGGGTATTGCCGCTTCCCTATGGCTTTTTCCCCTCCAAACAGCCCGCACATGTACAGTCATTCCCGCATGACAGTACCAGGGTTAGGCGCACCGGCGAGCCTCCCTTCCTGGTAAAATGGATACTTGTCTGATGGTGTTTCGTAGTGGACGATGCCAATGGCCGGATTTCCCTTTTCATCTCGGGCACACGGGCTCGGACACAGTAGCTACCTACCAATACCTGCTTCAGTTGGCCATGGCAATAACGTGATGTGGCCTCGGCATAATGGAAATCAAACAATACAAATGCATCCTCGTCTCCTTGTGATATGTCTCCAGTGTCCTTTATACACAAAAGACCAAAATACATAGGCTATAACGTGTATGGTGCACCAGAGATCCAGCATGGCTGCCCACGAAGACGAAGTCAACAACCTAGTTTCGAAGAGAATAAAGATGTGAGAGGACAGACAAGAAACAGGCATATTGGCAGTGCAATGACCCGAGGTTTGCCCCGAGAGCTTGGGAGGAAGGCACGCTGGGTTCCATGGAGAAAGTGTCCGGGCAGGTAGTCTGGGGGGGCCTTCCCTAAGCTGTGAAGGAGCCAAGGCTTAGGGCTCCTAGAGAAGTCCTTTCCTCTCAAGTCCTCTGTGAGGCTTGTGCTTCCCTCCTCCTTCCATCTCATCCTCTGACCCTTCTCTCCTCAAGGCTCCCTCGAATTTCCACTCCGGCCGTCCTTAGGGGTTCCTCGTGAGGGTGGCTTGAGGCATGGAGGCTCGATCAATCCATCTCACCACTCGTTATCTTCAAAATCTCCAGAAGTGACGGCCGGCTTCCTTCTTGGAGAAGAAGACAGTCTGCTGTGATCCTTGGATCAGACAGTCCTGCTTATTCCTAGGTAATATACTTGACCACACGTTCGTCCTGCCCGTTGCCTTCTTGCCTTTCCGCCTTTCCTGCAGCACAAGCCTCCTGATCACTCTTTCCTTCACCTCGGTCAGATATTCTACTCGAGCTTCTTTCCTTTTACCCCAACGGCCCTTCAGCTTGTCTCTGTGATAATCTGCTCTGCACCTCGCCTTTTCGTCTCTACCAGACTGCTCTTGTGCCATACGCCGCTTCTTTGCTACCTCTCCCCGTCGTGCTTCATAACACGGAAAGACTCTGCCTGCTCTCGCTCCCTCGATGCTTTCATCACTCGTGTTTCTTTTCTTCAGGTGAAGAATAAACTTGGTTACTGCTCGGCCGCTCTCCACCAAACCGCCTATACAAGTCACATTGCCTACCCACGGCCATCAACACACTTTCCTCTTCCGCGCACCAGATAGCTGACATCCTGCTCAGAAGATGGCTTTCATGCCACTTTTTGGGAATACAGCCAGTATACCTGACGCCGTCCCCAGGCAAATACCGCTCTCTTGTAGTGTCTGCCCGGACACGCCTCAATTCTCCGATGTTTCGCACCTCCTCACCCACATCGCATCCAAGGGTCATCTGCACCATGAGACTCAAACGAAGCTCAAAGCCCGGGGTGATCCCATAGCATTCATGAATCTCCAAGAATACGAGGGGTGGTACAAAGAGCATGACATTGAGTCACTGCTCATCGGCAGGATGAAATCCAAGCAGATAAAAACGCCAAGGGGAGGCAAACGGTCACGGGTCTCTTCAGGATCTACCACTGAGGTGTGCTTCCCATTGTTCTCCAATATTCCCGTTCACAAGGGTTAGGGGAATATCTGACTCTAGTAATAATAGACAAAAAGGGTGCGCGGACGAACGGGAAACAGCACCTCCGCGAAGCCAGGCTCAGACGACTATCTCCCTGACGTTCCCCCCTTCCGAGGTTCCATAGTTTCGGAGAACAATTCGGACATTGTGGAAGAGTCCCTTGCATCAAACGACTCTATGGCTCTGAAGGGTCAGGTATGGCCTGGCATGGGGAAATTAGACCTCGCAACCGATGATGTGAGGCGAACCCGGAACCAACGAAAGCCAAAATGGGTCGTTGAGAAAATGAGGAAGGCCTCTGAGAGAATAGAGCCAAACCAGGTCATCATGAGCCCTCAGCTGGTTGTTGAGCGCGTTAAGTGTGTATACGATGAGGAGTTATCCGTATCTGAAGAAGACCAGGTTAGTATACGATTCTTCACGTTTATAGCTTTACTGAAACTGACAGCACAGTAGTCTCCTAGGAAGAGCGCCCGGCAGAAGCGCAAGAAGCCACAGCCCCTGGCTGAAATCTCCGGCAATGTTCCTCGCGAGACAAAGGAGAAAAGACCGAAAGGTCGTTCCTGGTCAACAGTCAAATCTGAGAAGAAGGACACTCGGAGAGGACAGGAGCAAAAGGCACCCTCGAAGACGCCCCGGTCAGCAAACAGCGATCTCCGCGGCGGTGAACAAGAAGACGGCAAGTAACGAGGGAATGTTCAAGAAAGTACCAAAAATGTTGACATTACCTAGGATATCTTGAAAACGGAGGTTTTGCGGGGAGTGTCGACGATAGCGACAAAAAGTGAGCTGCTTCATACGGTCGTCAGTCTACTTGCATGATACGATTGCTGACAGTCGCTCTAGGTATCCTACCTACACACTGAACCCAATATCCCATTCAGCTCTGTCTACGCCTACCCATGTGTCCGACGGGATACCTCTTGGGACTCTCCCGGAAAGAGATGAGCCCGGAAGCCTCGCAGTACCCTCGTTTTTCGGGCATAGCAGCAATTCTTCGCTAGGTAAGCTTCGGTTAACAAATCTTCCCTCCAAATTCACTTGTTGGTTCTAACTCTTTATATAGGTCCATATCCGGAGATCGATACAGGCTATGAGATTGACGATGCCAATTTTTTCCCACACAGCATCCAGCCTGACGCATCGGGATTCATCCCCACCGAGGACGTTGAACATGTTCACTACCAACCACCTGTCAGCCACCAAGCACCCCCAAGGCGAAACGAATACACCCGTGAGATCAACGAAGTCTCCCTGGGGGAGTTGAACTCGAGCCTTTTCTTCGACCTGGCTAATACGAGCAGCAATCCGCTTCTTTCCCATGGCAGGTCTTGGTCCAACTCCTACAACCCGGCAGCGTATCATCAACCAGTTTCGCCTCCAGGAATCTCCCAGGCTAATAGAAGCTTTGACTGCGGCTTCCCCATGATATATGATGCACAGCCAAGAGACCGTCCATTGTATAAAGTCAAGACGGAACCCAAGGCATGCAGCACTGCGGAGAGACACACAACATTGGGGGAAAGGAGCCCCAACTTCAGCTCACATTCCTTCTGGCCTCCGCAGCACTGCGAGAATAACCCTGCATCTCACAAAGACCCAAACCCAGAGACTTTCGCTCTGTAGTGTAGCTCGCCATGCCCTGGAAAGATCGAGACTAAACCGCGGACCATAGTTGGGCACATATCACAGCCAACACCACTCGTATACTCGACTCACGGCTATAGAAAGGCACATCAATCACCGGTGTGTTTTTATTTTTCGTCCAACTTTTTTCTTCTTCCTTGGAATTTCACAGTGATGGAGCAAATGGCACAGAGTGAGTACCACATGTCTTTGATCTCAAACTACTACTGACATGCGAAAACTGCTTTTGAGTTTCGCATATTTGCAAGTCTTCCGGGGTGGTATTGATTATCAATGCCGTTTTCCCGCCGTCTCGACTACTATTTCGACATGCCTTATCTTACGCGGAGCTGGGATTCTTGGTTGATTCAGCGAGATTTCAAGCAAGTTTTCTTTTTGTCCTGGAGTTGGCGCTATATATATCATAGCTTATTGGGTTGTCACATGGATCAGGCGAGGAGGCTGGATGATATATTATCAGATAGAAGACACTAGGGTCACGGGAGTCAAGGTTGGACTACGGGCATGGGCGGGACAGTCATTTCGGGCAGAAGAATGTGGTCCTTCAGATTTAATGTCTGATTATGATATACTAATAGCCAGTCCACGCTACAAAACAAAGAAAATACACTTGCTTCTATCCCAACAGCCCATGGCGAGCGGTACATCTAGATTTCCTGACGGCATGTTACAATTGCTCGATACTAGATATCAAATGATCCAGGTAGTCCGAATTTGGGTCCTCAAAAGCATGGGATAAGTACTGCGAGACGCCCCTGAGTCTTCGGCACCTCATGTCATGCTCCATCTGACTCGACTTTTCGGCAGCGATGTCGAGAATCTTGGTGGGGATATGAGCGAGCCTAGCAACATTGAGTCCATATGAGCGATGGGCCACGCCCTCGGCGACCTCGTAAAGGAAGGTGATTTCCTCGTGGCCGTCGTCGCCAGTCTGAGCGTTGAACTTCATATGAAGATTTGTGACGCCATTGAGGCCGTCGGCAACGGGGGCAAGGTTCTGGTAGTGGGTGATGAAGAGAGTGAGGCAGCGGGTATGGGTGACGACGTGGTGGAGGACGGCGTGGGCGATGGCGGCGCCATCGTGAGTGCTGGTGCCACGGCCGAGCTCGTCGAGGATAACGAGGCTGCGAGGAGTGGCCGAAGCGAGGATGCGGGCCGTCTCCGAGACCTCGACCATGAAGGTGGACTCGCCCGCAAAGAGGTTGTCGCGAGCACCCGTGCGCGTGTGAATAGCATCGCAGAGCGTCAGGCTGAGGGAGTCGGCGGGGACGAAGGAGCCGACCTGGGCAAGGAGGACGATGAGGGCGACGGCACGGACAAAGGACGACTTGCCACCCATGTTGGGTCCTGTGATGAGGTGGGCGAGAGGCTCCGGGTGGGCGAGGGATGTGGTGAAGGGTATGTAGCCTGTGTCGATGGTGTGCTCGGCCATGGGGTGGCGGCCGTTGGCGATGGAGATGCGAGGGCCAGACGATGACTCGTCATCGTCGTCATCGAGCAGCGTTGGTCTCGTGTAGCCCGGCTGGGCAGCTACCTTGGACAGCGACAAGAGACAGTCAAGCGTGGCGAGGGACGAGACAGCGTCGCGCAAAGGCTGATAGTCGGCGGCGATGGTGGCCAGGAGGTCCTTGAAGGCTCTGTCGCAGGCGGCGGCCAGGGCCTCGCGGTGTTGGTCGCGCTCGGCCGTCAGCCTCATGACCTCGGGGGTGTGAAAGCGTGAGAGCTTCTTCGTCCCCGAGATCTTGGCCCACGACGCGGGCACACTCTTGATGTTGGCGTTGGGCACCTCGATCAGGTACTCGATACCCGCCACGGTGACGTACTCGACCGTCTTGACCTTGAGCTTCTCGGCCGCATCGGCGCGGTGGGTATCCAGCTCGTGCTCGACATGGGCGATGCTCATCTGGTGGTCCTCCATGTCCTCGGTCTGGTAGTCTTCCCTGAAGAAGCCGTAGCGGTCATCCTTGCGGGCGGCGTCGAAGTTGATCTTCTCCAGGTACGACACGACCGTGTCAAGGATCCGCGGCAGCGCAGCCACTGCCTCCCGGAGCGGGGCTGCATCGAACGGCGGCGGCGGCGAGTTGTCGGATGTCGTTGAGGGGTACTGTCTTGCGATCCTCTGCAGGGTCTGTAGAACGGATACCAGCTCTGGGCGGGTACATTTGCCATAGTAGATGCGGATCAGGCTGCGCTCCAGGTCAACTTTGGTATTGGCCAGCAGCCTCTCCAGCTGGTCGACGGGAGCCGTCGACTGCTTCTGCAAGAGCTCCTCGACGGCGGCGAGCCTAGCCTCAAGGTGTTCCCTATTCAGGAGCGGACGGCCGACCCATTTGCGCAGCAGGCGGCGGCCGAAGTGGGTAAGAGTCTTGTCGAGGGCCCAGAAGAGGCTGCCCTTTTCGGAAGAGTCGGTCGAGTTACGGTAAACCTCGAGGCTCTCGAGCGTAGTACCATTGACAAGCATATGCGAGCGGGTGCTGAAGCTCTGGAAGTACTTTGTCAGGTCAAAGATGTGCTCGAGCCCGTACTCAGTGAGATGGTTGATCATGGCGGACAGGCAGACGGTGACGGGCTCGGGGAGCTTGAGGACCTTGTCCAGGAGGGCGCTGGCCGTATCATCCTTCCCGCTGGCTTCCTTTACCTTGTCGGCATAGAACTGTGTGACGTGGGAGTAGGCCTCGGCGGCCATGGTGTCACCACGTGGCACGCGCTCGACGCGGCTTTTGTCGCCAAAGACGTTCGTGCTGCTGCCTGACAGGTGCTGGACCAGCTTATCTGTGCCTCTGGTAAGCTCACCGACGATGAGGAACTCGCAGGGCGAGATGTGCAGCAGCCGAGTCTCGACCTCGCTGCGCATGAAACCATCTTGGAAGGTGTCGTAGATGATATCACCAGTGGCGGGCTGCACGGCCAGGATGCCCACTTCGACGGTCTCATCCGTCCCGGAACCCTTGGGTTTCGTCTCGGTCATGCAGAGCAGGTAGCCGCCCGAGGGTGATCCGGCACTGGCCTGCTGGTCAAGCTCGCCCACCTCGTCAATGTACGTGCCCTTGGTATACAGGTTGGTGAGCTTGCGAACAAAGGGGGCGTTGCGGTTGTCGCCTGCCTTCTTGAGGGCTGCCGTCTCAACCTGTCGCACAACGCCCACCTTGTGTCCGGCAGCCACCAACCTCTTGGCATGGACTGACAGGCGATGGACGGGAATACTAGCCGAAGCGAAGCGATCTAGATGAGCCTCGGAGGGATCTGTGGAAAGAGACGTGGCAGTGTCAGCAACCCCGGTACATGCGGCTCATTTGCAGAGCAAGGACAGAAAGAAGAAGAAGCAGGACCCACGTTCGTCGTAACGCATTTTGCCCGGTATACAGACAATGCTCAGTTCCTTGGCAGCGATGCGTGCGTCCTCACCCAGGAACTTGAACTTGTAGCCAACCTCCATGATGAGGACCGTGTCCATGTGCTTCCTCTTGATGTCAAGGAATTGCAGCTCCATGGGCGTCAACTTGGCCGACTTTCCCGCAGGCCCCTTCTTCTTGGAAGACTTTGACGGCACAGCCGTAACTTCCTCTTCGTCATCGTTCTCGCCGTCGGCATCCTCCTCGACGACCACGGTGGATGCATCTCGGCCCCTGCGCGAGGCCATGGCATCCGGATGTCCCAGCTTCTTGACGAATCTGCGGTGGAGCTCCTCATTCCGCGCGGTCTCGTCTTCACCATCATCCTGCTGTCTCTGGCTACGCGTGCTCGACGACGGATCGTACCCGTACCGTTCGGCCACGGGCTTGGAGGATACCGTGCTCGCGGTGGTCAGAGTTTCGGGCTTCTGCGCCTCTTCGAGCTTCTGCTGCTTGGCCCGCTTGGCGGGGGTCTTCGTAGAGTTCTCTTTATCGTTCCCGTCGGAGTTGCCCTCGTTGCCTACTCTGTCGCCGTCACCACGGCTTTCGAGTGGGCGTTTTCGATGGCGCGTTGGTATCGCTTCGGATGGGGACGACGGGGGCTGCTGCTGTGGCGACGACTGGGATTCAGCTTGCTGCTGCTTCTGGAAAGCGGCGGCTAGACCATTGACGGTTTTGGGGGTGAAGAATGATGTCAGGGAGCTCTGCTTTTTTGCTGATTGCGGTGCCATCTTTGGCGCGATTGCTGTCGTGGATGGGGTTGCAGGGAAATCACGTTGCGCTGTTCAGGGTCTCCTCTATCTGGTTCGTCCTCCATGACGTTCAGCATTTCAGGGTCGGTTCGCGTCGCGGAGGAGACGCGTTGAGTGGTCTGGGGAGGATCCACTTTTATGATCTTTGTTCAGCGTATTGCTGCACATTTGTACAGATTACTGTGTCTCTTTTTCTTCTTTATTTTTTCCCTTCGTTCATTTGAAATGAGACACTCTAGCACTCCAATATCGGATATTGTTCTATGGAAAGTATCAATTTATAAGTAGCCGTGTTTATCAAGGCTGGTATCATTGACGTATGTTCGTGGGAAAAGGTGAATTGTGTGGAACAGAGAAAAAAGAAGGAGGGTTCAATGGCGGCTCTTTAATGGCAGTAAAAAAAATAAAAATAAAAATAAAGAGAACACAGTCATGCATCCATACAGCTGACTCCCCCACTTCTTCCTCTCAACCTCAAGCATCCTCCTTGACCTTGACAATCTCAGGCTCGGTGAGTGCCGTTGCCTTTGCCCGGGCATCCGACTTATAATCTTTAAAGTGCCTCGGGGGCACCTTCTTGGCAAACATCTCATCCAGCTCCTCGTAGGTCCTGCCCCTAGTCTCAGGGATGAAGAACCACGCAAAGGCGATGCATGGGAAGCAGAGACCACCGAAGATGAAGCCGACCTTGCCTCCGAGGTTGGCATGGTCCGGGTTGAACATGTAGGGCAGCACGAAGCTCCACATGACGGAGACGCTGTGCGAGCTGGCCAGGCCAATGGCGACCGTCTTGATGCGGAGACGGCTGGTGCTCACCTCTGTGAGCAGCGTGTAGGCCACAGCGCCGATGCTGACGTTGTAGAAGAAACAGTAGACGAGGATCAAGGCGACGCAACCCTTGAGAAGGGCTGACGAGCCCTCGGAAGCAGACTCGCCGGCGACGGCAAGACCACCCATGAGCCACAGAACGACCGTCAGCGTAACTATGCCGTACAGCGTCAGGTTGCGCCGACCAGCCTTATCGATGAGATACCACGACAGGACGTTTCCGGCCATCGACAGGACCTGTTGGGTGATCTGCAGCTTGAAAGACATATCGGTACTGAAGCCGGCCAGCTGCGCATAGTAGGTTGAGTAGGACGCGGCAAAGTTGATGCCCGACAGTTGCTGCATCATGATGACCGAGATACTGATGATGGTTCGCCTCAGATTACTCTTACGGAAGCACTCGAGATACGATACACCCTCGGTCTCGTGGCGAGCCTCGTCGAGCGTCGTCTTGATCTGAGCGAGACGCCGGGCGTTCTCGCCCGTCGAGGAAGAATAGCCGAGTTTTTCGAGGTTTTTGAGAGCCAGCTCATCCTTTCCCTTGTTGGCGAGCCACCACGGAGACCTTGATGGCCAGACCCGTCAGATCCTGTATCCTCCATATCCATAGACCCGCCAACAGTTTCCGTCGGGGGTGGGGGTTGGGTTGGAGACACTTACTCAGGCATGAAGAACCAAAAGGCAGCGGCAACAGCGGCAAATCCATACTGAGAGCAAAAGACGGATCGGTAGGCCCAACGGTTGTCAGCGTCGCCCTCGCTGTCGACGATGAGAGCCACAGTAAATGGACCGAGTGTGTACGACAGGGCGATCAAGCAGGTCAACAGACCGCGGAGGGGGAAAGGAGCGATCTAAATGATGCCACCGGATATATCAGTATCGGTGCCAGAGTCCTTCGAGACAAGACTTCCAAGAGTCTCACGGGATATACCAACCTCGCCAACGTAGCTCCCCGCCACGGCCTGCAGGATGCCGACGACAAAGCCATTGAGGAACTTTCCACCAAAGAACTCGGCATTGGTCGTGGATATGAACTCGACGGTTATGGCGGCAAAGGACACGAGGATGGCAGAGAAAAAGGTCCAGCGTCGACCGATGGAGTCAGCAATGGTTCCACACAGGAAGGACCCGGCAACCTGCCTGCACGGCCGAGTCAGTACAAGAGTGGTTCGAGGGAGTGCAGCGAGCACAATCGACTCACGATGCTACGGGTGCTCCGCTAAAGGCAGACTGCCACTTTGCCGGCACGACATAGTCGCCCTCGAAAGCATCGCCAAAGTCCTTGCGAAACCTGGGGATGCTGATGACGATACCCGAGGCCTGGTTTTCGAAGCTGACGAGCAACACGGTCCATACGGCGTACAGGCACCAGCAAAAAGCCTTGGGGTTGGCTTTGATGGCCTGCCACTTGGTAGTGCTGTGGTCAGCTTGGTCGAGCAGACGGACAGCCGTGGCCTGGGGCTGGTCAACGTGGGCGACATCGTGCTTTTCGGAGTCCATCGTGGTCGTCTGTGTATATATGCGTGAAGGAGGGAAAGGGCAGATGTCTCGACGTGGATAGGTTGTAGGTCGTCGGGAGAGAGGAATAACACAGGTCCTTTTGGCCTCTCTGCCCTTTTTTTTTTTTTTTTTTTTTTTTTTTTTTTTTTTTTTAAAATCCTGGGCTGCGCCACGCATCACAGTCACATCGGGGGGGGGGTAAAGGGTGGTGAAGGGTGGTGAAGGGGGGTTTAGATTGGCGGATTGGGAGGGAAGAGAAGCACGCGATACAACGATTAGTATACTATAATATACTAGACCTCTCGCCCCATTGTTGATGATGGATGTGACGGCTGTGTGCTACCAATTCCAGTATCAGCAGGCCGACACCAGACATTCATGGCCATCGCCGTCTCTTATACTTTCCGGGCCGGCCATGGCGGTCACAAAATCCCGGCCGACGCAAATGGGCCCCATTCCTCGAATGTGTCCATCCCCACGGGGAGGAAGTGGAATACTACGGGGTGGACAGTTGCCTGGCGTATGGCATTGGCACAACCCCAGAAGCTGGGGTACGAATCAGGGATAATACGATATCCTTGCCCGGTCTCGTCACCCCTCATGCTGAACTCTTGTGCGGAGAAGGGCCGATTTCGCCTTTTACGGAAAGAATAGGCACCCGAGTACGGAGTACGGTAGATTGGGGTGGGCAAGAGCCCCTGTCTGAGACTAGGGAGTGCGGGCAGACCAAGGTCACGCAGAAGAATGGTCAGGATCAAGGGTATTACTATTGAGGAGTCAGCACGAGGGGTACTGTACTCGGACGAGGTGCTTGGACGAGTCGAGGTAACTAGTACGGGGGGGTCCTGCCTCACGAGATGGACCAACTTGTCCGAATGGGGCAAGCAGTGCCACTGTATTCCCCAAATGGCAAGACGACATGGTTGGGGACGTGGAGAGGTGAGGCATTGCGGGGTGAGGCGACAAAAAGTGGAGAGGTTGACGATGATGGTATTGTGGCCCGTGGGTGATGAGGAGAGTAGGAAACGAGTGCTTAGGATGACCTCATCTGGTCTTTCTCGGGAGCAGCTTCCAAGACATTTATTTATTCTTGGGGTGTAGTGCTCGTGGTCTGGATCTTGATCTCGTCAAGGATCAGATTTATCCAGTATCCAGAGGGATAATACTGAGCTGTGCTGTCTACGAGCGCCGCCTACTCCTCCCCGACATCTCTCTCTCTCTCTCTCTCTCTCTCTCTCTCTCTCTCTCTCTCTCTCTCTTTCTCTCTCTCTCTCTCGAAAACAGCAGCAGCACCCTCGTGACCATGTCCTTGGATAGAAGCCGTCTGCAGAGCTTCCCTGCAAAGCCTCGCGTCTTTGTCATATCGGACATATCCAACGAGCCGGATGACGCCGAGTCGCTCGTCCGCTACCTGCTGTACGCAAACCAGTTCGACACCGAAGGCCTCGTGGCGTGCACGTCGACGTGGATGAGGACAAAGGTGTGTCCGCAGGACATGCACAAGATCATCGACGGATACGAGAAGGTGGTGGACAATCTCAACAGGCATGCGCACCCTGACCACCCGTATCCGTCTGCCGACTATTTCAGGAGCATCGTCAAGGAAGGGCCTGCTGTACGTACACGTGCCTGGGGCGACCCATGTTTGATATGCTACCATGATGACAGCCAGTTCGTCAGCTGATGTTGCGGGTGGGGACGGCTTTCTAGGTGTACGGATCACAAGCGGTGGGCGACGATATCCCCCTGACGTCGGGCGGCCAGCTCCTCCTGGACCGACTCAAGGCCTCCGACCCGAGACCGCTCTGGGTGCTGGCGTGGGGAGGCACCAACGTTCTCGCGCAGGTCCTGCACAAGGTGCAGCAGCACGAGACGGCGTCGGAGGCAGCCCGGCTGCGCTCCAAGCTGCGCGTATACACCATCAGCGACCAGGACGACACGGGGATCCAGATCCGCACGCGGCACCCCGACATCTTCTACATCTGCAGCGTGCACGCGTGGTGCAGCTACGGGCTGGCGACGTGGTCTGGCATCTTCGGCGAGAACTACTACGGCTTCGACAGCGGGGGGCCGGACTCGTCCCTGTTCACGCGGGAGTGGATCGCCGACAAGATCCGCATCGGCGACCTGGGCGGGCGGTACCCGGACTTCATGGCCATCCCGGAGGGCGACACGCCCACCTTCCTGTACCTGATCCAGAACGGGCTGGGGGTGCGCGAGCATCCGGAGTACGGATCCTGGGGGGGCCGGTACGCGCTCACAGGCCCGCACGCCTCCCCCGCGGGGCAGAGTCCCCGGCACTACAGCGACGTGGCGGACATCGTCGTCGGCAAGGACGGGCGCACCCACACCTCCAACCACGCCACCGTCTGGCGCTGGAGGGAGGCCTACCAGAGTGACTTTGCCGCCCGGATGCAGTGGACGCTCGGCCCCGGTGCTGCCGGCTCTCTCGGCCGCGCCAACCATCATCCCGTCGTGTTCGTCAACGGCGAGGCCGGCCCGGAGGCTCTTCACATCGAGGCCGAGGCCGGGTCCTCGGTCCGCCTCGACGCCTCGGCCACGTACGACCCGGACGGCGACGACCTGACGTTCAGGTGGTGGCACTACCGCGAGCCCACGGCCACGCAGTGGAGTGCGCTCCAGGAGGTGGCAGAGGTGCAGATCAAGCACGAGGGTGGCGATCCGGCCGTTGTCGATGTCGTCCTGCCTGGTCCGGAAAAGTGCTGCGTCAATCTGCTGGACAGGCAGGCCGTGCTCAAGGGTCATGCGATGCATGTCATCCTCCAGGTCACGGACGGTGGCACCCCGAGCCTCACCAGCTATAAGCGTGTCATCATCCAGGCTACCAACAAGGATCTGAGAGGTAGCGGGAAGCTGCGCTCGGCTATCGGGGATGAGTAGTGAGTGAGCTCAGGCTTCGGAGGGATGTCGGCACAGACTCAAGTGTCCGAGGGGGCAGATTTCATAGAATAGGCAGGTAATACAATGGGACGTCATGTAAGATGACATGAAAAAAAAAGAAGAAGAAGAAAGTATTACAGAGTATCGTAAGCTTCCGATGACTACCCGTCCAACATCCGCTTCAACCAGATGAGATGACCGACAAGACGGCGACACTGACACTCTGAAGATGGGTAAGTGCAGCGTGTTCTCTCTCGCATGGCTCGACCAAGGATGATGTGGCCACGGGCGTTCAAGCATCACGACCCTGCAATCTGCAATCTGCAGCAGCGCTACGGTAGTTTGCAGATGCCAGACATCCAACAGCCTCATTCACGAGCGATCTCAGTGCCTCAGTTATCAGGCCGATATAATGGCGAGGATAAGGAGATTAAGAATGAGAGGAAAGGGAAGAGTTTGTTGGTCCTAATAATAGAAGCAGCCACGGTAGATGGTAGATGAACAGGGAAGTCAAGAGACGGCACTAGTAAGTACCTGGGCAGAGCGGCAAGGCACCAAGGCACCAAAGGCAAGGTCCCCCCCCCCCCCCCCTCCTACACGTAATAATATCTATCACGCCGCAATCTATAAGTGATAATATAGGTGCAGGGAGTACCATTACAGGCCAACAGGTACGGATAGTGTTAGACCGCAGCAATACCATGTACGGCTAGAGTCCCCATATAATAATAGTATCAATACCTGTAATCTGTAGGCACGTCACTAATTCTTTAAGAACCGGCCCGCGGTACTCGGTGATTCCAGAGTTCAACCAACGACGGACTAGCAATATCAGATCTCTGGCCCATCTCGACCACGACGCACCTGCCGAATCAATCAGATGGTATCGATGAAAACCTTGATAGCGCCTAGACGACACAGCAGAGCAGTCGTCCGACGAGGACCCGCCAAGCTCCCTTGTCCCGTCCGTCTTGGCTCCTGCTCCTGGGTCCCTCGGCGCTTCGACATGGCCTGTCAGTCGTCGTCCAAACCTGGGCGCTTACAGCTCTCCACCAACCAATCATGCCGTCCATCAGGCCTCACCATCGTCCCGCTGCATGGATCGCCCAAGCGCTAGGCCGCTGCCATTCGTACGAGGAGTTCCTGGGGCCGAGAGTCGACTGTCTGTCTGGCTGGTTCTCTTGGCTCGTGGCTGCGACTGGTCCCCAGGGCGAGAGATGAGATGGCAGCCAGAGCTCGGGAGATGTCGCCTCTCTTATGTACCAATAGTCTCCTCCTCCCTCTCTTTCCTTGACATGCTCTCTTCTTCTTCTCCCCTCCCTCATCACCTTTGCAGTCTTTTGTTCCTGAATCTGCTCTATCCTTTCCGGTCCTCCCATTGCTGCGACCGTTTCTGCGACCCATTGAAGATCCAAACCCGCTTTCACACGCCACATCTTGATTGACCCCGCGCCGTCTCAACCAGAGCGCGGCCCCTCACACGCACAGCAGCAGCAGCAGCAGCCAACAAGAAGCTCCCCATCAAGGGCGGCCTCGAGAATAGGCCTCCTTCCCGAGCTCCTGAAACACCCGCTTCTCCAATAATATCCCGGTCACGATTCTCGTAGCCTCCGGCCGTGCGTCGGTGACGCGGCAGGGCTGCTCACCCCATCAAAACCCCCGCCTACTTACGATCACTGCAACAAAGGACCAACATGGAGGATCCCAGGCAGCAACAACAACAACAACATCATCATCATCAACAGCAGCAGCAGCAGCATCGGAACGGAGGCGACAGTCCAACTGTTGAGCCTCTGCGCATCTTCAAACCTCAGAGTCCTACGCCTGCCATGAGCTACCCGTCTCCTCAACCAGCGGCGTCGTCGTCGTCCTCGGCGTCCCCGGCTCCCAAGCCTGCTTTCCCCCTCCCTCCTGGCGCATCCAGCTCCGCCGCTCCTCTCGTCTTCCCCGACGAAGACGACTTTCGCAGACCTCGTCACATGGACAACAGTCCCGTGCCGGAGAGCCCGGTCGACAAGAGGCCCGGCCTAGCCGAGCGGAGGGGTGCTGCCCCAAAGCCCATCAGTTCGCCAACCAGCCCCGACGCCGACCACGGCCTGTTCTCGAGGCCCCTCCAGAACCAGCAGAGACCCGCCGCATCGTCCCGTGGCAACAACTACACACATGGTCAGGAACAGCCGGTATACTACCCCCCGCCGGGAGGTGCCTTTGCCGAGGGCAGCTCGTCGTCTCTCGGGCCATCCCGTGGCGATGCCGCCGCCGGTGGAGTGAACCGTTTCGCCTCGACTGCCTCAGTGTCCACAACCAAGGCCAGCCGGGGCTCACCTCCACCTCCGGAGACGCCCATCGTCGAGCCCGGCTCCGTCCCCGGTGGTGGCATCGAAGCTCGCTACGCGGCATCGGGCATTCCCGGTACCGCAACCCTCACCAGCCTCCAGGCTTCCCAGGTCCAGAGCGCCGCCGCCGCCCAGCGCCTCGCCCATTACGGCAACCAGCAGCCTCAGGCCCAGCCTCAAGCCCAGAGGCCTTGGACGCCTACCGAATCTCCTGATCAGGCTCCTTCCGGGCCGCCGACTGTGTACCAGGGCTCCAACCCCATCTCCACCACTCAGCAGCACCCCGCCTTCAGCCCGCCCCCTCAGCAGTCTGTCCAGAGCCGAGACAGCAACCCTGTCCAGGTCAGCGTTCTCGAGCAAGACTTTCAGCGCCTTGGGACGAGCTCACCTCCACCGGCCTACTCGAGCGTCAATCCCGGCGGCAAGTCGTCATCGGCGCCCCCGGAGAAGCAACGTCCCCAGCAGCAGCAGCAGCAGCCGCAGCAGCCGCAGCCGCAGCAATCGCAGCAATCGCAGCAGCTCCAGCAGCCACAGCCCCAAGCTGCTTCCGGCTTCCCACAAGCGGCGGCCAGTAGCAGCAGCTCCGCACCGCCAAAGCAGAATGGCATACCCGCCGCCTTGGCGTCCCCGGCTCTGCAGCACCCCGGCCACCCCGCCTTCGCCAATGACCCTCATCCGGGCCTGCAGAACGGCCAGGGCTCGCAGGCCGCGATAGTTGCACCCACGCCCACCATGCAGCAGCACCCTGCATCCCCCCCTCCACTGCCCGAGGGGTGGATCGCTCACCTTGACCAGAACTCTGGCCAGTACTACTACATCCACCTGGCCACCCAGGCGACGCAGTGGGAGTTCCCCAAGGGCCCCAACCCCATCCAGCACGAGCAGGCGCCCATGTCGCCCGCGGCATCCACCTATGGAAACCCGCTCGCCTCCCCCATGTTTGCCAAGCAGGGCATGGCATCGCCCATGTACCCCCCGCACACCCCCGGCTACGCCGAGAGCATCATGAGCGTTGCCCAATCCCAGGCGCCCTCTACCATGGGCTTCACCGGCCCGCCCCCGAGTGCGGGAGTCGACATGTACAGGATCCAGCCCACTAATGGAGTCTACTTTGGACCCTACCTCCGATACGTCAACATGGACCTGGAAACTGGCACCTGGCTAGGCAGCATCCTCATCGTCACCGATGCTCCGCAACCGCCCACCATCCACATTCACCAGAGCACCGACCTGTCGCCGAACCCGAGGCAGCTGCAGCCGCACTCGATCCACACACACCAGCGGTGGTCCTTTTACAAGTACGACTTGGACCTGCAGATGGGCGAGTTCGGCACCGAGCGTTGGACCTACGCTGTGACCTCGCACCTCGGATGCACCAGGTACGAATTCGTCGTCGCCGGCCGCCATGAGACGGGCTGGCGCTTCATCGCCCACTCGGGAAATGACTTTTCGGCCGCCACCGGGCAGAATGAGCGGGCCAGGCTAGGCGGCGTCGGTTTCATGTGGAAGGACGTGCTGCAGAAGAACGTCGACTGCGGCGGTTTCCACGTCCAGCTGGGCCTGGGAGATCAGATCTACGGAGACCGCCTGTGGAAGGAGGTGCCCATCCTCAAGCAGTGGCTGGCAATGCGCGGCAGGGACAACAGGCGAAATGCCCAGTGGACGGCCAGGCACGAGGAGGACGTCGCACACGCCTACTTCCACTACTACACAAGCCACTTTGACCAGCCGTTCCTGAGGGAGGCCTTTGCGCAGATCCCCCACGTCCTGCAGATCGACGACCACGATATGTGAGTTTGGTCAAAGCCCCCGTCAATGCACGCACACCAGACACACCTCACTAACACTCCTGACAAAACAACAGCTTCGACGGTTACGGATCGTACCCCGACTACATGCAGGCATCGCCGATATTCAAGAACATTGGCCGCGTTGCCACCGACCTGTACCTGCTGTTCCAGCACCACACGACGGGGGAGATGATGCGCAACGTGAGCACGGACAATGACCTGTTCACTGTGACGGGTACCGGCTGGCACTTTGTCAAGTACCTCGGCCCCGCCATGGCCGTCGTCGGCCCCGACTGCCGATCCGAACGCAGCCAGGGCAAGGTCATGGCCGGCCCGACATACCAGGGCATCTTCCCCAAGATCGCCACGCTGCCGCCCAGCGTCCAGCACTGCATCTGGATGGTGTCGGTGCCCCTGGTGTACCCGCGCCTGGAGGCCGTGGAGAGCCTGGCCAACACGGTGGCGGCGGGGAAGAAGGCGGTCAACACGACGTACAACATCCTGGGCAAGGTGACGAGCTCTGTGGCGGGCGTCGTGGGCCAGAAGGACATGGTGGCCCAGGGCTTCACGCAGGTCAAGAAGGCCGTCGGCAAGACGGGTCTGATGGGCAACGTCCTCAACCAGTTTGGCGAGCTCGACATCCAGGAGGTGCTCAAGGACATGTGGACGCACGAGACCAAGGACCTGGAGCGAACCTACTTCATCCGTACGCTGCAGGGCATCTCGCAGCAGAAGGGCATCCGCATGACGTTCCTCTCGGGAGACGTCAACGCCGCCGGTGCCGGGCTGGTGCACGACCCAACGCACCCGGGCGACCACAAGACCATGTACCAGATCATCACGTCGCCCATCGTGGCCGCCCCGCAGAGCAACTACGTCCTCAAGATGCTGCACAACCAGAAGTCTCTGTACGTGCCGCAGAACGGCCAGAAGTCGACACACGAGGTGTCGGACACGAAGGAGGACATGATGGAGATATTCCACAACGACGCCAGCGGCGCGGCCCGCGATCTCAAGAAGCTCATCGGCCGCCGCAACTACGCCGCCTTTGTCGCCTACGACCAGGACGCCGTCGCCGCCGCGCAGAACCAGATGCCCTTCAGCCCGGCCCCGAGCATCGCCAACTTTGGCCAGCAGCAGCAGCAGCAGCAGCAGCAGGGTCTGTCCAAGCTGAGTCTGGCCGTCGACTTTGTCGTCCAAGGTGACGGTGCATTTACTGCTCCTACAAAGTACGGACCTGTCATCGTGCCTCATCTCGAGTTTGGACGATGAGTCTTCATCCAGTCCTTCTCTCGGTTACACATCTTCTTTCTTCTAATACCTTGTTGTTCTGCTTTTGTTTTAGGCCCTGGGAAGTTCCTAGGGTAAGAGGAGGGGAGTCTATGGAGATGAAATCATTTCTTCTGTGTTTATTGCAGCGACTTTTTTTTTCAATTTTTTTTTCGTGTCATTTTTTTTCTGTGACAGTTTGGACACTAACTATATACATACTTTATATACAATGCACAATTGTGAATTGATATCATGACATTCCGTTTTATTTTCAGGGCATGTGTGGCCTTTTTTTTTGGTTGGCATGTTGTTTCTAACGGGATATTACCATTTTATTCCCTCTCTTTTTCTTCTTGCACTTGCACACAACTCCTTCTGTTCTACTTTCTTTTTCTTCTATTTTGCGCCTTTGTCTTCCATTTTCCGTTGTCCATGCATATATCGCTCGCTACAGAAAATTAGAGGGGGGGGAAAGATGGGTTTTGGATATAGAGAGAAAAATCAAATGCCAAACAACTCGTTGAGCTGGCGCATAGTGTCCTGGGGGTCGGTGACGGTGTGGCCGATGGTACGGGGGTCTTCAAAGATCTCATGATCGTTGCCCCCAGGGCTCGTCTTGTCGCCGAAGAAGTGGATGGTCTTGTAGGTGATGCCTCCGGGCTTCTTGGCTTCGTCCTCGAGATGCTTGAGGCAGTAGGTCTTGTCCCAGCCCTTGGGGAAGACGTCGAATGAGATTTGACCACCTATGGCGAAGCTGTCGTTTTTTTTGTCTTGTCAGAATTATCATCTCTATCTCTCTTGGTGGAAGAACCTTAGGGAAGGCCCTTGGTGGAGGGAAGAAAAAGGGAAAGAAAATCAAAAATTGAAGAAGTAGAAGAAGAAGAAGAAGAAAAGGAATGATCTTTGAGGGGAGATGAATGGGGTCTGAACGTACACGAGATCCCAGTGACCGAAACGCTTCTGAAGTTCGGCGACAAACTTCTCTCGAACCTTGGCTTCGTTGTCAAAGTCGTTAAAGGCCAGCCGCTCCGCATTGGAGGCGTTCCTGCCGACGGGGCTGACGTTGACCATGCCGTTGCGGAACTCGATAAAGGTGCCTCGCTTGACGGGTATGTCGAGGTCGGCGATGTAGTGCAGGCAGAAGTTGGCCAGCTCCTTGTACCGGTCCTCGCCGAGCCACTGGATGAAGCTGTTGGACGGGAGCTCCCTGCCGAGCCGGTAGGCCTCGAGGCCGTTCTCCGAGAAGCAAAAGTCGAACAGGTCGGCGACGGGGACGCCTGCCGGCTTGCCGAGCTGCTCCTCCTGCTTGACCAGGTTGGAGCCGCCGACGAAGCCGATGGCGCACTTGTTGCGCAGGGTGGCCAGGGTCTTGAGCATCTCGGGGGAGACTCCCTACATCGGGTAACCATTTCGATCAGACTAAATTCTTGAAAAAGAAGCAGGACGAAAGACAATGTAACACGGAGGTGGGGGGAGGTGAGGGTGAGGCGGTCTCCTTCTCCTTACCAGACGAGCGGGCGTCAGAGTTCCATCCACGTCAAAGAGACAGATGGTGTCTGGGAGGGGACGGGCGTCCAGAGGAGGGTAGGAGGCGGCCATTGTTTTTTGCTTCTAGGATGTTCTCTTGTTTCTTCGGAGAGAAACACAAAAGTCTAGGTGTGTGTCTATCTTTCTCTTCTATTCTGTCTGAGATCAAGAGGGTTTTTTTTTGGGGGGGGGGGGGGGGAAGAGGAAGGGCTCAAGGTGGCAGAAAGCTACCCTGAGTAATTGGCGGGGCAGAAAGGCTTCAGAGGCGGTGGGCCGCCACTGCGAAGGGGTGGAGGTGTCAGAGAGACGGACAACAAGAGATGCTCGAATAGAGATAAGATTATGCTGTATGTGTCACGTGATTCTCTCGAAATTATATAATAATATCATGGAGAACACACGGGAAGATTGCAGAGGGTAGAGGATGATCACTACATAACCACCCCCTACCCTACTCTTCTGTGACTTCGTAAGCTATCACCTCATAGTGATGGCAGGCGCAAGCAGACCTCCTCGCTTCCTTCACATGCTACTCCACCTTGCATCCCTGACAGGAGAATGCAGAATATAGAGTTAGGGCGGTAAGAACGACAGGATTTGATCTGCTGATGCGTATCGCTCGGTGCAGCAGCCAAGGATAACATCACCCATGATCAAATGACCGACATCAGGAAACATCTCCCTCTAATCTCCCTCTAGGATCTCAACTCAGCATCGTGATCTTCCAAGCCCTGGATACGGCCGCGTACAAGTCTCGACAGTTATGAAAACTGTACAGATCAGCAGAAGGCTTGGTCACACGCAAGTTCTGACCGAGTACAACCCGTAACATATAGGCGACCATTTGTCTGATGATCACCTCTTCCTGAGCATTCCACTCCGGCTGCGTGGATGCTTGTCATGAAAGGTGGCGGATCGGCTGAGGTCGTCGGACGGGTAGCCGTAAAGGTCGATTCCTAGGCGGTTGTCCTCTATGTAGGCATGAAGATATTGGAGTTCCGTTCGTCCCATATCCGCATCGAAGCGGGCGAGATCCGATTCGTGAACGGCATCACGCATTTGGACAGCGTTGATCGAGCAAGCCATGATGAGAACAGCGATGAACAATCGCCTTGATTGTAAAAGAAAGGGCAGTACAATCCTGGTGGATGAGGGGGATTTCTGATGCTGATGTAGGTGAGGAAGGAATATTAACTCTACCATCGTCCTCCCAAGTGGTGGTATGCCTCTAGCCTTGATATCACATGCTACCTTGTGCACTCTCCTTGGATACTGGCAAGATTCAAGATTCCTCGGTATCCGAAAGAGCTAGGTGGCTGTTCGCCCCCCCCCCAGTACGCGATACATGCGCACTCTCGTTATACAAACTCTTTTGAAGACGGCCACCCTACTCATCATTACATAACGCAGACGCAAATCTTTAGACGTATATGCATGTAATTCCTCTGTCCTGACCAGATAACAAATGTTTTACCGTACGGTCAAGAAAGGCAAGAAAGAAAGGCAGTTTGCTCTAAAATGCTGGTAACATTTTCCGTGACTGTACAAGTATGAATAGTTGCATGCCATGAATAAGATTGTATCTGGATAACGGATATAAACGATCCAACGAGAAGGAGAGGGGGGGATCGAATGTAGTGATATAAACACAATGGGACATGAAAAAGTGGGACGAAGGAGAGAGAGAGAGGGAGACTATACTATACGGTCGCATCCTTCCCGTGATGACGCTGCGCCGTCGCCTGCGCGAGCTCCCTCTCCTTCTCCCTCTCACCCATCTCCGCCTGTAGAGCCTCGTACTTTCGCTTCCAGTCATCAGCTGTCAATACGTTCTCATTTCCGTCCGAAGAGCCGCAGCTTCCTTCACCGGAGTGCTGCTGCTGGTGGTTCTGCTGCTGCCCCACGCTCGGTCTCCTCCACATGCTCCACGGGACGACCTGCGTCATGGAGAAGGCCCCGGATATGCTGCTGAACCGGTACTCCCACGAGATGGCGAACTTGTGGCAGCGGTCCCCGTCAGGTAGGCGCGAGTACTTGGGTGGGGAGGGCATCAGCATCCTGGCCCCCGCTAGCGCCCCGAGGTTGACGAGGAAGGTCTCGGGCGAGGGCGAGTTGCGGTAGATATCCTCGACCATGGCGTTGACGATGCCCGCCATCTCGTCGGGCGCGGGGCGTTCGGCCGGTCGACCGTCCGCGTCGACCCAGTCGCCCTCGCGCGCCATGCGCATAAAGTAGTTGAGCAGCATGTCAACGTTAGTGCGGTCCTCGGTACGCTCAAAGTGGTAGTCATCTATGCAGTCGCCCATGCCCGAGTGCCGAGCGTCCGCGGAGCGGTGGTGCGCGCCCTTGCAGCGACACCGGTCCTCGTTAACAGCATGCTCCACCCGCGTGGGCCACCCGTTGCTGTGCTTCCTCTCGCCGGGCTGCTGTCCCTGACTGGCATCCTCTTCTGACAAGATTACCACGGCTGGTGGTCGGCAGGCATGGGGGGTGGGAAGTGCTGGCGGCGGCGGCGGCGTTGCGAGCCGCACGGCCCCGCCGGTCCGCTGGGGCACCTGGAGAGATATGCTAGGTCGGGCTGGCCTCTGGCCTTCTATATGTGTGCCGTTCTGTGATCCGGACGATAGGGCAGGTGCTGTCATGGTCCGCTTAGGGCGCGAATATGGCACCCCCGAGGGGGTCTCGGGCAGCTGGTGAGTGGCCGAAGATGGTTCGCCCACTCCGAGAACGGGCTGCATCGCGGCCGCTCTGGGGGCAAGCTCTGGATTGTGGGAGCGCAGCGGGGGAACGTCCTGGGTCTTTTGAGGGGTTGGTGGTATGGCTGAGTGAGGTATGGCTGAATGGGGGGATAAACCCCCGGGGGCATCGACGGGCGTACGATTGACGGGAGGGCGGCCCCTCGTCTTGCCTCTGCTTTCTGGGCCTCCAACCCTCCAGGCCGAGGACACATTCTTGGTACCTCGGCGCTGGCGGCCAATCTTTGTATATGACGGGGACATGGCCGACCGAGGTTCCCCCGTCGGGTCGTCATCCCAGAAGGCGCCCCTGACGGTAGGGGTGATGGCGGAGTTGGGCCATCGGGAGAACGGCGTCTGGCTGCCATCGCCCAGGCCAAGTCCCGGATGTGCAGATCGAACCGCGTCAGGGTGCGCAGACAGAGGGCCCTTGCCGGGTACGAGCCAAGGGGTCACGTCGCCGGGCCTGTGGCTGTCGATGGCCGATGACGGCGACAGGCGTGGACGCTGAGCCGACAAGGGGGTCTCGGCCTCATCGGGCCTCTTTCGACCGCGCTTGGGCCGCATATGCGGTATGAGAGCCCGGAGGACCATGTCGTCCTCGACGGCAACGCCGTCACGTACTGGCTGGCTAGCAGGGTCAGGATCGTCGGGGACATTGTTCCAGTACTCATTTGGTATACCCATGAGGTACTCGAAAAAGGATTTGACATGGAGAGAGTTCATCCATTTCTTTAGATGAGGGTTAGCACAAAGATTGTCAATAATTCCTTTGAAAGTTCTTTTTCTTTCCCCTTCCTTCATGTTTTTCTCGGAGAAGAGAGAGGGCTCGCAAACCTTGAGACGGACACCGTATTGTGTGATCCTCTGACGACTCTCGTCCTTGCTCGGATCAGGAGGCGCAACCCCCAGCATCATGGTGAGCTCAGTCCAGGTCTTGATATCCTTTGCGTATAAGCGCTTGACAAGGTCGTAGATGACGGCAGTATCGAAACTCTTCCCGCCATTCTTAGGAGGCGTACGGAATGCCTCGCGCAGAGCCGTAGCATCGGAGCCCCAGGGTATGGCCGGGTTGCAGTAGAAGATGAAGCTCACAAAGGCATCCTCGAGGGTGTCAGGGGTGACGTTTCTGTCTGGCAGCCCATTCACCGGCTGTGTCGACGTGCTACCGTCTGTAACGGAAACCGCAGGTGCGGCAACTGAGGTCTGCTGCTGCTCATGGACCGTTTCCATGGCCATGGTCGCCTAGATGAAAGGAGGTCGTGAGACGCGGGCCCAAGCTGGAGAAAGCAGCACCGCGCACACCTCGAAGTCAGGATGCCGTGACATGCGTGCGTCAACTGCACACACGCACAGAAGGGTCTCCTCCGGCAAGTTTTAGCAGAATACGTCGGGCTTTTTTTCCCCTCCACTTATCGGGTGGATTCTTCTTTTTCTTTTCAGATCCCGTGATACTTGATGTTGCTGCTGTTCCTGGGACTGCCTCGCGGTGGTTATGTCGTTTGACAATGATGAGGCTGGAGTTGAGGGAGTGAGGGCATAATTTACCCCCGTTTCAAAAAAAGGTCGGGGCTAAATTTGCCCAAGATTAGCCGTGGCTTGGCACTTCCTGCACTGTGTCAGAGTGGGGGCATCTTGGTGGATCCATTGTAGCCGCGTCTTGGATATCAAAAGCAGGCGACCGTAAGCTGTGCTGGCTATTGAATCACTGCGAGTTCATTCACAAGGTAAAGAAGGGCTGTATTAACGGAGAGTTACGTGGGTAAGGATCTAGCATTGCTGACATTCATCCAGCCTCTTTCTCCCGTACAAAAAAATGGATCGTCCGGGTAAGAAAAGGAAAGGTCATATCGTCTACAGGGACCTGTACGCTTTACCATAGTGTAGCACAGTGCGTCGGGAGAAGCAAGTAGGGATGTGTCAGCATTGCGACTTCCCGATTGGGGGACCCGTTCTTTCCCCCACAAGGTCAAACAATCCTCGAAGCCGTCCCGTCCCGTCTTACGATGTCGTCATGATTCATCTCTCGCCTCTTGGTGTTAGTATTATTACCTTTATAAGTATTACTGCGTGCATAGGTAGTAGATAGTAGGATAGTGGTCTGATGCAATTATGTCCCGTATTTACTAATGCCATGAACTACCTGTATTACCTACTTCCATCTTACAAACAGAGGATGCAGTTTCCTGTTGGTAATAGCTTGAGATTGCGTGATTGAAGCTAAGCTTCACTTCTCCTTTGTTTTTTCTCCTGAACAGCTACGTGGTATGACTCTTCTCTTTGTTCTCTCCTTCCCACTTGGGGATGTATCGAGACGACTGGAGTGACCTACACCATACACCGTACTCCATACTCCGTAGATGGAGGCAGGAGGCTTTTGATTTCAAAGCATTGCAGGATGAACAATGACGTCCGCACTCGGACCCATACCCCCCCATATCAGTGTATATAATAATGTCATCTACCCCCCCCCAACCAACCAACCAACCAACTTGACAAACGGCGTTCCCAGTTCGTGGAGAAAAAGAGCCCTGGTCAAGAACAGACAGAATCCCAAAGAGCAAGATGCAAAACTAAAAGAGAACAAAAAAAAAGGATCATACACACACACACACAACATGTCAACTACAACCACCCCAACAACCGAATCCCAACCGGTGACGCTTCCTCCGCCGTCTCGCGTCCCCCGCGGCGACGTGACCGTCAACCTAAACTTCTACGAGCCCCCAGCCGACCCGTCCTCGGTGCCCTTCATCTTCGTGGACCCGCTCCCCTCGGACCCGGGGCGCAACTTCACCGACCTCGTGGTCCCGACGCGGCTGCACGACATCCGCGGCCGGGAGTCGTCGTACAACAACCTGGACCGCGACGCCTTCGCTGTGGTGCGTGGCGTCCCGCCCTCGGCTGAGGACCGCTTCCGCGACGACGCCTCCATCAAGGCCAACTACTACCCGGAGGTGGAGAGGCTCCTGCTGGACAGCATCCCCGGCTCGGAGAGGGTCTACATCTTCGACCACACCATCCGCCGCGACGATCCGAGCTCGGACCGCCACCCCGTGCAGTCGGTCCACATCGACCAGACGGCTGCGTCTGCCGCGAAGCGCGTGAGGCGGTACTTTGGGGCTGACGGGGACGAGGCCGAGAGGCTGCTGGCCGGGCGGTACCGCATCGTCAACGTCTGGAGGCCGCTGGGCGACGGTCCCGTCGAGTCTCACCCGCTCGCCTTCGCGTCCTCGGAGACGGTCGACGACGCAGACGTCGTCCCCGTCGAGCACCGTTACCGCTCCGGGTACGTCGGCCAGACCGCCGCCATCCGCCACAACCCTGCCCAGAGGTGGTACTACCTCAGCGGCATGACTGGCGACGAGCGCCTCCTGCTCGAGTGCTTCGACAGCGATGCCCTCCGCCCCGGGTCTGCCGTGGCCGGTGGCAGGGTCCCGCACTCGGCTTTCGAGGATCCGCGCACCGCGCCTGATGCTAAGCCGCGGGAGAGCATCGAGGTTCGTGCCCTAGTGTTTGGGCCGTGAAATCGTCTCTCCCCGGTCCTCCTCCCTTCTCCCCTCTCTCCTCTCCTTCCCTTTCTTTCTTCTTCTTCCTCTCTTTCCGTTTCTGCATGCTGAGCGCGTATGCTGGACATCATAATTATTTCAGATTGATCATGATAGGTCAAACTACCTCTCCATCCACCACAATAAGGCACTAGCAAATAAAATGTTGAAAGTTGTATTCAGATGATGAAAGAAAAACGATACAAAGGGGAAAAGAAAAAAAAAAGGTAATGCTCTAAGTGACCTAAGCTTTCAGGCCAACCAGTGTCGAGTCTAGACAATATCTCCAACTCGTGATAAGAGAACGTGTATGCAACAATTCCAGACGCCGCGCTCACACAATCGTATATATAAGGGAGAGAAAAAAAACCGTTAAAGAGAATAGAAAAGGAGTTGCAAACAGCAAGCCCTCCAACATGTCAATTCCTCCTTCCACGCCCCCTAGTACTGCCCTGCCTGCTCATAGCCGCACCGCCCAGGCTGCTCTGGCGGCTCATGGGCGCACCGCCCTGCAGAGAGGGGCTGTTCTGCTGGTCGCGCAGACTGGACATGGGCAGGCCGAGGGCGTCGGTGACGGATTCGGCGTCGTCGCGGGGGGCCGAGGTGAGGGCGACGAAGCGACCCTGGTGGTAGGGGACGGCGACGTTCTCCAGGACCCTGCGCAGGCTGGACGAGGCGTCGAGGTGGGCGCCAGGCTTGTGGGCCATGTCATACTGCTTCAGGGTGTTGATGATGGCCAGGTCGGACTGGATGTCATCCTGGGACAGGGGGACGGGGTAGTTCTGGTCGGCGCTGCGGGGGTAGGGCTTCAGGTACTGCTGGGGGACGGGGGGCGGCACCTTGGGCGGCTCCTGGGCGTGCATGAGGTCCAGGTTGCCGGGGACCTCAAAGTTGGCGATGCCTTCGATGCCGAGGATGCGGTCGTCGAGGAAGTTCTGGTTGTTGGCGGCGGCGGCGGCGGTGGCTCCGCGCGTGCTGCGGGTGGCGTGGGACACCTGGCGCTCCATGGCGGGCGCGGCCGAGGGCAGGGACTCGAGGTCGTCGTCGGCCCCGAGACCGCCGCCAGCGCCGGCCTGGTCGCTGTCGTCCATGCCCGGGGAGGCGCCGTTGACCCGGTTGCGCAGCATGTACTGGTGGGCGGCGATGGCGGCGTTGTTGTAGTGCAGGGACAGCTCCTTGTCGGTGAAGAGCTTGTCGATGCTGTACAGGGGGCCGCTCTGCTTGGCGGCGGCGCGGGCCTTTTCCGACTGCCAGAGGGGCGTGGTGCTGTTGGCGTCGAGGCCGCGGCGCGAGGGGCCGGGCGAGCCGTCGTCGTCGCCGCCGACGCCGCCGCCGTTGCGCTTACGCTTCTTGCTGCTGTCCGTGTACAGATCCTCGGCGTCCTTGCGGAGGCGCGTGGCCCGCTTGCCGTGGGCGCCGCCGGGGCTGGAAGGGTTGGTGATGCTGAACTGGTTGGGGTTGAGGAGGAGCGCATGGGAATCGTTGATCTCCAGCACCTCCTTCTCCCGGTTGAGCCGATTCTTCTTCTGCGTGAGCGTATTGATGAGTCGGTCGCGGAGGGTGCTGGTGAGGGCCCGGTGCTCGCGTCTGGCCGTCTCTGTCTTGTACGCGTGGACGTTTTTGTATTCTCGGACTTTTCGATCGTATTCGTTCTATTGTTTTTTTTTTTCGTGACATCATCATGTCAGTCAACCACATCCTCCCTTGATTTTGCATACTGGACGGGGGCGTAAGGGTGAGGGTGAGACCATACCTTGGACTCGGTGAGCTGGAAGTCGCGGACCTCGATCAGGTCCTCAATCTCTGCGAGAAAGTTGTGAAAGTTGATGCCGGCCATGTCGAGGAGACTGCGAGAGTTCTCGGCATTGACGGGAGCACCCTGCATCTGGTCATGCTCCCTCTGCAGGTCAGCAATGATGTCGAGTGCATTGGGGCTATAAGGGTCGAATCGCTGGATCAGCTTCGTGTCTAGCTGAATCTTCTGCAGCTGGTCCCGGTAGGTCAGGTCCTTGTCGCGCTGGAAGCGTTCATTCATGCTGGCAAGACGCTCCATGAGGAGCTGACGCTTCCTATCTCTCTTAGACTGCGACGTCGCCGCTGCAGCTGCGGCTGTCGGCGGAGGAGGAGACCGACGTCCGGTCATGTTGGCTGGCATAGCTGCGTCCAAGGTGGCCATTGTACTATTCAAGTTTGTTGTTGTTTTTTTCGGGGGTGGGTTGGCGGCTTGGTTGTACAGGACCAGGTACGCCCCGAGAAAAGAAGTGGAAAGAAGGAGAAAAGAACAAGATCAGGTTCCTCCTCGACGAGGCTTTGCAAGAGGGAGAGGAAGAGAAGAGGTTGGTGGAGAGGCAATCAATGCCTGAGATAGGGTGCGGTGAACAAGAGTCGGGGTAAGTTATCCTAAGAAGGACTGACGGAGAGCGGAAGAGGAGGGAGAGGAGAGAGAGAGAGAGAGAGAAGAGATACCCATGTGCGCCAGCCCGAACAGGAAGAGAGGCGAGGGGACGTGCGCCAGTAGAACGTGTGGCAGCGGTGGGGAATGGGAAGTCGGAAAAGCAAAATGCTTCTACAACCAACAGAGGGAGTTAGGCAAGAGTAAGATTGGGAAAATAGTTTTTTTTTCTTCTTCTCTGGGTCCTCTCCGGGGTCAAATTCTTGAAGAGTAAGGGTAGAGAAGAGAAGATGGTGAGTGAATCGATTCTTATCCGTATCCCGCTTCCTCATCACAGAGAGAGCTCACCTTGGAAAACTCACCTTTGTCTGCCATCTTCCATTCTTCCTCTTTTCCTGATGACCGCACCACTCGACCTCACCGCCTTCCATTTACGGCAATAGTCGGCTTTAGATGAGCGACTACGGAGGGAGTACGGAGTATGGAGGATGAGGTGCCGTGATTGGTCAGAGGTCCGGCCTCCCTTTGAATTTGGCTCTTCTGATCGCCTTTGATGATGGATACATGTCCCACTACCATATCCTTGCAGTGTCATGATGTACCCTTCAACAGTCTTCATCCAATGACTTGAAATGCATAATCAAGACTCGAGTAGACCATCTATCTCTACTATTAACACCACCACTTCTTGCTACTGCTACTGCTACTGCTACTGCTACTGCTACTGCTACTGCTACTGCTACTGCTACTGCTACTGCTACTGCTACTGCTACTGCTACTGCTNCTGCTACTGCTACTGCTACTGCTACTGCTACTGCTACTGCTACTGCTACTGCTACTGCTACTGCTACTGCTACTGCTACTGCTACTACTACTACTATTGCTACTCTCTTGATTACTCTTTCCAACTTCTCAATATGACCGGCAGTCTTTGTTTCGTTGACCATTCACGAGCCCGCGTCGATTCAACAGATGCTAGCTCTCATGTCTGATGTACATGCTGTCGCCCTTGACTACCTCCCTTCTCCCACTATTACTACTTCCATTCTCATCACAGACCACCCCGTAGCCTCTGCAGTTGGCTGAGCAACCCGAACCCGCCGGGAAGCGACCTGTCCTCAGCCGTCGTCGTCGTCGTCGTCGTCGTCGTCGTCGTCGTCGTCGTCGTCGTCGTAGTCCCCGTAGCTGATGATGTCGCATCGGCTGACCTGAGAGACGAGGCAGCGCTATTCTTCCTGGGTCTCCCCCCACCGACGTCGAGTCTCTGCTCGTCCCGCCTCGCAGCCTGCTCCATCTCCCTCATGAGCTCCCTGTGCCTGTCCTCGACCATCTTGGCCAGGCTCTCGATGAAGCGCGTGCGGCCCTTCTCCTCGGCCGTCCCCTTCCACAGCGTCGTCAACTCCTTGAGCTCCTCCACGCGCTGGGCGGCCCTGGCCACGCCCTCCACGGGGTCATCCTGGGACGGAGATGAAGACGACGACGACGACGACAGCAGAGTCGCCACCTCCTCGCGCAGCTTCCTGGTCACCTCCTGCCCCTTGTCCTCCAGGCTCTGCTGCTGCTGGGACCCGGGCTCGGGCGCCGACACGGACAGGAACGACGACCCGACCGACAGCTCCGACGGGGGGAAGGGGAATTCCATCGCGTCGCCAAAGGTCTTGATGACCGAATCGAGTCGTTCGCGCACCAGCTTGAGGGTCCGAAGCTGCTTGATATGAGACGGCTCGAGGGGGTCGTCAACCTTGGATACCTCGGCCGGGCCTCTCTGCTGCTGCTGCTGCTGCTCACCACCACTGTCCTCCCCCTGCTGATGCTGTCCATTGTTGTCGAGGTCCTCAATCTCAGCTTGTAGGCCCCTCGGTACGAACAGCGCGATATCTTCATGCAGCGTCTCATTCATGGTCTCTGTGAGGCTGAGCGTCTCGCCCCGTAGAAGCTCCACCTCGTATGCCAGACGGCTCCCGCTGCGCAGGATCTCGTCGGTGATCGACGTGAGCGTCGTCGTCAGCCGCGTCGTGTGCGCGTTGAGCTGGTTGAGCAGGGCCTGCGCCTGGGACGACAGCTCGGCCGTGCTGCTGGACGAGGGGCCGTCGAGGCTGGCGCTCGCTAAGGCCGAGCGCTGCTGCAAGGGTGGCAGGTTTCCATTTAGGAACGAGGCCGGGTCGAACGAGGCCGATAGGAAGGGCTTGAGGAAGTCGTCGGATGTGTGGCTCGACCTGGCCTGGACCACTTGGCGGGAGACGCCGCGGGCGTGACCGGCCCTCAGGGATGAGGCGGTGCTGTTTGTGCGTCGGCGTGCAGATTTGAAGTCTGACATCCTCTTTCTCTTCTCTCTCTTTGCCCTTGACTCTCTTTCTTTTTCCTCTCGATCCTTTTTCTGGTGGATAGCATATATTACGCCGTCGTCTTTTTCTTCCTTTTTCTTTTCCCTTTTCCCTTCCCCTTTGCTGGTTGCTGTTGTTGTTGATATTCACTTCGTTTTACCATGCGGTTGATGCCAGATTTCGTTTGGTTGGCTCCATTGACCTCAACGCCGATAATGAGCCGACCATTTACAACCTCGATATTGTACCAGTCACACTGAAAAATTCAACGTCGAAAAAAAAAACCCCAGACTGAATAAATCACTGAGAAAGAAAGACTGGAAGAAAGGGAGAGGGAAGAAGAAGAAGAAATCACAAAAGCAGGCATAAATAACTGGTTTCAATTCCATAAAAAAAAATTCATCCTTCTGCTTGCTTTTTTTTTCTTCTCACTATCCTCCCCGAGATCACATCTAGTCATGACCGATACAGACACCGAAATGAAGATTGACCCGTCGCGCGCCCAGTCTCTCATCTCGAGCATCTCAACGGTGAGAGAGCGCATCGCCAAGGTGGCAGGTGGCAGAGACGTATGTTCCTTTCATTTCCAAAAAAAAAAGAAAAAATTTCAGGGATCAGGACGAGACCTCCCTATATTCTCAATATAGTACCTACCGATATACGAGAGAACTTTCAATCTGACAGAGGCGAACCGAACCGAACCGAAAGATCAACAGGTCCGCCTCGTCGCCGTATCCAAGCTCAAACCCGTCAACGATATTCTCGCCCTGCATCAGGCCCCTTCGTCACCTCAAAGCCACTTTGGCGAGAATTACGCCCAGGAACTCAGTCAGAAGGCTGAGCTTCTTCCCCGTTCTATCAACTGGCACTTCATCGGTGGTCTTCAATCCGGTAAGTCTATCCACTCTTTTTCTCTCTTCTCCAAGTCTTATCTCTCTCGCTTTTTTTTCCAACCCATTTATTATTATCTCACCTTCTTTTTTTCATCCCTCTTTCCCCCTCCCCCCCCTTTTTTTCCCCCTTCTTCTCTTGCACATCTCATCCCTCTACTGACTACCCGCCCAATCCCCAGGACACTGCAAGTCCCTCGCCCGCATCCCAAACCTCTTCAGCGTATCCAGCGTCGACACGCTGAAAAAGGCGCGTCTGCTGAGCACGGCCCGCTCCTCCCTCCAGGCGTCCGACCCGTCCCTGCCCGACATAGCGGTGCACGTCCAGGTCAACACGTCCGGCGAGGATGCCAAGTCCGGCTGCGCCCCCGGCGCCGACGCCGTGGCCCTGTGCCGCGAGGTCCTCCAGTCCCTTCCGGGCTTGCGCCTCGCGGGGCTGATGACCATCGGGGCCATCGCCCGGAGCAAGGCTGCCGACGAGAACGAGGACTTCGTCGCCCTTAGACGACAGAGGGATCTGGTCGCCCGAGAGCTGGGGGTCGAGCCGGCCAGCCTGGAGCTGAGCATGGGCATGAGCGAGGATTTCGAGGGTGCTATCCGTCTCGGTAGCGATGAGGTCAGGGTCGGTAGCTCCATCTTCGGCCAGAGGCCTCTCAAGGCGGATGCCAAGATCAAGGAATGAACGGGGTGAAGCACGTGCATTCGATACACAATGCATACTCTCTTCTTTCCCTTCGTTTTGATTCCCCCTTCTCTTCTGCCCAAAACCACGATTCATCAGCAGGTATAACAGTGATCGAGTCAAAAATTGCCTTTTTTATTTATATATATATACTCTTTGGCTGCGTGAAGAAAAAAAAGTTTCAAAAAATAGTACGCTCAAGAGAAGTTGAGAAATCTAAGAAGAATAAGGAGGGGGTAGAAAATGATGTGATGATGATAAAGAATACTAATAAGAGTTCGGGGGAGGGGGGGGAGGAGATATCAGGTGATCAGGTGACCATGACATTTGCAAATGCCTCGGAAATCTCTGCACGAGACCGCGGTCCTTCGTACTCGGGAATCTTGGATACACCCAACGACAGGCTATCTTGCATCGTCTTCAGTAGGATGGGAGCCACCGTATCCCCGGTTGCACGGATGGTCAGGCGGATCATCTGTTTCGGTCAGGGTTAGTCAAGAATTTCGAAAGAGATTGAAGAAAAGGGGAGGAACCCCTCGAAAGCCAGGGAAGAGGGTGGGAAACGTAATGAGAAAGGAAGTGAGAAAGGCACGGGGGAGAGGAGGAGATGGAGGGAGGGCAGTGTGTGCTTACCTGACTAGCATAATTAGGCTCCAACCTCATCAGACAGCCAAACTTGCCCCCCTCGGACGTATGCAGCACACCAGCACCGACGACGTTCTTGGGATTCGGATCCACCATGTCCAGCACACGCAGCCTGAAACCCTCGACTGTCCTGGCGACGAAATCCGGCGTCATCTCCCGCGTCGTCTCCTTGCCGGGCGGCAGACCAAAGATACTCTGGGCCTCTCGGGGAGCCCCACCAATCTGCTTCCACCTCTTGAAGAAATCCTCGGCCGACAGGTCGGCGGGGTCCATGAACTTGTGTACGGTGACGGGCAGCTTGAGGGTGATGGACTGCAGGGCGCCGGCGAGGTAGCTGACCCGCATGGTCGGGCTCTTCTCAAAGACGTTCTTGGCCTCGAACATGATGACCTGCTGGGACTGGGAGCCCACCTCGACGACGCTGTCCGCAAGAGTCTTGATGTCCCAGCTCAGCTTGCCCTTTTCCGAGGCTTCGAGGTCCAGGGTCGTGGTGAAGGAGCCCATCTGTGCCGGTGACTTGTTCTTGAAGTAGGTGATCAGGCAGGCCATCTGGCCGCGGTACTCGGACCGCACGCCAACCTGGATCTGTCCATCCTCGAAGAGGACGCCGTCGGCACGCAGGAGGAGCCGGCTGTACCCTTTCTCCCAGCCGGGGGAAAGGTGCGCCGCGCTGGCCAGGTTAGGTACCGACGCGGGACCCATGTCCAATCCGGCTAGGTCCGAGGCACCGTATGCGGAGCCGCCGGCAGCTGCAGCGGCTCCGTTGGCGTCCCCGTTGGTCTTCTTGACCGGTCGGGCCATGGCCAGCTCCGCCTTGTCGGCGTTGGCATCCTTACCGCCGACGACCCAGGTGCGGCGGTCGCTGGTGTTGGCCTGCTTCTGCTGCAGCCGGAAGAGCAGAGCCGACTGGCGCTCCGGGAAGGGCGGCATCTCGTCGCACACGGTGCGGAGCAGATCGTCGGTCGGCATCGACGCCAGCGCCAGGTACTCGCACGCCCTCTGCTGCATCTCCGGATCGAGTGTGTGGCTGTAGAGGTCGAATACCCCCACCAGCTGAGGCTTGATCTCCGGGAACAGGTTGACAAACTTGACAAAGCACGACAGGATCATGGATCGCGTGCTGGACGAGGCCGGCAAGATCTTGCTCTGCAGCGCCAGGAACTGCTCGATGGGGCTGCATTTCGGCTGGTCCGCCACCAGGTGGCCGAACTCGCCGAGGATATAGGCGCCGATCTTGACCAGGCTCTCATGGCACTGGCTCGACCGCAGGTAACGGATGATGTTCTGGGCTGCGTACACCTGGAGCTCCTCGTTGTTGGTCACGATCTGGATGACTCGCTGCCACACCTCGTCGCTGACGTGGTCACCCGCCATGGCGATCAGGCGCAGGGAGATGTCGACGTACCACTGCACGTCGGTGGCATATTTCTCGCACAGGATGGCAATCTTGAGCACCATCTCCTCGCGGATGGAGAAGTCGGCACTCTGGAGATACTGCAGGAGCTCGGCGACGATGACCTGCGCATTGTCCGTGTCGCACATGCTGTAGAGGAGGTCGAGACCCTTCCGCCGCACACTGATGTCGCGGTCCTTGAGGGAGCCGAGGATGATGTCCTGGTGCGCCTTGATGGGGCCTAGCGTCTCGGTGCGGGAGGCCAGGTGCGTCATGGCCTCGAGACCGAGGTACCGCACGTTGGTCTCGCGGCTCTGGATGAAGCGGCCCAGGCGGGTCGAGATCTGCTTCATGAGGGCCTCCTCCGTGTCGAGGTGGATGATGAGGTTGATGGCCTCGAACAGGACAGCCTTCTGGGCGTTGTTCTGCTGGACGTTCTTGATGGGCTCCATAGCCAGGTCGAGGATCTTCTGGAGCACGTCGCGGATCATGTCCCGCACGTAGGTGTCCTCCGCCGGCGGGAAGTACTGCAGGAGCCGCAGAAGCTTGACCTGCAGCCAGGGGCACGGCACCTTGTAGTACAGGTAGTCGGTGGTGTATTCGCCGTCGATGACGATGCGCTTGAGCCGGGCGGCAGCCTTGGCGTAGGCGCCCTTGTACTGCTCCAGGTTGTCCTGGGCCAAGGCCATGACGAGCGAGGTGACGGAGAGGGCGACGCCGAGGTCAGTGTCGTCCATGAGGTGGACGATGCGTTCTGCCCACTGCGGGGAGACGATGTCGGGGTGCTTCCGGTAGAGGCGGAGGAGGGTCAAGGCCGATTTCTTCTTGACGAAGGATTTCGAGGTCCTGGATCGGGCATCGGTCAGGATGCAAAACAGGCGTCTAGGAAAAGCACGCGAGGCAATGCAGAGAAGAAGGAAACGTACGGTGAGATTAGGAGGCGGTGGACCTCTGAGCTGAGAGCCTCGCCCATCTCGCGACCGCCGATATTGGCGATGGCGTGCAGGGCGAGGCAGTTGTATAGCTCGTTGTGGTCGAGCAGGTCCTTACGGATACTGTTGACGACGAGGTGGAGGAGCTCGTGCTGCTCATGGAGGAACAGGGTCATGGCCAGGTATCCGATCTGCTTCTCGGAGAACTTGTTGGCCGAGACGAGGTTGACGGCCTCGAGATGGCCGAATTCGACGTCCCAGCCGAGGATGTAGATGTACAGCAGCTTGCAGACGTACTTCTTCTTGTGGTAGCCGCTCAGGTTGCCGTCCTTGAACTTGTTGCGGATGTTGGCCAGCTCCTTGTTGATACGCTTCTCCTCGAGCTCGCGGGCGCGGGCGTTTCTCAGGTCGGCAATGAATTGGACCAGACCGCGCATGTTGGCATTGCTGCTGCTCGAACGGCCGAGGAAGCCGCCGCTTGGTGTCGACATTTTGGGTGGCCGGGGAAGTTGACCGTCTTTCTATATATTTTATGGTGTGTGTCTGTTGTCCTGGTGGGCCGGTCGGATCGGGGAGTTCGGTTCAGGGAGAGGAGGAGGGGCGCACACTCGTGCGACGACAGCAACTTTATACAGTCTAAGAGAAGAGGTATCGCATAGTCGAGAAGGGGGGGTAGCCGTGGCAGTCTAGGGTCACGAAGATGGCATCGAAAAAAGGGGGGGGGGAAGGAAAATGAAGAAGGAAAGGTTGGTCTCGGTCGCGGCCGACAGTCAAGGCTCGGACGCGGGAAAAGGATCTGTTATGGGAGAGAAGTGAAATGTCGAGGTCGTTCGAGGGGTTCTTTTTTTGGGGGGGGGTTTAAGGAAAAGGGTTCAAGGTCAGTGCCGACCGCCCTCGACCAGATGGCAACTCAGATTGGCGGCAAGAGTAGAAAAGAGGGGCTGAATGGGGAGAGAGCGACGTCTTCAGGTATTGTCAAAGAAGGAAACAAACGGTGACGGGTTTCAACGGGTGTTTAGAGGGTACGAGAGGTTTTTTTTTTTGGTTTTAATCGTAGTATTTGCTGGTAAGTAGCAAGTAAGAAAGAAGGGGAGGAAGACGAGGGTAATTGTACCGTTGGTAGGTACTAAGGCATTATTATTTACTGATAAGTTGCTGGGTGCTTTCAACGGCGGAATTTCCATCCATGTCACATTACTACTCACTACGTATGGGCTGATAATACTTACTTGTACATGTAGCGGTACTGCTACGGAGTATTGATATTGATATTACTTATACTATACGAGTAGGCTGTACGAAGAGGTAGGGCCTATTGTCCGACTCGGCGCTGCAGCTTGTGTACGGGCATTCGTCGGAAGAAGAGTCCCCCAACTTCCCTCAGAAAAGCCTCTAGGGAGTGTCGGATAGATGGAGAGACAGAGCTGGGGCAGGTGGACGTCTAGCCAGGGCCAAGGCGGTTGAGTCGCGTATCGGCATGGACGAGCGCGCATGGTCCGAACACACGACATGTATTATCATCATCATCATTATCGAGCATTGGCGAGTATTGAATATATTACTCCGGACGGAGTACGGATTACAGATTTACAGGTTACATCCCCAGGATATTCCACCTTGGCCAGTTTTACAAGTAAAGTACCCTGTACTGCGTAGTAATCAGCCGTCGCCAATTGAACCTCTGTCCGGTTGGGAACAGGAAAGCTCCCGACCGTCCAGGCCCATTCGTCACCATACATCATCGAGACAGGAACCGCGTCCGCCCTGATCTGCTCCCCCAGGATTCCTCTCCCTCGAATCGGGACCGCAATAGCATGTGATGTCACCATGCGCGCGACCACTGTCTGCTGCGAGCAAGTGCTTGCCTACTACTAGCACCACTGCTAGCAGCCTCCTCCCGGGCCAGCAGCTCGCCACCACCTCCGCCTTCTCCATCTCCACCGCAGCTGCCGTCGTCAGCAGGAGGACATATGCCGTCCAGTCTGGCGGTGCACCCCGCTTCCAAGTCTTCAACCGACGCTCGAAGTGGCTGCAAAAGGAGCGTGCCGCGTCGAATCCCGAGCTGAGCCGCCAGGCCGACTATCTCAAAGATGAGGTGGCCGTGCGCGTCACCGAGCGGTTGCTGGTATGACGATGCCCTCCAGCTCGAAAGGATCAAGAGAATATCACGAAGAAGGAGATGGGGGAGAGAGAGAGGAGCTGACAAGATATGAATGGCAGGACATCAAACGCCGCTTCCCGCGCGTTCTCGATCTAGGAGCCAACTCTTGCAACATCGCGCGAGCCCTCGTGCAGGACAACCCGAGCCCGGACCCGTCGATGCCGCCGTCGCCACCGCTGGCAACACGGATAGACGAGCTCGTGGCCGCCGAGTCATCCGAGGCCCTGCTGTACCGCGACGCGGCGCACGAGTTCAACGGCCGGCTGACGATGCGGCGCGAGGTGCTCGAGGACGAGGAGTCGCTGCCCTACCCGCCCGGGACGTTCGACCTGGTCGTCAGCTCACTGAGCATGCACTGGGTCAACGACCTCCCCGGCGTCCTCGCCCAGATCAACAGCGTGCTCAAGCCCGACTGCCCTTTCATCGGCGCCATGCTGGGAGGCGACACGCTGTACGAGCTGCGCACGTCGCTCCAGCTGGCCGAGCAGGAGAGGCGGGGTGGCATCTCCCCGCGCGTGTCGCCCCTCGCCGACGTCCGCGACGTCGGCGGCCTGCTGCAGAAGGCCGGCTTCAAGATGCTCACCGTCGACGTCGACGACATCATCGTCGACTACCCGGACTCGTTTGCCCTGATGCAGGACCTCCAGTCCATGGGCGAGTCCAACGCCGTCCTGGGCCGCGAGATGGGTCCCATCTCCAGGGATCTGCTGCTCGCCACCGACGCCATCTATCGAGAGCTCCACGGGAACCCGGACGGCACGCTCCCCGCTACTTTCAGGATAATTTACATGATCGGCTGGCATGAGTCTCCTGATCAGGCCAAACCTCTTCCCAGGGGCAGCGCCGATATCAATCTCAAGGACATTCTCGAAACCGAATAGGGCCCGACACACATGTACACGCACACGTACACACACACACACACACACATATATATATATATATATATATATATAAGCGTTGATTTTCGTTTTTCCTCTCGTCAAGATGGCATGATAAACAACAACAAAAAAAAAAAAAAAAAGATGCAGTGTACCATAAGGAGGTTCCCTTCTTTTCTTTTAAAAAAAAATAATAATTGTTATTTTTAAAATTCAAATGCCAGAAATCATCATGTCTTTTGTGCTCAACTATTCCTGGCAGTAGCAGAGAGCCGCTCATCCCCACCACCAACTTCTATACTTTTATGCTCTTGTCTCTTTGTTAAACCCTGCGCCAGTCCGTCATAGTCCTTCCGATGCACCCTAGACCAGCAACCTCGACCACCTTTTCGTGCCAGCTGAGCAGCACGCTCATGGCCGCCGAAGTGGACTCGTTGGCTCCGGGTCGCGAGGCCACCTGGGTGAAGCCGCCGGTAGACTCGGGCGTCATCTTGCCGGGGGTCCTGGAAGCCTTGGGGGATCCCGATCCCATTCCCTTGTAGCTGTTTTTATTTTATTTCATTTTCCTCTCGTCAGTCTATTGTTGTCCTATGCATTCCTTATTCGTTTGGGGAGTGAGTTTTTTTTTTCAAGGGTATGGTGACGTACATGCACTTCATCAGCACGTCGAGAGCCTCGCTACCTCCGTCAGAGGCGTAGATGTTCTTCAGGAGGGGTGTCATCTCACTAGCCTTGATGGACTGGAGGACCTCGATGATGGTCTGAAGGTACATGTCCTGCATAGGGTCAGCAAGCGGTTCAGGGTCAAGCGGTTACACCTGGTTAGAGAGAGAAGAGAAGGAGAAGGAGGAGGGAAAGAGACAGGGGAGTTTCAAAGGGGGGGGGGGGGGGGGGGGGGGGGGGGGGGGGGGGGGGGGGGGGGGGGGGGGGGGGGGGGGGGGGGGGGGGGGGGGGGGGGGGGGAGAGAGGAAAAAGAGGATAAATCACCTTGGCTCCCTCGGTACCATTGTAGACTGGCATGTCGAGAGCTCCCCTCAACGCACCCTCGGCATCACCGCCCCGGAGAAGCTGGCGAACCTGGTTGGACAGCTGTCGCACCTCGGGCTCCGTGACCTCGGGCTGAGCGGGCTGCAAGGTGGTGGTGTCGAAGTTGACGCTCGAATCCTCGGTCAGGGCATCAATGTTGATGGTGCGCCAGGCGTCACTCAGGGTGGCGCTGGTGTGCTGCTGAATGATGGACATTGTGGGATTGTGGGTTGGGGGGGGGAGGGGGGATCGGAGGAGTTAGGCCAGGCCAGAGGTGGTCGGGATTGTGCTGCTATTTCTCTTCTGGGACCCCTCAGTTCGACAAGGGATGGCTTCGGGAATTCTCGTTTGCGCGTCGTGCGTGGCCGTGATGCGGTGGGAAGCCGAAGTATCGGAAGCTGGCTTGGTTGTGTTTGGTGACCGATTGATGATGCTGCCGGGCGTTTAGGCGGGGAAACGTGACGATGGGAGGCCGGCCACGGCGGGCTGTGAGAGAGAGAGAGAGCTTTAGCTGCTACGGATACCAGCAGCTACGTTTAACTTGTAGGCTGGTTACCCTATAGACCTCTGCGGTCCTGGGCAGCGCGAGCAATGATGAAGCCATTTTGTCCTGTATATCGGACTTTTTTTGTTTGTTTTTGGTCTTGGACAGATATTCAGTAAGATTGAATATCACTGAGTCGTTAGGGACTTGTTTTCAAATGTGAATCGAGCTCTTTTTTTTTTTTCTTCCTTTTTCCTTTTTTCGTGTGCGGTGGTTCATATACATCAACAGTCTGTCTTTTTTTTTTTTTTTTTGCCTGTTCACAACAAGGCTGAAGTCGAGATGTGTACAACGTATGTAACATTCAGAGAATCACATTAAGAACAGTGAGATACAGCACCACCGACAGCCAATAGTAGCAGCAGCAGTAATAAGAGTAGCCTTGAGTTATACATGGGTTTTTCTGACCTAAACAACGTTACTCGTATTCACCTTAGACTTGTGCTCGCTCAGCAGAGACCAAGGCAGTCTAACCCGCCTAAAACCGAGGCTTGGGGCTTGGCCGGTGTGTAGCTGGGGCACACCGAGAAGCAGAGACTGGTGGTTGCGGTGAAAGATAGGTCCAGAATGTGACAAAAGGTCGGCTGCATGTGCTGCCAGATTGCAGACTGCATGACGACGAGGACAGGGGGGGGGGGCGCTTTGGGGCTTTGGGGCTTTGTATTCGGTCCTACGATGAGGTTGGCGAGCAACCAAGTCATCGAGTCGTAACATTGCGTACATGTTATATGTTGGTATCAATAGCTAGCTGCCTACCAATGAACAAGAGAAGAGAACTACGTATCAGTGTCCGTAACGAATCTCCAGAGCTCGTACTCGGGAGTCCTGCGCCCTGACCGGTCACCAGCAAAGATGCGGTGGTGGTGGTGTTGGTGATCGTCTCATGGTCTCTTTTTTTTTTTTTTTTTTGCATTCCCATTCATCATTGTCATATTCTTTATTCGCCACCTTGTTTTGAAGTGAAAAGAGGGAAGCTAGTAACAACAACTCTCAATCTCTTCACCATGCCGCCCCCTCCCAAAAAAAAGGGGGAGGGGGGATTCTCTTTGCCGACAGATGGCGGCCATCTGAGCTAAGAAATCACGAGCAAAGAAGGCATCGTACTGTACGGAGGATCACCACTACCAAGTGGTAATACTGCGACGTACGATACACGTAATAGTCAGTAAATAACTCCCCATGGCTCAGTTATCGCCATGTCCCTGGTAACATGTAGTTTGTGACGGGCCCCGTTATGGAGTCAATGGCACAATCCAGCCTACGTGAACCGACTCCTCACCTCCTACAGATTACATTGACGGTAGTGATAACCGGCGGCCAAAACAGATTCATCAACCAGTTACGGAGTATCACATACAACGGTTTACTCAGCCCAACAAAGGTGGACAAAGAGAACAAAAAGCCAGATTTCCAAGATAGATAAATAAATAAATCCCATCCTCCTCCTCCCTTCACAGCAAATTACCACTCACACCCCCCTTCCTCATCGGTATGCACACCCCTTCCTCCACCTCACATGGGTTGTCAATTCTCTCCCTCCCTCCCCCCTGCGGCCGCACCGAGGCGCTGTAGTGAAGAGGGCGGAAGTGTTCCCCGGAGGGGAGACCAACCCCCCTCTTGCTTCACAGTCTCCGACCATTTTAATTGCGAATAGCGTCGGCTCGCATACCCGACCCTAGGGGATGTTGGGACCAGCCTCTTGGATCCGGGGGAGGGTTCCACGGGTTGATGAGGTGTCCTCCCCCCTTCTGTCTCGACTCGGTAGTGGTACGGTACCTTGCACGTACATATTGCACTTTGAGAAGCTGCGCACGGGAACCATCTTCCACTCGTAGAGAGAGACAGATGTCTTAGTATGGGACGAGGTTCGTTGAGTTGAGGTTTGTTGGAAAGTATCATGAATTTTTTTTTTTAATTTTTTTTTTTTTTTAATTTTTTGGCTCTACGATGCACACACACACACACACACACACATACATACACGAGTCATGATTCCCGTAAACATACGAGAACGACGCGCCTCTACTGGTAGTTCCTCTTCCGACGGGGAACCACGTAACCGCGATGAGTCACAGGCCAGAGATGTAGAGTATCAGTAGACAACAAAAAAAAAGGAAGAGGCCTGTGGTGTTACGGAGACAATGCATGCGCTAGCACTACACCGTACCGTACCGTACTTGTAGCTATAAAAAGTTGAGCAGGAGAGAGAGTTATCAGAATCATATAGATGATGAGAGATGGTCTCATCATGTCAAACGTTACTGCCGTACTGGTACCGTACCGGCGGACCGGAAACACATCCTGTCGGGCCCTTTGTCGTTGAAGCCAGGGCCGGGGGGGGGCGGAAGCCGAGGTTAAGGGGGGACTGGAAAAAAAAAGGGCCCCTTGGGATCAGAAAGGCGGATGGGCGGGATGCTACTCCGTAATATGGAATGTCCTGGAATTGATTCTGGAAGATGGGTTCTTCGTCTGGTGACTTTTATTAATATCTATCTACCCCCCCCCCCCCCCCCCCCCCCCCCCCCCTTTCCCCCATTGGAATCAGTCAAGAAGATGAGAAAGACGGAAAGAAAGAAGAAAAGAAGAACCTTGATCAACTTGGATTGTTCCCATGTAAACCACGTTGCATAATCCCTGTCTGACGCGCGCGGGTGGCAAGAATAGACACTGTACAGATGTGTACAGATGTATACAGTAATACTCTGAGTCGTACACCGTACGAGCAGTGACAAGCGTAATTACTACAGATTAGCTAGTTATATTACTACTACGTCGGGGTACTTTTATCGACATGGACGTACGAGCAGAGGTATTGGGGCTTGAGTACTGTGAGTATCATTCACGGTCCAGCGAGTCCCTGTTCATCAAATCGAGATTACTTATGCGCAGACCCCGACAAGTACATAATTAGTATACTCGTACTCTATGCAATGCCATAGAGGAAAAGAAGAGGACCAACAGAAGCAGTCGTGAGCGAGCATGTCCGTACCTCTGCAGAGTATTAACTATGTATTGAATATATTACAGCTCATAGAAGATGCAAGATGATCGTTGCCTTAGTGACATGAGAATCATGTCCCATCAACGACGACCCTCTCTCTCCTCCCCCCCCCCCTTTTCTTTGACAAGGTAACACGACAGTTCGGGTGCCCGCTTTCAGTGCCTGCATGACCATGTGGGCGTCGTAGGGGGGGGGGGGGGGGAGACACTGAGACATGTCCATCCGCTCCCTGTCGACCCGCATAATATATCCGTATCCGTACTGTGGCGTCGAATGGAGAAAGGAAGGAGAGGGAGAAGGTACGGGTAAGCGGATGATGGAACCCACTCTCGTCCATATGAAGACTACTCTGCCATGCTCATTGTCCCTGCTACCGACAATCAATACAATTCATATAAGAGGAGAGAGAGAGAGAGAGGAGAGAGAGGAGAGAGAGAAGAGAG